AGCGGGTGCCAAGGCTGGGTCCTCGTTCCAAGTGGGAAGAAACTCCTTGTTCTTGAGCAGGATTGTGCGGATGAGGATCCCGCCTGTCGGGCATGAGTTGCGGCTGTTGTACTCGTGGCCAGTACCAGCTGTTGCAATGCACAGGCGATGCTGCGCGGCGAATTTGAGAGCTGCAGTTATATGGCGCTGGTTAAGAGGGAAGACGACGATGAAGGGGTTCCAATTGCGGTACTCATTCTGGTGCAATGCTGCCTTGCACATATCAGAGGCTGTGTTCCAAATATTAACGCCGTCTTTGATGTTGAAGCACGGGCGCTGCATCTCAGCGATATCCTCGTAATAGTACAGCGCTTTAAGACCCTTACTACCCAAGCCATAGAAGGCCTGGTTGTTGATAGAACCTGTTGGGACTGGCGCGGGCTGCGGTGCTGGATAGTTGCTCCACTGGACGCCAAGTCGGGGCACTGTAGGGTCCAGAGCCTTCTCTAGCTTGTCAATCGCCGTCTTGGTAGGCCAGCAGCTGGAGTCCTCGGGAGTGCACCACCTATGGTCGCTGTCACCTTGAGGTGAGGGCAGGGCACCAGCAGATGATGACTCGGAAGGGTCGCACGACCCGGCGCCGCAGTTGTCGTTCTCGGCACTGCATGAGTAGCGACACTCGGCGCTACATGGATTACACCGTCCCATTGCCCACTGCACTTTCTTATCTCCAGCTGTACAGTCGAGCACGGCGTAGGAATATACTGGCTGGTATTGGAACTTGAAGCGACAGGTCGTGATAGCACCGCTGGCGGTGGCGAGGAGCACCCTGCTGGGATCTTCTCTGGAGTGAGAGACTGAGTAGCGTTCCACGCCGCGCTCAGGGTGATTGGGCCACTTCACCGACGCCTGGCCATCGGAGGTAAAGCTCCAGTTCGCGAGGCCCTCTTCATAGTGGCTGGATACCTGGAGTGAACGCCATAGGCCCAGCAGTTTAGTCGGTGCCCCGGCAATGCCAGGCTGGGAGTGGCTAACAAGGCTAGGCTCAGAGTCAGAGCCAGAATTGGTCTTGGTCTTAGACTTGGACGCCGCTGAGGTAGCATCTGGGGAAAAGGAACACCCCTCGGCCGACGCCTTACAGCGGAACATGAGAAAGTTACCGCACCCAGGTGTGTCCATCGCAGTGTAGAAGCTCGCTGGTGCCGGTTGACCAGTGTGATTGCAGGCCAAGAAGGCCGCCTCAAGACCGCCGATATCTGGTAGTCGCTGCACCAGGCATTCCTCGAGACGATTGCCACCGCATCGCAGAACCAGCTCCTTCGGCCCAAGCCGCTCGTAGCTACACGTCTGGGGGTACGGACTGTCAGTAGTGACCGTCAAGACCTTGTCAGTAAAAGTCTGCGCGAACTGGAACTTGCCAGACCCGCCCTGCTCGGCACCGAATGAACGCCAGGTGCCTTCCCAGGGTGAAGTGTTGTTGCTGATAAAGGCTGGCATGGCGAAGTCCAGCACCGCGAAGTTGGCCAGTCCATCGCTGTTAGTTCCGCCGTCGCTCGTGTCCACCGGTGCGTTGCTAGGGTCAAGCTCTACAGTGCTGTTGAGCTGCGCCGGCGGGCATATATCCCAGCTATCACCGCACGCAAAGCACTGATTAACGCAATCACCCGACATGCGCGGCACACTCTGTACATCAGTCCCTTCCCAGTCCACCGTTGCGAGATACGCGCACTGCACACAGCCGGTGCTGACATTCGACTCCAGATCTTCCGAACCCGGTTCGTCAAGCTGCTGGCGCAGCGCGGCGTTGGCATTGAACTCATTCGCAAGCACAAACGCCGTGCGGAAGTAAGCCTCCTGCGAGAGGCGGAATGCGTTACCGTCTGCGCCGGGGATGACGGCGCAGGTGCCGTGCTTCATCCACTCCGACAATATGAAGCATTGCATTGTGTTTCCGAACTTTGGGTCCGTCGGCCAGAAGTAGCTCAGCAGGTCGCCAAATGTCTTGAGGATGCCCTCATCGAACTCCTCCCCGTTGAGGCACCCGTAGGGTTGATCCCTTGCACCATTGCCGCCTGCCGAGCTAGGCCATAGACCGTGCAGCGTGTACTTAGCCGACTGTTGTGTAGAGCCAGCGCCCCTCGTCTGCATCGCCAGTGTATAGGCATCGACGGGGATCAGTCCGGAGGGGAACTGCCCAGAACTGCATAGTAAGAAGGGAGGAGGCTTTTGCTGTAGCTGCCCGTTCTTGTTTCTGGTGCAGCCGTTATTCCATTTGAGGTTGCACGTTGTAGCGTGGAAGTTGAGAGGATTGAATTGGCGTAGGGGGATGGGGTTGGAGGAGCAGTCGTCTGACATGCCGGTGCACCTGGCTGATGCGAGGCAGACCAAGCCCAGCACCAGTGCAAGTTGGGCGTGCCAAGCCATGTTTGACCAAGATGCACTATAATGTTTGTTTGTTTGTTTGTCTGCTGTTGTATTCTTGTATTTTACGGTGTCCGGGATGAGGGCTTGAGGACTGATACTTAGCTCTCTATATATTCCTCTAACATCTAACTTCAATAGCCTCCCTTGACGACCCGCTCATTCCCGGCCTCTACCCTCTCAGCTCTTATCTCCTTTCCCTAGAGTCGGAATGTAAGAGCTAGAGGTCTACTAGCCAGAGCGGCTGAGTACGAAAATATCGAAAGCGGCAGAGTTGCCAGAGCTGATGCTTGGTGGCGGGCGGAAGCACGGATCAAGCACTAAAATTATTGGAGGCGGAAGTTCGGGTGGCTTTACAGATTAGTCCAGGCCCAAGCCACCAAGTGATTGGGGCTGCCTCCTCTAGTTCACAGTGGTTCTGAACCTCTCTTAGGTATGTCAGCTAGCCACGGCTCCTTTCTAACCAATTGAGAATGATCCCTATAGCCTCATTCCAAGCCTTTGAGTGCTTACGCTATAGTTATAATGAAGCTGGTTCAGGTTAACAGTCAATAGTTCAGCCACCAGCTCCTGATTCGGTGCGGCTGAGGACGGGACGTGGCCGTTAGATTGACTAGATCGCCAAGACGGACGGCATCTGCGGTAACCACCGCCGCTAGTAGACGGAACTTGCGGGGAAAGACCTCGATTGCATCCCTCGACTCATCCAAATCTTCTCATTTCATCTTTCAGCTCGCCAGGACCAGCAATATCTGACTTTCCATGCCGCGTTGGTACAGAACACAATGATTGTTAGCCCAAACCAGCCAACACCTACTGACGTGCAGGTCCCTAGTTGGTATTGTCAGGGACGTGTGAGAGTGGTAAGAGAACTGGGGGCCGCTATCCTACATTACACCAGGACTTAGCTAAGTTTGATATACATTTATTAAATATTAGATTAGTTGTTTCTCCCGCCTGTCTACAGCTTTGATGTTTTCTTGCTCTATGGTTCCACCTCCCGGCCTAAGAGGCCAGTTTCAACAAAGAACTAATGGAAGCCTCTTAACTCATCACCTCCTCAAATTAATTAAAGACCCTTGGTCGCCGCTTATATTACTTTTGCTTTCAACCAATTTCGTTGAATTTTGCCAAGACGCTGCAACTCCATATTCTGATAGGCTGGCTGTCTATGGTCTACGTTTAAGTCTCTATCTTTGCGACAACTTCCCACTCAAAATAAAACCAGATCCCAGAAGCGATATCATATTCACGAGCCCCCGGAGCCAGGTGAATCACAAACATGACTCGATTGAGCCACCGCTTGAGGCCAGGTGGCGGTTATAATAAACAGAGCCAATTGCACAATTGGCTTTTTGAATAAACCGTGCATCGTGAATAATGTGTTCTAGCAAGTACAATGGTTGTCCTTTTGTTCAGGTGCCCCTCAAAGACAGTAATTCAACAAAGAACTATGACTCCTTTTGTCCTCCAGTTTCAACCTGAACCGTGTTCATGTTACGGATGCTTCTATGAAATCTGAAATGCATTGTCATAGCTTTCCTTTCATGAAGTAAAGCCTTGATCATTCCTTTGTGATGGTTTGTGTTCACATTCCTTGCAGCACTTCCTGAACATTCGTTCATGTTACTACCAGGGACCACGTATGTGTAGATTTATTCGATGTGAACAAACCCTCTTCAAGGGTTGGACAATATGTATAAATGGGCTTGTGTGCCACTCTATGATCAATATCACAACACCAATTAACAATTTAGTCACATCTACCCACTATACTTATCCAAAACTTCCCTTCTCCATTTACACTGCAAAGATGGCACCATTCCAGGACCTCTCTTACAACATCCTTATTCAATTAAACGAACTCGAAGACTCCATTCTCGAAACAAAGACTACATATCCGGTAATCCTTCGCCCCGATTCAAAGGGCCAGCGAGGTACCGCCATGCCTCCCCCGAGTGAGATGGTACTGCTTGTCGAAAAACTGCATCAGATTCAGCCGCTGGTCGTGGGCATGGTAGCCTTAGCCACCAATCGAGTGGACCAGCGAGTGGCTGAAGGTCACCGACGACAGTTCGGGCTGTTACAGGTGCAGGTGCTCCAGATGCTGGAAGAGATGGGCCAGAGGCTGGAAGAGGTGAACCAAAGGCTGGAATCTGGCAATCAGAAGCACATGGGCTCTCGGCCATGAACGCTGGCTAAATGGCTACGTTTCACCATCCAGGGGCCACAATAGTAGTATTGTATGACAACGAGTCTGCTATGGAGACTGTTAAATCTCCAATTTAGAGAAGTTGATTAAAATCGAATTTATTTATAAACTTGGAAATTCTCCCTGAAATTATTAACCATGTCTGGTGTAAAGGCGTTTATTATTTGACATATTTGTAGTGAATTAAGAGGGATCTAGTAATGATATTGCGTACTTGGAGTAGGACCGTAGTAGATGAAAACTTCACAGCTTTGTTCCCCCTCCCATAATCACATTTGCATCTCTTAAGCTGGCTTCTGCGCCTTTCTGATTAATAACTTACAAATTCGCATATAATTAACGCTATCGTTTCTGTTATTTCCCCCTGTTCGACAAAGCGCCGCTAAAAATGAAGCTGCCAACGATCGCTTTCCTTCTCGTGCCACTTCTCGCGTTCCTTCTTGGCCTCTTTGCGCTCGAAAATGTCGCTGCTGGGCTTGAGCGGAATCGGTCCACCACCGCGATCGCAGCTTTCGACTTTGTTAACATGATGTCTATGCTTGGAACGGAGGATACCTTCGAAGGTACGGAACAAACGACCAACAAAGCTTGGCGCAAGATCATCTCATCCCCCAGCCACGGATGCCACTGCCACTATCAATCACCGAAAGGCTGGTAAACATCCTAAAAGACATTGCATCCCACGTCGCGCCAACCTTCAACTACTACGCACTCGATGCTGCCCTCCTCAGCCTGCAATTATGCAGCTGATTGCTGCTCATAAGGTTGAACTTGAGACTGCAAACACAGATGAAAAGGACACGATACCTCTTCGGCCTGTACACCAACATTTGGTCACGACTCATTGCAGCTTGTTGCTGTGCGACTCGAAGCGCACCCCTAAAGCCAGCCCCAGTTAGAAAGGCGCTGGCTTCGAGCCGGTTGTTAGTCCGACCACCATGAATCCTCATTTCAACCATTCCTCCTAAACTGGTATGAGAAGCCTAACCTAAGCTTATGATGAGTTTTGTAATTTTCATCCAAAAGCTGGACTATGTTCATGATGAAGTTGAAAAAGATTTTATCAATAGTCTAAATTGTATTATTCATCCCGTTATTATCCTTTGCCAAAGATCAACTAGCGACATATGAGACGTGACGGAGCTTCGTGCAGTTAATGTCCACGATGAATAGGCGGTGGTCCTTGCAGACATTCTTCGTGTGTCGCTTTAGCGTGTGAGTTTAACACTGATGAAGTTGAACGTGATGAATTTTGAAAGAGTTTGAGCACATTATATTTGGCCCTCTGACTTGATATCCTGTCTATTCTCGATCACTATACAGATGTTAGCAACTACCGCTTCTTCCATACACTTGGAACCTAAGTATATGAGTTGGGATTTTTGAGACATGTGCTCTGCCCATTTCAACACCCTCGGGGAGACGACTTTGTAAGTCGCGACTCGACTGGACTCGAGGGACAAGTAGTTGATGCTGTATTTAATCGCTGCTGTTTTATCGCGCTGAATATCTCCGACCTACGCACTACTCTTATTGATCTCAACACTAACCAGCTCGATATCACTACCATTTCCCTTTTTATCACTCAATTCTGCTGTAATCTCACAAGAATGAGATGCAGACCATGAATCATTTCGGCAATCGCCCTCAAGTCCTGACCCCTCGATTATCTCTTCAAATCCGCTCTGGCCTGTCCGGCGTATCGCATGACCAGACTTCGAAGGGCGTCCTGATTCTTGGATGTTGTAGTTGACTCCTTTCCTGTGAAGATATGGTCGAAGAGCTGGGATGCAGCAGATGACGAGACCGATGTAGACATCGAGGGAACACCAGAGTTCTGACAAGAGGTTAGATAATATTACCAAGTTTTATCGTGAAATACACATGCCGATTATCGTAAAAGATCGAAAGTCTTCGCTATCGCCAAGCTGAATGGTCAAGAAGCGCGTGAGGGAAAAGGCTATGTCGATGATTCCTAAGAGAAAGATGCAGTATACACTGACTTTAACCTTCCTTCGCATATTGAGATTGTGGATGATAAAGAACGGAAGACAGAAAACTACAAAGTTATTAGTTGTATTGCAGGCCAAAGAGAATAGGCGAACTTTCGAGCAATGCTTCCGACGAAATGCAACGCCCAGTTGATTTGGAACAGAAGAAGTATCGTGGTGATTTCACATGCTTCTTCGGGCTTCGTGACAGACCTAACAATAGTATTAGAAAGGGAATTTCGAAGATGATTGTCCTGTAATACCAGTTCCGTTGAATTGGATAGCAGAGAAACAGCTGGAGAGAAATGGTGACGATGTAGGCGCAGACACAATACACGACCACGATCCAGACCATGAGTCTTCTTATAACCATAAATGGTGGAAATAGCTGTAGATAAATAACGAGCAGCGATGCCTTGCAGAGATAGAACGTTGTGTAAAATGGGAAAGGATTGACCCAATTGTACTGCGACCTTCAATCAGCTCAATCTCCCTCGTGGGTAATTACAACACTTACCTTTCGGACTCTGATCTGCTGCTCCAACGGGGCATCCCAATTAGACAGAGTGTAGTTGATCCCGGGATGCAAAACGCCTTCTTTCGCATAGAGTATGTCGAAGAAGCTGGCGACGAATGCCGTGCACCATGCTGATATTCGTAGCCAGTCTGCTGTTACGAGGCGCTGCTTTTGTATTGCTAATCGTAGATAGATTCGGGCGCCGATGATTATCGCGGACAGCGAGATGAGGACGTAGATGACGGTCTGGGCGTGCCATTGTTAGACATTGATGATCCTGAGAGCTCGCGATTGATCCCATACCAACACAACAACACCGGACGGCCCTGCAGGCATTTTGGCGACATGAAGACAGTGAACGGGTCAACGCTGCAACTCAGTCTCGCGGGGACGAAGACCGCATGGGGAAAGAAAAGCACTTAAGCAAAAGTCGAGGTGAAACGCTATTCCACAAACGTTCGACAGACACGCCACTGGCACCACCGAACTTGCTTCAACACCATACCAAAGGTCAAGAGACTTGGGATGGTGGCTATCTTGGTGTACGCCAGTTTCGTGTGCCTCTTCTCTGCGCTGCGTGAGTGGCCAGAAGCAAATTACCATGCACACTGGCGCTTTGACGGTGGCTGCGAGGTTCGGGAATAGACTCGGCACTAACGTGTTTCTTGGGATGGAGAATCGCGATAGAGTTTTCGCTATTCCCCTCGATCGCTCGAGATCAGCCACGGATGATCAATCTTAACCAGATTCAGGCTCTAGACGGGGAGTATTAAAGAGAGAAGCATTTTGCCGATGGGCCGAGACTTGGGGGAGGGGAGGATGGTGATGTAATTCGTCAGAGACATGAGTCGCGAGTGCAGCCATGATGGGAAATGTCAACGAGCTGGGCGTACAGTCATGCTGCAATTGCCGATATTCAGGTTCAAACACACTGACGCGTTTGCGCTCTACCGAGCATAAATGCTATCTATAGATATCCTACAATTGGGAATACGTGCATCACGTTTGGATGACCGGAAATAGGGAGGCATTGGGTATCTTACCCCCTGAACTAGTGCCCAAATTTAGTCAATCCCAGAGTCTGGAGTAGGGCACCAGCGCTAAGATCCCCCGAATCGAGTTTAGATCCTGCACATCATCTTCACTGGCGGTCTTTTGACTTTTGAGTTTTTCCCGATGCATGCCAGTGCTTACCCACTAACACAGCCTGCGACGACGCTAATCGGAAATATTGAGCCCTTGCAGGCATGTCGACTGAGTGATGTGAAACGCCACGTCAAGTCATCCTCGCTGCGATGACCTCAAAGATAGGTAGTTTTGGCAATCGTACACATATTGGATCACGAGAAGTAAGTCTGCGGATATGAAAGCTACCTCAATCAACAACTCAGACCCGTTTTGTTGGTCTATATTTACTCTGTGCGGAACTATTCTCGCTAACATCGACTTGTACATCGCCAGGTTTCCAGTAAACGATATCTTTTTTCATCAGCCACAAGCGTCGATCCTCCTTGTTCCAATTCCCAACTCAATCTAACTTACACAAGGTTGGCGCTTCTAGAAGCCATCGCCACGCGGCTGGACTTTGGCCTGAATCGGACAACCTTCTTCTCCCAACGCAAAGGAGCCATGCTGTCCGATTCTGTATGTTAAAGTAGTTTCTATGATATGTTTAGAGCTTTGGGTACTGGCTTCATAGGATTCTCTCTATCACAAGTCACTAATAAAATATGCCTTATCACTGGGAGAAGTCTGGGCAAAAGCAAGGCAAGTAGTCTCTGTAAATTTACCGACTTATCGAGATTGAAAACGCTCCTAGGCTGAAAAAGGACATTCCCAATAAGCTGCTCAACGTTTTCAATCATGCTCCGATTATGTATGCCACCTACGGCGTTATGAGATGACATTTTGATCGCATCTATCTTGAGAATCAGTGATGATATACTTGATGTTCATTTGATGGAAGACAACTCCTATTGCGAAAGATTTGAAGCCGTCAATGCTAGACTGTTAATACTATGAGCCGACAAACGTCAAAGGACAACCGATTGATCCCGAAAATGACGCGCTGCGACTTTCTGGAACCTCTGAAGCTGACCTCGATAGACGTTGCAGAGACCACTGTGCAGCCCATTGCAAGTCGTTGAGCATTTACTGTAGATGTGATTGCGACACCACGGCAGCTAAGACTTGGAGATAAGGGCCAAGGAAAAGAGCACCACTGCATCACCTCAGGGAGACTATCTTCCAGGCGACCTCCTTGGCTGGTTAAGGGTGGAGTCCTTGACCCATCACGGTAAATATGGGTCATGTTGTTCTTCACACTGGGAACATACCCTCTGATATACGTCTGATGTCTTGTCTCAGATGGCTCAGAACCGATTATGATGTCCATCGCACAATGAATGCCAGTAACCAACGTGCTTTTTGGTTTGAACACCGTTTTCAGCGAACAGTTTAATCTTACTATTAGTCTCTGGCACGCAACTAGAGTCGAGAACAGCAGGATCCTGGCCGGAGAGACGTTCCTGGAGAAAATGGATATTCGTGCGGAGTCTTCAGATCACGCAAAGTTCTTGACAGCCTCCAACGTAACCGTATCAGATGCTTCAGTCACGGCTATGGCGTTGTGAAGAATAGGCATCCTGAGAAGGGATTCATGTAAATTTAGTGTAGACTTTTTTGCTTCTTGGTCCTCATTGTATAAGAGGTTTTGGGATTTACATAAGTGAACTTTAGAGGGAGATCATGGATTGACAGAGAACAGGGATGGTCTGACTGAACACCAATGACGATGTTCAAAGAAAGATTTTAATGAACGCATGTCCACGGAAGCTTAGTCTGGAACAACGTCTAATGAAAAAGAACAACGGCGCATTACTAACGGTATTTTGACAAATCTCTTCGAATCAGAATTCTATCATAAGCCCTGACTGACAATCACGTTGATATGAGGCGACAATAGGGTGTCTTTTGTTGGCTGAAGATACCATCTGGTTAGGGCAAGGGATTCGGGGCGCTGTATGAAAGGCTTGGAGCAAAATTGTCCTATGTTAATGGCCTCAGCGTTTCCAATATGACCACACAACACATGTAGCTTGGAAGCGACCGGCATTCGCAGTTAGTTACAGTATTATCCGTTGAGATATCTTCTTGGGACATGAGTTCACTGTTCTAACGATTCGCCTATGCACTTGTTGCATCTGCTCCTCCGCCTTACGCAAGTATCATCATGCTCTTCCATCCAAACGCACGTACACTCGAGGCTGATTGAGTAGCCAGCCATGAATATGTCCTAACACAGCGATTCGAGTAATCTAGCGCATGGTGACCGGCACATAACCATCGATATAGCCCGCAGACGTCTTGATGCAGCACCTCGAAAATAGATCTCCGATCACCAGGTCCATCGCCGAACTGTCTGCACGTCGTGAAGGTATCCCCTTTGCCCTTCTCTCTCTTCTCATCGACTTGAAGTGTTTCGAGACAGCCCCTGCCTATTCTGACTTCGATAGCCAGCACTCTTAGCGACTACAAGAAATCGACTACCTGTGCTCTAGAAAGGAACATGGTCAGAGTCCGTAGCAATAGTGGTTATGAAGCAATGCAGCGGCGAATAAGAAGATCAAAACCAGGAAGCAGTTGCTGTTGTTGGCGGTTGCGGAACATACTCATCCGGATTGTGCCCTATTTATCCAGAACATCCTTAGTCAGGTACCAGTTACTGTTCCTGGCAATTACGGAGGACGATCCTCCGTGTGCTGCGGCATACCCTTTTTATATATATGACGCCCGATGTGCGGGGTAAATAACACTACCTCGGGTGGATAAGTTGGAGTTGGAAATAGCCTCTTGAAACAATACTTAATCAATTCATGCATACGACGCTGTCTACCATTTGATGCTTCCCGCGACAGACATGGAGTATTTATTCTTTTTACCGGTTGCGGGGTCTTATACCGGACATGCTGCCTCCGGATCTCGCGGTATTTGACACCGGCATTTGAACTCACCTGAGCCGACAATATCACCATGACCAGCATCAGGTATAAAGCTTTGGTCAGTGACGGCCAAGGAACTAAGGAATAAACACCATCAATTCATAGGAAGCGGAGAACTCACCATGCTCGGCCTCCCCTCACCCCGCAAGCTGCTCACACAGCTGAGCCTCGGCGCCAGCCTTGTTGCGGCTCAGCTCCAGACCATCACCAACTTTGGAAACACCTACGGCACGCAGCTAACCATGCAGGCCTACATTCCCGGAAATCTGCCTGCTAGCCCAGCAGTGATGCTCGCCGTGAGCCATGCCCATCATCTCACTCAGTTCTTGTGCTGACCGTATGGATATAGCTCCACGCCTGCGGTGGAAACGGACCAGGCTACTTCCAGCAGACCAAGTACAAGTCCCTCGCCGACTCACGCGGCGTGATCCTCATCTTTCCGTCATCACAAAAGGACTTTAACTGCTGGGATGTCGCGAGCGCCAAGACACTCAAGCATGATGGTCAGGGTGATAGTCAAGTTCTCGTCAGCATGGTCGACTATGTCATCAAGACGTACAAGGCCGACCCCAAGAAGGTTTACGTCACGGGCACCAGCTCCGGATGCATGATGACCAATGTTCTCGCCGCGACTTACCCGGACCGCTTCGCCGCTGCTACATGCTACTCTGGTGTTGCTGCTGGATGCATGGCCGGGTCTCCTGGATCGAGCCCCATTAGTTCTGACCGTGTCTGCTCTGACGGGAAGATTATCAAGACCGGACAGCAGTGGGCTGATCAGGTTAAGTCGATGTATCCTGGCTACAGTGGCTCGTACCCCCGATTCAAGACCTGGCATGGCACTGCGGATAATCTTGTCTTTTACCGGAACCTTCTTGAGCAGATCAAGGAGTGGTCGACCATTCAGGGCGTTTCGTTTACCCGCAATGAGACGTCGACTCCACAGTCTGGTTACACTACCATGATCTATGGAGACGGAACCAAGTTTGTCGCGGTATCTGCAGCTGGAGTCGGACATGTCGTGCCTACTCATGAGGATCTTGACTTTAAGTGGTTTGGTCTTACCTGAGACTTGCTGTTGTCAGAATCCCGGTAAAGAGGAATACTGTCAGATTCGGGGTTGATGTTGCGGAGGGGAGATATTAGGATCCAAGTGGGGGAGAGAAACAAGAGCAACAAGAAAGCGGGAGGAAAGAGGATAAATTGTGTACATAGTTATTTCTACTACAGTCTTCTCAGTACATAACAACTTCATTCATTTAGCTAGACAGCTGCTTGTGCTCTATTTCACACTGCCGAGCTCGCCTTTCCTCTCGCCATAATCGTTCGCATCTTAGTCCCCCATCGCTTGCTGCATGAGGGAAACAAGGTCATCTCAGCTTATCGCCGAAGCCACGCTTATAGTTTGGATAAAAATAAAAGTCAATTAAAATCGGAATACGCTCTTTTATTAATAGATCATGCCATTATAATAGTTCACGCCGTTCTCCACTTTCCTGTTTCATCTTCACACCTCGGGAGCGCCAGGAGGTCAAAGTTCCCCAACGCCAAGACTCAGCGCTCTCGGACAATCAGCAGTGTTCTAAAACGGCCCATAACAGGCGAAAATGGGCAAACAAGGTTCATAAGTGCATGAACCAAAACCAAGTTCACGATATTCTTAAGTTCATCATTTTGTTCGGCATGAGTAAACAAAATGCTTTCTTTACCATGCGACATTACGTGAACAAGCGTATGAACTGCCAAACGGATATAATCAGACACTTCATCATGACTACATTCGGGTGCAAACTCCAAAAGCTCCTCTGACATTATTAAACATCAGGTCATACTCTGCAGTCTCTCACAATGGTGCCTCAACCGCTCAACCTCACCAATAGTTCCTATCTTTCAGCCCCAACAGCACGAACCTTTGGGCCCAAGACTCCGACAGATATATGCGGCCTCACAAAAGACACAAGCCCACCACGTCTGATAGCTCCAAGACAGCGTCGCCGCGCTACAGTAATCGCACTCAACGGCAGAACACCTCCTCACTTCGCCCTCGAGCCTCCTCCGCGCAGACGTAAAAGCGCGACTGATCGTCGCAAGAGTTTGCAGCCGCATCTTTGCTCTGCGCAGAATCTTACGTTGCGCAATCCAAGCAATGGCTTTATGCGGCAGGGTTCTGAGGAGCGCAACAATCTATGCGACTGTACTTCAGGTCTGGATATAAGATTGACGGAGCTTTGCGTTGAGCAACCAGATCGCGAGCCTTTGCGGTCGCCGGCAATGTTCTCACCTTGTCGTTGGAGCATTCCCTCACCTACGCCAGGGAGTTCGTTTTCACGGAGTGAGCAGGTTTACCAGTTTCAAGGTCACTGCAATGGGAATCGTAAGAGCAGGCGGGCTACGTGGGCATTTGATGTGGATGGGGGTATGAACAAATTGCCGTCTTGTCCATTCTGGTCATGTTCAGAATATCCTGAGGCGCAATCGTCGCGACTTTAGTGGAATGTTGGACCGAGGACAGTATTCAGTTCTATGTTGGCCTTGAGCTATCCGATCTGCGATTGATAGCTCGGTATTCGTTATTGATCAATTTTTATAAGCAAAGCGATGGGGGGCTGAGTTTTCAAGTAATATCATTTATTCAAATTGACCTTTAAACACAATTGAAAGCCTCCATGCTCTATAGATATTAACCTTAGGTCGAGACATAGTCATGGCATAGCTTAGGGTGACTTCCATGACAGACTCGGTCATGTCCGTTAATGTCTTTGTTTTAATCTTGTCTAGACAGAGGTCGTGCTCCTCATAATGAAGGAGTCTCGGACATGGGTAGATGATCGATTGGCCTGAATGGGTCAGAGGTTTCCAATTGCTTGAAGTTGCAACAGCGGCTTAATGAGCTGAGGCGGAGTTGTAGCAGATGAAACTGAACATCGAAATGACCGTTGGCCTTTTTGAAGTCAGCAAAGTGATATTTTTACTACTGAAACAAGTAATAAGAACAGCGAAGTGACATATTATCTGGCGCTATGGTTGTTGACTAGCCGGCCGGGGTGTTGCGCCGGTCTGAGTCATACCGTATACGAGCTAATTCTTGAGTCAGCCTTACCAAAAGGTGACAAACACCACCTCATATATATCAACATGCCTAGTAATAATTCTTTTCCTTCTCCATATTTATTTTTCAATTATTCAATTCACTGAAGGGGAACAATCACAATGCGGCCAGCACCACTCGAGAGATCGCGGCTCTGCGACGCCTGCACCCACGCATGTTCCATGTCCATTGTTGGCTGTACACCATATACCTGTCAAACCCACAGGTCCCGATTCGCCAGCAACGAGCAAAGTTCCTATCACAGAAGTTGGGATGTTCTGAACGACGTGTCAAGATGGGCAAAGTGGTCAAAGACAAAGCGAGACTTTCTCACAGAAACAAGTTCATCAGGGTGTCATCTTTGCATAATAATCGCACACGCCTTTGATGAAAAGTCGAAAGAGACGTTTCAGAGTCTGGGTGGTGATGAGGTTATTCGGCTTTGCTTCAAGTATCGCACTGTTGAGCGAGATCCAAGCGGAAAGTTGGATTGGGATGAGAGGACGAGCATGGCAATTACTGATATTGCGTTGGGGGTCCATCTTCCTGATGAGTTCTGGCTGGCGATCAGGTCGGACAGAGAGTCAGTGTTGGGCGAGGTCTCGTTCGATCTGCGAATACGGCCACTTCAAGGTCAGATTGCGAATGCATGGAAGAACTCTGACTGACTTGATTGCAGAAACGGACACGAGCCATGTGATCAAGACGATCCCTGGCAGACATGCCTCGATAATGAACGACCAGAACTTGCAGCTTGCGTTGAAATGGATTAAAGGCTGTACTCGCTCACACCCCATATGCAAAGAATTCCAACCACGACAGTCGAAATGGCGTCCAACGAGACTTATCCATGTCGGGTCAAAATCTCAACAACCTCGACTAGCCATTCCATCAGAAGCAGTAAATTACATTGCTCTCAGTTACTGCTGGGGAACCGACAACACCGTCACTCTCACTGAAGCAACTCTCACTCCATTCCAAGAGGAAATCCCTTTGGCGAGCTTACCAACCACCATCCGCGATGCAATCACTACAACAAGAGATCTCGGCTATGATTATTTATGGGTAGATGCGCTCTGCATCGTTCAAGACTCCAAACCAGACTGGATCAAGGAGTCCTCACAGATGGGTAGCATATACGGTTCAGCAGTTCTGACCCTCGCCGCAGCTGGCACATCAAGTGTACAAGACTCAATGTTCTGCCGCAGGGATCCTCGAGCAGTGAGACCATGCGTCGCAAACATCATGCACAGCGCTGCCTATCACGGCGTGAGTTACCCATGGGCTATATATCCGCACCAACCCGAGCGCTTACTATTCGATACCATCAACGAGAGTCCTTTGAGTCGTCGAGCTTGGGCCTTACAGGAACTTTTGGTATCACCGCGGACTTTGGTGTTTGGATCGAAACAAATGGTTTGGTCGTGTGCGACGACAGAAGCAAGTGAGACGTTTCCAATTGGCTTGGATCCTAAGTTCAGTTCTATTTTGAACGAGACTGCAAGTTTGTCGTATCTTCGCCAACAGCTCACGAGAGCTTCGAAGTTGCAGCAAGAACCGTCGGAGTTTTGGAACGACTTTATTAGCAGATACACCAAAGCTCAACTTACTTTTCGTTCCGACACACTCGTTGCACTACAAGGCATCGTCGAAAGAATCGTCGAAGCGAGACGTGGATCGAACAAAAGTACACGGGAGCTGGAATACGTCGCTGGTCTGTGGCGCGATACAAATTTCCAGCAGAGCCTCTTATGGCGTCCCAAGTCTGGATCGTCACCCAACCGACCAGATTGTTATCGCGCTCCGTCGTGGAGTTGGGCGTCGCTGGACGGCGAGGTCGATTTCTTTGAGCAATACATACCGTGGATTTGGAATGGGAAGAAAGTTGAGCTTGCAAGGATCTTGGACGTCTGCGTTGAGCCTCAGACTGGTTACTCGATTTCGACAACTGGTCAGATCAAGGCGGGATTTATTGAGATGGAGTGCCATTTGCGGGAATGCTACTTGATGAAAACTCCACAATCCGGCGACACATCAAACAATCGAGTGGATGATGAATATCTAATCATCTCCTCCAATAAGTATAATAAGATTTCAGGAAACGCTTGCATCAAAGAACCCACGGAAGGAGCCCAACAGGTACACAAATTCGCCAGCTCCTGCACTATAGACCTCCCAGACGAAATACCATCTTCTCAGTGGATTCGGGTCTACAGTGTTCCTCTGCAATTAGGTTGGTGTCAAACCGATCGATACGAACAGTCCGTCTGGGAGAGCTACGAAGGCTTAATCCTTGTCCTCAATGACGCAGAAGAGGACGACCTATTGACATCTGAAGGTTTTTGTGTCGTCTCTCGAACCTTTCGTCGTATTGGCACATTTACTTTCGATCTTCATGATGACAATAGAGAAGCGCGAGAAGATGAACTTTTAGGACCGCTGGTGTTTAATAAGGAGGGGAATTGGGAGAGGAAAAGGGAAACAGTCTGTATCGTTTAACAATAGTTGGTGTAATTGTTGTAGACATCTAATATCCATGCTGCTTGAGTTGTAGCAACGACGGATTTAATAGAGTTGTCGCTCTGTCTGGTTTTGTTGTTGACGAAGTGTAGCTTCAGTGATGGAAGCGATGGAGTGGCGTCACTAGTGCTTTGTCTACAGACTTCCAAGTCCAGTGACATCAGCTAATAAGCTCAACTGGTTCAGAGCAATAAATGCGAAATGGAAAAGACGCTGAAGTTCTCCAACTTGCGATTAACGTGCTCTGTTAAGGATTTTGCAGAAATTGTCTCAGAACAATGAAGGGCAGACTGACCACTTTTGAGGTATCCCATAATCGTCTGCAAGGGAATCCTTGCACCATCAGCCATCACTACAGAATTGCAAGCTCCGCGAAACTCTACCTATTATTGACTGTAACTAATTTTTGGCCTCACAATGGGGAGATTTGCGTCCCTGCTCTACGCCAGATTTAAGAAAGCGGCAATAAGGACGCTAGTTAAGCGATTAATTGTCTATACGGAAAGCATAGGGTTATCTACTATATAGAGAGGACCTCTAGACATATACGACCATACCTACAGGAAAATACAAGATCCCGTCAAGTTCTTCCATTCCACAATAATACCACAGCTTTCCAGGGTCATAGCCTCTAATCTTGGAGATATAAATCCTTATTTTTTAAAAAAATAAGTTATTATTAAATATCTGATTAGAGGTAATATATATTTAGAATATTAATATCTAAGTAAGATAATAGTAAAAGAAGTTTTAAAGTTTAATTAAAATATTAATTCTTTTTTTTAAAAATGGTATTTTTATATATATTATAGAAGGTTAAACTATATTAATACTATGCTTAATTCCTTCCCCTTTATATTTAGTACTATTAAGGCTAGTATAAAAGGAAGGATTTTATATATAACTTATTAAATACATTAATTATTAATAGTCCTTCTTACTAGACCTACTTTATTTAAAATATAATTATATTAGGGATTTCTTATAATATATCTTAATCTAATAATATAATGCCTTTTTTTATCTTCTTATTTTAAAAGCCTACTAATAATACTGTCTTATAAAGGTAACTCCTAGACTTAATATCTATAAATACATTTATCCTAATACCTTTTATATCCTATAAGGGTATTTTAGAGCTTAGGAAAGAGAATAAATAAAGTGCTGTTAGTATTAGCTAGATAAATGCTCTTAGGGGTTATAAAAGGGTATATCTTTATTAATATTAGCCCTTTATATATTTAACTAAATTAAGAACTAGAAGTTATTATAAACTTAGGTTAATACTATTAAAGATAATACTATTCTAAACTTAATATATATATCTCTAGTATATTATTATCTGCTTATTGATATAGGCTGTAAGATATTTGGCCTAGTTGCCTAATTTAATATCATGCCAAAGACCAGGGAAGACAGCGACTTGACGCATGGCACTCCATATCGCATCTTGATGGAAAATTTCTTATCGGCCCGCCTAGCATCCGGACGATGTGCGCCGCAGAAAACGGTTATTTCGAGGTGTAGCCCGCGCAATGCTCTCCCTCGCCCGCATTCCTCAGCCACGTATAGGATCCTTTCAGTTTTATGACGATTGCTATATCAGATTAACGAACCGACAATTGACGTGTTCAATCATGATATTCGAGAACGATGGTACACCAAGAATGATTCAGAAGATGGAAACATACTTGTGCACAGAGTCCTTCGTCTCCGATATGCTTTTATACCATGACAACCATCTCCTCAGTTACCCAAATATAGCCTATGATGATGGAGACTATCGCGGGGGCATGGCCGTAAGAACTCTGCTGCAAGCATTATCTTATAAATACGTCAAGAAAGAGGTTCGAAATGGGCCATTCCCCTTTAATTCACTGATTTACATGCTAGCAATATTTTCGTCGATGAAGAATGGAATGTCACTTGTTTCGTGGATCTAGAATGGATTTCTGCTCTGCCCGTGGAGATGCTGGCTGTACCCTACTGGTTGACTGGTTATAAGATCGACGAGATAAAGGGGGACCATATAGACGAATTTAACCAGGTTCGGCAAGAGTTCGTGCGCATTTTTGAGGAGGAGGAAAAGATAGCCCCTTTTTTTACGCCAAAGCGACCGAGTCGTGTGGTGAGACCAACGAGCAAAGTCCGAGACACCGCGCGGCAACTAGAAGATACCGCCAAAGAAACGCGAAAGACCACCCGGCAGACGACGCGAACCATGCCGGCCGAAGAACAGATCAACCGACCGACCAAAGTCCAAAAGAGTAGCAGCAGTGGCAGCAGTAGCAGCGATAGAAGGGCAATACTACAGAAGGCGCTGGATCTCCGGGGGAAGTCGTGCAGGGAGACCAAACAGCTGCAGGAAGCGCTGAAAGAATAAATAGAGATAACCAGGGAACTTAAAAAAGCTGTTGCAAAGCAGGAGGAGATAATGCATGAGAGGGGCAAGCAGATAGTAGAGATCAAGGAATAGATAACCAAGGAACTACAGCAAGCCCGTGAGCAGCTCGAAATTATTACTACGACTGCAATAAACGGACCCCAACGATCATATGCTAACATCATACGGCTGATACTATTTACGCCTCAGACCGATCCCAGGGCCGCGACCTCGACCGCACCCCACAGACACGCTCTACTGCACGATCAACGTTTTAAGAACAGAAGATAATAACGCCAGGCCCTTAGCCGGGATGATCTGAGCGACAGTCGAGAACCAAATCCGCGCCAAACTAGAAAATCCCACGTGGCGATGCCGAGCAGTGACTAGGGTAGGGACCCAAAGAATCCCCACCGCGTCAGGATCACCTACAGAGACGAGAGCAAACATAAGATTATAAAACGCGTAGCAGAAACATAACTAGCCCCAGGAGCCCGTATCCTACGGGACGACCTCTATCCTACCAGAGTGGATAATATCAACCGTATAGTGGTGCTAGACGAGAGGAATAACGTTCAAGCAGAGGTCACCGACATCTTTGGCCGGGAGAACGACACCGAGATCGCGAAAGTAGCATGGCTCAGCAGGAGAGACATTCCCAAGGCGTATGGCTCGATGGTCGTATACCTCAAAGCGCTCAGAAGCCAGGCGATTCATCGAGGAAGGGTTCTTCGTGGCTGGAGGGGAGTCTGGCACCACGAAAGTGTTTGAACGACGTGACCGCCCTAAGCAATGCTACAACTGCCAACAGATCACGAACCACAAAGCCTACCAATGCGACATGACACAAGTCTGCGGCAGATTTGCCCAGGTGGGCCACCATCACGGTCGGTGCAACACGAGGACCAAGAAGAGCGATGATTAGGCTGGGAGGAATAAGGCGGAAATTGTATGGGCTTGGCGAGAGCAAGGCAATGACTAGCGAAGTGCAGGTATCTTTAGCTTCAGAGCCCTTTGGGCGTTGGCCTACCGGGCGTAATAGACTTGCGTGTGTGTGTGTGTGTAGTGTCTCCCCCGACAGACTCGTTTCTGTCACACTACTTTTAGATATATTTTTGGTACATATTATCATGTCGGCAAATGAGATCGGGATGATCAGCCTTTAAATGGACTCGTCTGCGCTTCAAGGTGTGTAGCGAGCTAACGGCGCGTGCAATGGAGTAACAAACTTTAGTTGCACAGTGAGAGAGCGAAGACTAGGCGAGTGTTAATGTGTATCACCTGCCTAACAAAATGGGTCTACTGAGCTCAACCATTCATGAGCTCGCTTCTGACAAGATTCTGCCTTAGACGGCCGCCAAATATCGCGGGGTTAAGTTTTCCGGTCCGCTTCGTACTGCAATAACATGTCATTAGTGTCTCATTCTAGCAATCAAAACTTCAGATTACAACTAGATCGAGATCACGTTTTCTTCGAGTGGTAAAACAACTTTACCTCCTTCACCCCCATTCAAGGTAGCATCAGAGTCACGGGATGAAAAGCTAGCTTCCAATGGTGGTCGTGGTACGATGATGCTCTTACGGTCACTCGAATTCTTGAGGCATCCGATAGTTCTGGCTCCTTGCTGGTTTACCTAGTACGTACTACGACTATGGCGACGAAGCAAAGGACGGTCAAGAACTGGAAACAAAGCCCTCTTGGCGGGAGCGAGTCAACATATGGTTCAGTGACAGGCCACTCGCTGCGATAGTGCCTCTCTTTGCGGTTGTTGGTTTATCTGTACCGTTGCTGTGGGTGATTTTCTCACTGAGGAGGCTACAGGAGGAAATGTCTGAGAACATGGGTCAGGAATACAATGGAAAAGATTGGGGTTTTGGACAGATTGTGTCTGTTGTTTTGTTTATTCCTGTTGGAGTAGAGATGGCGTATCGGTGGCGGTTCGCACCAGAATATGTAAAGGATGAATGAACAAGAAATGAAAGTCAGGGACAATAGTTATTCTTGAAGCCTAAGCTCATACAAATCAACTTTGTCTTTTGTTTAGTTGCATCAAATTTAAGCGGAGATCAGTCTCTTCTAAACCCCCAACATGCACCTCAATACGTCTAAGTCATTACATCTCCCTTAATGATCTCTCAAGATGAAGTTGGCTCAACTGAGTTAACGTTAATTACGTGAGCAGTACAACTTGTTGATACCGGTAAGGCAATGATTAGGGGCGTTTTTGCTCTTGTCATCGACTAACATGCAGGATTGACTATTTGACGTGTTAGCTTGATGTGATAAGGCTGGCAACCAGATTACGGGATATATACCTGTCCTTGCCGAAGGTACAAAAGCAGTCCTTGTCAGTCTTCCCAGAAGCGATTGATGAGCGAAGCCCGCTTTTGTTGATATTGACCGTCTTGAGATAAGGGTAGCAATCATTCTTGCAATTGCCCTTGAGGTTAAATTCATCACAGACTTTGACGTCGCAGCACGCGGCGGCAGCTATATCAGCTCCAAAGCCGAGAGTGAGGAGGGTAGCGGCAATAGTGGTGAACTTCATGTTGTCTGTTTGAACTGAGGAGTTTGAACTGAGGAATGAGGTGCTTGAACGGTTGAGCCAAGTACTGCGGCGACGAAACTTCTATTTATACTGCGTCGGTTGTTCTCCAACCCCTTAGCACAAGGACTCTCACTGACCGAGTTTTCATAAGATCATAACAGTCCCAGTTACTCCATGCAATACGTTGGGCATGCTTCCCTGTCAACCTGTCTCGACCAACAGACCGGCGGTAACAGAGTGGATTTGATCCCACCCCCGAGAGCCCGAGGTGCATATTCTCGTCCGAAATAAGCTTTTCTGCTCAGGCTACGTATGCCTGTTCCCAAGAAGAAAGAAGAAAAAAAAGAAGAAAAAAAAGAAGAAGAAGAAGAAGGTTATGAGAACCGTCGAACCGCGGCGTTGAGAAGTCCTACAGTGCTCTCTGCGAACACGTGAAGCCTTCGCTCAAAACTCGTGTATCCCAAGATCAAAGCCTGAAGAGACAGTGCTATCAGAGCTCTGCAGCTTAATCGTGCATTAACTCACAGCTCGTATTACACAGGTCTGTTGGTTGAAGTCGTCAAAAAGTGAGGCAAGGATATGGATCCTACCGGCCCCTTCGGCGGGCTCCCTACTTCCTAATCTGTCTGCCCGATACCATGATTGGTTCGGTTAGAACTTAAGTTAGCAGACCTTCCTAAGTTAGTTGATGTGTTGGTACAGTTCCGTGCAAAAGTTCTGATACTTTTCGTCCTTAACCCCGGTTCATCACGACTGGGAAATCTCTATTCCGACGGAACTTGTTGGTAAAGCTGCAAAGCTATCACAGTCAGAACCACACTCAGCTCACTACTCCTTGGCGGATTCATACTGCCACATTCATCCACCAGTCTAGGCATAAGGATGAATTATTTTTGGTGTTAATTTTAACGTAAGAATTATCTACATAGATGGAATTAACACCTATTAAATATATTAATCATAATGTTTGACTTAGGCTAATTCTAAGATCTAGATGTGTAATGGGAAGACCTTGTGTGCAAGCTGAGGGGTTAAGGTAGACTGTCTTAATCGGAGGAGTGGCACTTGTATCATCTAAGCCAATAAATAAAGTGAGGCGAGCGGCAAAGGTGGATGGCAAAATCTAAGAGTATATGCATGATCCATTTAAATGCTACTTTTAGTCGCACTTAAATCTCACCACTACTACTTGGGTAGGGCCTAGAGACCGACCCCCCGTGCTTTCCTTTCCACCGTAGGTGCCCGTGCGTCAACCACTGAGGGTACGGTGACTAGGCAAAGGGGCGGGTGTAAGGGGCGGATCAGTAGTTGGGTCAGTGATGATCAGCGAATCCCCGCTGTTATATGTTTTTTGCTGATCTTGCTAATAATATCCTTCTTTTTGCAGGTCATGTATACTGGAAATTTAATCGCCCATCGGCAATGAGCTTGATGGTAATGGCGAATAAACGTGGCGACTTCCATTTTGTTAGGCGGTTCAATGGCGGGGTGCATAGACTGTTTACCCGGCAACTCCCGAGATGAACCACTGTTTATGCAAGGAACTTGGAGCCTGGTCACTTAGGACAGGCACTGAAGCATTAAGTCTAACCATTCGCCATTGAAGGTACGGCTGGGGATGTCGACGTTGTATGAGCTGGGCCTCTGGAATCAATGGACGAAAAGTTGCAGCTTCTGCTGCTTGAATTGTTGGCGGTTCATTACTTGTTCAAGCGGCGTAGGGCAATCTAAAGAAATACCATTATGTCACGATTGAACTACTCGTCTGTAGTTATGGTTTGGGCCTGGATACATAATAATGGTGGTGTTGGTAATGTGAGTCAAGCTGGACATGGCGTAAATGATGGCGGTGTGTCTGTTTTGGTGGCTTGCCTTAATCGGTAGGCTGACTTGATCTCATTTGTTGCCTGGTATCTTATCACGATAAGATAACAACCACCCATGGATGTCTCCATTTAGCTGGTCAACGCGACTCCTTGAATGAGCATGGATGGTATAGGGTATGCATGGCAATCAAGGAAAAACGGACGTTCTCGTCATAGCAATGACAGTGGTTACTTTATTTCAAGATAAGCTCCTCTGTCACTGGATTTTTATTCTTCTGGGAATTAGAATGAAACACAATTTTCTCGTTCTTTTGCGCCCTCCTAGTTTACCAGCTCTGTTGGTCCAATCACTCTGGCTTCTCGGTCAATAAATCAAACACAATTGTGACTGTCTGAACCTCTCTGTTGCACGGAAGACCAACGGGCAGGTGAATTAAAACCGGGTTGATATGCTTTATAGTAAGAGCGCGAAAGGTCTTTTATATAATTCAATGAATCTGATGCATGAGTAAATGGCGGCTTTGTTTGTAGGGGCTCTTTGTTCAAAAGCTGTCAACATGTAAGTTAGACTTTGGCTTTGTTTAGTGCTCTCATTCACTGCCTCCATCTCACATTCAATCCAGCAGGTGAAATTACAAATGGTATAAATTGCTTCCATCTTCTTCAGCTCTATCGTTTCCTTCTTATCTCTTCAATCTCACCATCAACATCTGCCTTGCTCCTTATCATTACAAGCCCTCACTTCTTTCCACCATGGGTACTAAGCGTCGAGCATCTGAGCTGTACCATGAGGCGAAGAAGATGAAGTCAGACGACAGCAATGGCCATGACAAAGTCTCACCCAGGGATTGGGTGCAGACTACCCCAAGAACACGCAAGGTCTTGCCTCGTCAGCCTATCACTGATTTGGATGACTTGCCTGAGGCGGCCCGCCAGCAATTCGACTATCTGCTCCAAGCTATTGGCGATGCCTCCCCGGAGATTTTGTACCAAGTCAATCTTGTGGATCAGATCAACGCCATCAATTCAGATGTTCCCTTCCCGCCGAGCTTCAAGTATGCGCCGTCTCCCATGGACATCATTGTTGGCCATGATATGCACAGTACTTTCCCCATCGCCTTCTGTTAATAAATACACATACTGATCAGTCTACCAGGAAGTGATGTCGTTCATGACTGTGAGGAAACTGGCTGCGACAAAATTGTTGCTACAGTTGTTCCCCTCCCCTACGCCATCGGCTGTCTTGCGGTCGAGGTCAAGAATCCTAAAAGATACACCGGAGATGGGTTATGCCTTGCGTATCTTGACGAGAGACGTACAGGATCAACATTCAAAGCCAAGTCTTGGCAGAAGAACTACGGGTTGACAGTCCAGAGTCTTGCCAGAAAAGCCGCGCTTTCTCACAACCGAAAGGTTCTTGGCTGGTGGGTGCGTGAGATCGCTCGTTCTGAAACCCTGTTGAGACCATTCAAGGGAAAGGACGAGGCTAGACAACAGTTTCTTTCGGGTGATGTGTATGTTGGCGAGTTGACGGTCAGAGTTTCCGGAATGTGATTAGCTCAGCGGGCTTTGCGTGGACAAGAGGCATGGACTGGAGTATCTTGAGTTGCTTGGTGTTTTATTCGCTGATTGGGAGTTACTGGGGAATGGCCTTGGAGCTTTTGCTCGTCTGCTCTTAGTGAATCTGCATGGTGTTTTTTGCCTGGTGAGAGACAACGCACTAAGCGAAAGAGGTTGCCGGAGATAGTCAGGCGCTTGTGCATAGCAGTCAGTGAAGAATGTTGTTCTGTTTGAATAAGTGAGCCGCTCTTTAAATGTCGGCAATGTAGTAAAATATGTCAGGCAAGGAGCCAGAGAATGCGATGACAGCCTGTGTACAAGATACGATGAACAGTAGATTGAGAGATGAGCTCATCTGTTGCCGAGCTGCCGCGGTGGCCCTAGTAGAGCCTCTAAGAAGGCTATTTTGCGTTGCTTTCTGGTTTGATAAGAGACGGCAGGCCCAAATGCTCTGTGTCAAGCCCTTTTTGAGCTGTAAAGTTATGTATTTGTCCCTTGTCCCTAGTCCCGAGAAGATTTAATTCTTCAACACTGACCTCAGACTGTTTAACAGTAAGGACACCGGCTGTTGCGATCGCATCTCTTATTGTGATGTCCTGTGATGATCTGCGGAGCGGACAAAACAGAGATTTGGTATTACTGCTGTGTTGAATTTAGACGAGACATGAGGAGAGTCTCTAGTAGTCAAGGTCACGCACAAGTCTTAGCAGGAGAAATCACCTTCGGCCTTCCAAGTTTGTTCTCGCAGTGGCAGCGACACCCATTGTGCGTTGCCAGTGTGAACATACCGATTGCAACTAATCATAGCAGTGTACCTTCGTAATTGTTTGCCGGTTGGGTTGGAGTTCAGACCGCCAGTGAGTGCCACTGTTAATTCACCATATCGAGTCACGAAAGTCCAGGCATCTGAAAGCGCCACCACTCGGGGCGGGAACACTGCTTGCGATCCTGTAAAGGTTCATCCAAGTTCTCCCAACTACTGAACTATCTCTTCCACTTCCAAACACACATCTCTCCATCGCAATATCTTCAACACCGTCGCAACATCACTTTCCCACAACCTTCATCAACCATTAACACCTCGACGGCCCGAAACAAACCACTCCGCTCTTTGGTCCCCTTTCCGCACCTTGACCCGACGTCAAAATGGCCGATCTCATCGACCCTCAAACGACCAAGTTGGTCTCTATCGTCTCCCTTCTCTGGATCATCTCATTCACCCTCTACAACCTCTTCGAGACCAGCGACATCATCTTCTTCTCAATCATCCTCGGAACTTCTTTCGTTCTCACCGCCGCGACTTGTGTCTGCCTCTCGGGCCTTACCGTCATCGCCGTCTACTTGTCGGTCCTCGCCAACGCTGCGATCCTTTATATCATCGTCCTGCTCATCCCTGTCCTTCAGTATCTTATCCAGCGTGTTTCCTCTATTTTCACTCATGTCAGAAATATCTGCGATCGCGTGATTCGGTTCTTCGATGCGGTGGTCTCGTTCTTGGAGAAGCTTGGTGATGCGGTGCAGCTGTTCCCTGAAGCATTTGACAGATTCCTTCACAGAACTGGAGATCTGAAGCCTCTCGTTGATGAGTGAGCGCTTTGTCGGCGGGCCAGAGGTATCGAAACTCGGGGAGGGAGCAATGCAAAGAAAGGCTCTTGGTTTTGTCGATTGGAAATTGGCAAGTACTCTACATGAGTATCAGGGAAAGGCGCCTCCCCCTTGGTAGAGATTGGACTGTTGGTCTTTATACAGCATGAGAGGATAGCCTGAATGTAGTGTACTGCAGAACAGAAAAGCTCCGCTGTATTCTCTCAAGTCAGATTCGCCTTGTGATCCTGCCGAGCGTACTCTCGGGTAAATATCCATTGCCGCTGTCGTACCTCCTATAGAAGTCCCAATCTTACAAAAGTCAGCCAGGTCACTGAGCTCGTCTACCTATTCTGATGTCAGCTGCCGTCAAGATGATCAAAGCAAGTGACCTCCAATGCAGTCATGGGATCCTGATGGATTGATTACCACAATTCCAGAACCCATAGCCAAGGTACAAATGTCACGTGACTCATAAACCACGGATTCCCTAAATCAGCATGCAGCGACAAATCTCCTCGTTGCCTTTTCCAAGCTAACTCTAGTTATTTTTGAGGCCACTGAGTGTGGAGTAACTGTGGAGAAATTTACTTGATAAGGAGGTAGCGCTTGTGAACTGCCGGGTCTATCTATAGTGTCTTATCTGACTAGAAGCGTCAGATGATAAGCTTAGCGATGTAGTCAGGATACCATTACCAGATTAGGAAATGATATAAGAAGAGACTAACATGAGGCCCCTCCACCCTTCAGCAACCAACGCAGATAAAGAGCCATTAGCAAGTTTGGTCATAATGATAAAAGGCTCAAATGGCCTGCAAAAATGTTGTTGGGATATGGTACTGACCAACTTGCAGTATCAATCACCTGCGTCAGAAATAACAAGATCATAGCGGCCTGCCCACTCTCCAGCTCCAATCTTCCATCTAAACATCCTACAACATGTCTGCAAAAGTAGCTCCAGCCCTAGCGAACATTTCCCCTCCAACTCTCACCGCTCTTGATGACCTCGACCTGCCAGACTTTGATCCTGCAATCCACCTCGCTTTCCAACCCCCTACTCGTCGCCACAACTTCCAGGACCTTGGTCTGCCACAGCCAGAGAATGCGCCTGATCTCTGCGTTACAGAGCCTTTTCAACTATTCTCAGAAGAGGGAGTGCGCATGTTACGCCGCGAGATGCTGAGTAAACCAATCCTTGACAAGTATCTTCGTTCATGGGATCGTGCGCCGGCTTACATTGCGGGTCATGAAAAGGTCAGTTCAACGTCACTCTGACGATAGTGATACTAAGCTCATTGTGAAAAGACGGCAAAGTTTACCCTTCAAGCGTGGCAACATCCCGCGACGCAAGCTGCCATTGATAGAGCTGCTGGCTTCGGATTACGTCTCCTGAGGCGCGAAGCAGACCTGGGCCTCGTAAACATCCAACTCGGCCCCGAAGGTCTCCCCGGCGTCTATAAACTTACCGAAACACCCTCAGCCCCACTCTCACCTCAAGAAATGCAAAAGTCTAGCTACGACGACATACCCATTGATGCCTGGCACAAAGACCAAGTCCCCGTTGTATGCGTCGTCATGCTCAGCGACACAAGCAGCATGCAAGGCGGCGAAACTGCCATACGCACAGGAGACGGCTCCATCGTAAAAGTAAAGAGTCCAACCGTTGGAGGCGCTGTCATCATGCAGGGTGGATGCACAGAGCACGCTGCATTGCGCGCGACAAATGTGCCCGAGAGGCTGAGTATGGTGAGTAGCTATGCATTTGCGGACCCTAATCTGGATGATCAGTACACGTCGCTTCGAAGTGTGGACTTGGGAAATGATGATATTCCGACGTTTTGTAATATCTTTTTGCAGGAGAAGTTGCTCAGGTTGAGGGGGCGAATTGATGCGGTTTTGGAGACGCTGGTTGAGAAGGAAAAGAGGGGCGAGATGGTTGAGAGGGGGGAGTTTGAAGGTTGGGTTAGGGAGCAAACGAATTTTATGAAACGAAGTGCGTGGGAGATGTATGAGCGAGTGCCGAATTACTTGGGCAAGGATGTTCCGGAGGATATCATCAGGGATTATCTGAGATGAGATTCGTGACCGGGAGAAAGGAAGTAGTCTTGTAGCCGTGTCTGTGCAAATTACGTTTCGGTATCATCGATATTCAAGTCACAATTGATACAAAAAAAACGCAAAAAAGAGATGCTACACAAGGTAGGACTCGTTTGCCTCGACACGGGATCGAACCGTGGACCTTGTCATTACTAGTGACACGCTCTACCACTGAGCCATCGAGGCGCGATCTGATTGGATGAGATTTTCTGTCGCTCTCTGGCAACAAGATTTTGTCACAATTCGACGGGTGTTGCTCGCGTGTCTACCCGATGCTCAGCGACAGTTGCAAACTTTGGAAAAGGTTACGTTTAGGGATGACCACTGAACTGAAGGTTGCTATTCTTAACACCAATGACTTTGGCACTCGAGAGAGTCCGCACCATTGATACGGATTGCAATAGACAACACTGTTCATCCATGCGATAATATCTTTTTCTGTCTTGAGGACTAGTACAGCTTCGAGAGCGCATCATTGCTGTCTCGAACACTAGACAACAGTCACAACCATTTTCCCATTTGTATCTCCATTCTCCATAGCCTGATGAGCAGCATGTATGCCCTCAAAGGCAAACACCCTCCATGGCCTAGCGTCAATCTTCCCCTCCGCCACCTTGAGCATGATACTCCTCAACGGAACATCAGACACTGGAAATTCTTCTGTCCCAAACACAAAACTCCCAAAGAAGCTCAAGTGGACTCCGCTTGCCATTTGCAGCAGCGGATTGAAGCCGCGCGACTCGTCGGGCCCTGCAGGTCCCTTGATGGGATCTAATCCTCCTAGCCATCCCGCCAGGCAGACGCGGCCATCTCGACGGACTAGCTGTAGTGAATCGACAACTGTGCTGTTGCCCACCAGGTCTAGTACTGAATCGAACTTCTTGAAGTCGTGGTTCTTGATGAGGTGTTTGCTTAAGTTGGGCGTTTCGAGGACGGTCTCGGAGACTCCGAGGTCTCGCAACATGGCAAACTTTGTTTCGCTGCGACTTGTCGCCGTGACAATAGCCCCTGCATCAACAGCGAGATTGATAGCTGCTCTTCCAAAAGACGAAGTAGCACCTCTGATCAGAATTCTCTGCCCGCGTTGAAGATCCAGATTTCGAAACAGGCACGTCCAAGCAGTAGCATAACTTTCAGGAAGCGCAGCTACATTTGCCCAAGACAAAGGCAGTGATTCTCCAGGATCTCCCAATGCGACCATGTTGCTCGTATTTGCGACGGTGTACTCCGCGTAGCTACCGGGTATGGTCCGTCCGAGGCCGCCCATAAGTGCTGCTACTGGTGTCCCTGGAGCAAACTCGCCTCCTGGACAATCCTCGATGATTCCGACACATTCGATACCGCTGATGGGGACTGACTCGGCCCATTCACCGCGCCGCATGTGCATTTCTGCGTGGTTGATGCCAAAGGCTTTGATGCGGATGAGGGCTGTACCGGGGGTTGTGGCAGATGGTTTGGGGACGTCTTTGATGACCAGGTTCTCAACAGGACCGAACTCGGAGATCAGTATAGCTCTCATGGTAGAAGACATTGTCGAAATAGATACACGTTGGTCTTTGATACGAAGGATTGTGTTTTAATGAGCCTGGTTGTCTTACTCAATTGCTGCGATGTGATGTAATTTTAATCTCAACGCAGGGACCAAGGCTCATATTTAACGACTTGTCGAGTTGCAGAGCAAACACTATAAATGCCATGCTGATAAAGTCCAATTCTTGATTCATGTGACCTTCAGGGCGCGCCCTTTAAACTGTGCTTCATATTAACATACCAGTGACTAACCGTTTGCTGTTGGTAGATGCTGACACGGAATACTTATGTAGTTGGCCCGGTATGACGCTGATCGCCATCATTTATAAGCGGGCTTGCTGGTGCAGCCACTAAGTTAGATCCAGCCAATCCAAGGCTTTGGTAGTGCATTATCCAATTGATGGTAATCGGTAACATGACAAACAACCCCATTGAGGACAAACACGTCTCTCAGGCGAGTTATGTCTTGCTGAGCACAGTGGTATCTGATAGGTATTTCTATTGCTTCTGTCTTTCATGCATTCCTTCTTCTTTTGACGCCGGCCTATCTTTTGGATTGCAGCACTCTTGTTGCCAGTTATCTGATGTAGAATGCGGTCTTGTTTCAAGCTCAGGTCAGTGATGCGAATACATGTGCTTGGGAATAAGCTTCGACTGTGAGAAACCTGGCTGGCGATGGACTTTGAAGATGGCTCGATGTGACGGCCGCGTAGCGAAATGGTACTATGTCTCATTCTATTCAAATCTTACCACGCTGTTGTATACCCAACTGTCTCCCTTTTCTACTGAGGACATGATCGAGGCTTGATCACATTTGTAAACGGTTAAAAGACCCCAGCCCAGAGTTCTGTCAAGTTTAAGCTCCTAATAGACATGGTAAAAGGCTTGGCATATGTTGCATTGGCCTTGGAGATGAAGACTATGGCTTTGGTTGGTGACGACTTAGTCTCGCTGAAATATCCCTAGTTCTAGATATTTACAAATTGTTACTTCCAAGAGTAATCTTATGGCTCCTTTCATTTACGGCCCAAGCTGAATATGCAAGAAGCAGTAGTAAGTAGGTAAGGTTTTCTTTATAATGCTCTGGCTTTTATAGTTTCACTAGCAACTTATCTATTAGACGGGGCAGAGTGATAGGAAAAGGATAAAATCAATTTACTATAAAATACAGTTTAAATCTCTCTGAAGTTATCTATCCCATCTCCCAATGCCCTTGAAAGGTCTGTACCTCGGCATTTAAATACATACTAGGAGTAGTTTAGAGCGCCAATTGACTCTTGCATGTCACCAACAATGGCTCAACTCTCCTATACGATTTATACTCTAAGGATTCACCGCTGGAGCGTTCTGGTTAGCCGATGCCCGATTAGTCGCTGCTTGACTAGCATCCCACTCTGCCACCGCGGCCGGAGCAATCCTCTTCACCTTGCTTTCAGGCTCCCAGGTTGTATCGTCGCCCGAGGTCGAGTATCCTACCCACTGACAGTGAAAGCGCCACTGACCTCTATTCCAACCTTTAGCAAGGATCCTGAAAACATGATACTCCCGTAGGCGTGTCGCGCGCCCACGGCCACCGCGGTCGCTCCAGTAATCATACAGTGTGCGATCAGCGGTTTCTTGCAAGACGGCCTCGGGTTCCCAAGTTGGTTCACTGTGGTCTGCCCACTTGACGAGAATTTCGACCGTCCTTTCTCTTCTATTGACTCTGTGGCATACGAAACAGTCGATTTCGAACTGTTGGTTGTTCTGATTGTTGGCGGCCATATTGGATGAGAATAATCGGTCTGACTGTAGAATGGTAAGGATTTACTTGGGTATCAATAGTGTCGATGTTTGTGATTCTGGTGCAGGCTTTCTTAATCCTGCAGATGCGTTTTATAGGAAATGATAAATCGCGAACATGACACATAGTGGACAAAAGGGTGACCATGTTCCAGAGATAAGTCGCTATTCAGTAAGATCATTAATAGTACTCTTTGGCAATTTGAACAGCTCCTTAAGGAAATACCGCTGTTTTTAACCGAACAAAATAGACTATAGCACTCTTTAACCCCCCTGATTTGCATACGATAGCCTTGCTTCGAAGGGGGTTGCTGTATGTTGAGCGTTCAGATGCGTTTCGTTTGGATGCTTGCCACGGGCTTCCGTACAGCAGAACAGAGAGATGCTCCCCAATATGAAGCCCGTGGACAATTAATCAGGACTCTCGGTTGAAGGTAATGGGGAAAGGCCGTTATTTAAAGTTCTTATGAGGGGCCGATACGTGTTGTCTAAATGATGATAAACAGTACTTTCCAGCGACAAGCATACGAGCACCTGGCAGAAGCCGATAATAAAAGGTCCGTTCAGAAACCCGAGACACAAAGCGAGAATTCACAAGTTCAGAAGGATCGAACCCCATGATTAGCCATATCGTCGCCAAGGATCTAATAGGGAGGCTCGTAATCATGGGATAGTCCCAGATATAGAGTTTTGAGAAGCATTTGCCTGTCATACTGGCAGATATTGAGTTCTGATGTTTTGCCGATCGAGGAGCCGAACTGAACTCTCCGTAGCCTTTGCAGCTGAAGTATACGAGAATTAGTTGCGACACCCGCTCGTGTGACATAAGAAATGGGGAGAAAAGGGACTTGACGTAGCCAACTGCCGCGGTGGCCTCGACGAGATAATGGCGAGTGGGAAGACGGCTCAACTTGCTTTCGTTTTCGTGGATCCTCAGTGTTTATGGCTAGCTACTGACAGTATGGCGGCGTACTTTCTATGGAGCACTCTGTTATCCGGGAGCATGTAATATCGATAATAGCATAATGACAACTGCATTCTAGGACCAGGTTCACATCGCTCATTCTACTTCCGAAGAAAGGAAGATGTAAGTATAAGCTCTCGATGACATACCAAAATTTGGGCTTTCAACTGCTAACGCCTTTATACAACTGTCCACAATGAAATCAGGGGATAAACGATGGTCTGAGCCAGGACTGTTCTAATCATTGATGGCTGCAGGCTAGGGGAGGTAAGAAAACTTGGCACCTTGACCCTAAGCGATAAAAAAGTTTAGGTAATTTAGCCTAAGCTTAAGAGACTCTTTAATGAGTTTGTTTTCGCATCATCGTCTAAAGTCTTGAGCTTTTTTGCTCCCCGAGGGCAAGGTACTTGTTTTGCTGATCAATCTGTGGGTCAAGGCCGTTTGTCGAGGATCTCCTCGCTTCGATGAGAAATCTTGGCACTGTCTCGAACCGGAATAGACACGCCATCGCTTAAAATCATTCATTTTATTACCTCTATTAATAGTCTGAAGGATCAGAGTGGAACAATTCTTACAATCCTTTACCGTATAAATGCCCGAGTTTAGCTGACAAGCATTAAAGAAAATACACCGCATTGTATCCGATGCAGGGGCTCAAGAGTTCAAATACAAGAGAAATCCGTATAGAAATACAAATGCACAATTATTACATTCTGGTTCACATGAAACTTCTGCAAATAGTCTCTCTTTAATATTCGTTCCTCTACCGTCACTCGTTCTACCCAATAAAAGACAAAATGGCACGATCAATCGCTCTCGCAGCTCTTCTCTACGCCCTCCTCATCGTAGCGCAACCTGAAATCACTTCTACCCCTGCCGCCACTGCTGCTGCCCCAAAGACCACCGACATCTCTTTCACCGACAACATTTCATACCCTCCGGAATCCATTGACGAGGATGTGAGCTTGACGATCGTGTCGACGATTACACGCAGTAACGGCATTGACTGGTATGCCGTTCCAATCAGCAAGTCTAATGGGACTGCTACTGGAAGTGCTCCTTCAGCGACTGTTGATGTGGATAATGCTGGGGCTGGGATGACGATTGGGACTGCTGGTGTTATTGCTGGTGTTGCTTGCGTGGTTGCAGTCGTGCTGTGAGAACATACACCATAGGATGTGAGTGATGGATTGGGGGTTGGGGAAGTGGTAGTAGGGTCAATATGTCGCCTGTGATACCGAATCCTGATAGAGCCTCTGGTTCAATTGTTGCCTTACTAGTCTGATGTTCTTCAAGCACTGTCTTCTTGCTCCAACTTTATGCTGTAGCAATTGGTCAGGCATTTTTTGATAATGTCGAAGTTGTGAGCCACATTTGTTATTTGCAGTTGAGACTTATCAGCACGGAGAACTTAGTCTTCTTGCTCTATAATTGTTGGCCATCTTTGTTCTCCAGGTTTCCTTATCCTTTCCCCTCATTCAAAATCACCTGCTCCAGCAGAGCAATTGCTTTCAAGATGTCTATTCCCCGTCGTCATGGTCCAAAGGTTGCTCCCCTTAGCGTGCTTCTGCAAATGTGCAATACAAGACTCAGTCTTCTTCTGGCGCACCACCAGATCTTCACCCTACTTCTCCAACTCCATTTGTTGAATCGTCAAGCTATCCTTCTTCATTCTTGAGAACCTTATTCAGTTCACGCTCAGATAGAGCATGAACTGAAGTACGTTGCTTGTCGCACTCCACTGCTTCTCTCGATCTTAGTCTTCTTAGGAAATAATGCCCGTTTCTGCTCTGTCAGCACCCAGTTACATTCATGATAGCACACTAGCTGAAAGAAATAATATGTTTTCACTCTCAGGGCTGTCCAAAGTCATGAGCTCAGCTAAATACTGTGACGCCAGCACAAAGTGTCACTTTCCCGAATTCCACTAATAACATCCGGCATTTCATTTTCCGACAACCTGAGTCGCAAGCTTCCACTGGCAATGGTCACCGCTCAAGTTCTAGCGCAGTATCGCGCTGCACCACAGCTTGGGTATTGTACGGCGCCACCAAGACCACCTGAAAATGGATGGACTATTATGATCTCCCTGCTATGATTTGGTACATTGTGAACACCAAAGACAGTAAGATGAACATCCCAAGGTGAGATCCAACCAGGACACTGCTCATCGTGGATCAAACATTGCCAGATACATCTCTGAATTTAACACATCTGTTTCCACAGGCAGCACATGAATCTTCTACGACTACGACCCCACACGCCAGCCTTTCATTCAATGAACATCATCTTGTACGGACAAGTCCAAGTAGACAGTACTCTCTTTCGATGAACCCTCTTTGAATTGCTTACTGTCTTTGATTCTCTGATGAATCTGCGTGAAGCCCATTGTGAATCAACACCGTCTCATCGTAAAAAGTGCTCTGCTGCAAACTCCAGAATTGATTTGGCAGTTGGAACTTTGGGGCCCAGCAAGCGTACTGCGAACACCCTCTCGGGCTCGAGCATGTACCAGTGTTATCACGCGGTGTCAATAGTTGCAGACTACCAAAACCCACTCACTTCTGTCACTGGCAGAAGAGCATGCATGGCTCGACCAGTAGCACCTTGGTCCACCGGGCACGTCCAACCAGCTGCTGGGCCATCTTTTACTAGACGCTCTGCCAGTGCCACTGCATCAGGAATGATGCATGTAGCTTTGTCACGTTGAATACTTCAAATAACAAACAGATTTTCGTCTTGTTTTCTTGCTTCGTCTCCTTCCCTCCTTCACCATCAGAACAATTTTATCTACCATATCATCAACTTCATTCATCACAACAACTCTCAACCCTATCACACTAAACTCATCTACTCATGGCTATGACCATTGAGATCGAGCCCGCTGGCGCTCACATTGTCGTGTCGGTGCTCATCATGACCATCGCTCTCATCTGGAGCGTCGTGAAGTGCTTTGGCTTTGGCAAACCCAAGCAAGCTGACCCTGTTTGCGCAAGTCTTCACCCCACCCAACACATCACCCTCTAACCTATCCACAGACCCCGTTCACGGATTCCCTCCCCGCCCTCGGTGACACACCCCTGACCGCGACCGAGCTCTCCCATCGTCGCAATCAGGAGACCATGAAGAAGCAGATCGCCTACCTCGAGCGCAACCGGCAACTCGCCTTCGCCGAGGTCTGCCGTGTATACGCCCGCCGCATCAAGATCGACGAAAACATCCACAACCTGAAGGAAGCCATCAAGAAAGCCGAACTCCCCCGTGACATCGGTCGCGTCGCCGAAATGAAGAAGCGAATTCGCCACTTTTGGAAAGAACAGGAGGAATGTTACGGAATGGTGGACGACATCTCTCACCGTATGTACCTCATGCTTATGCAGAGACTGACTCTCCGTCGTAAGATTGATCGGCTTGATATGCAGATGGAGTGTAACCGTCTTGCGGATATTTTGTATCCTCAGGTTCCCTTTGAGCTTCTGGATGATGTGAAGGAGGATGTCAAGAAGTAGTAAGGAACGGGAGAATTGCTGGTTGAGTCAACATACCTGTTTGGGTGACGGAGGATGGACCGTTGCTGTATGAATGAAGAGTGTCCGTGTTTTTTGGAGTCCTTCGGATGTATTTGGCCTATTTGGCACACACTTTGGTGGAGAAGCAGTTGTCTTACCTTGCCCACTTTACCTTCTTTCTTGTATTAACAACACCTTTTCTGTATCTTTGCCCCAAGAATTCGGTAATTCTTTGATGTAAAACTAGTATGTGCCGCCTGATGCTGTTCAGAATTGAGCAAGGGTACATACGATCAATGAACAAACACCGTTGTTCACTGGAAAAGGTGTTGATCTTTGTTCTGGCTCGAATTTGACAAAGACATATTCAAAATTGCCAACTGTCCCAAGCCTACTGTTAACGAACTTCCATGTCGCAGATATATCTAGTAAGCGTTGCGTCAATAGATAAGTTAAACGCTGCCTGGAGCATTGGGCCTCACATATGTATACTTGCGTAAAAGCCTCAACTTTAATAGCTGGGACAGATTAAGTTCTGAACAACTGGGAAAAATGCGAAATAATTGTTGATGGGAAGATCCTTATGGCCTCAAAGGCCAAGACTGGAGAGCGTGTCGTGTTGACCGGCCTCAGGAACATCGCTGGCTATTCTTGTACCTTGTATCCTGTATCCTGTCACATGGAGCCGAACTAGAGCTGGACAAGACTACATATACTCCATGTGACCGCCGATACGCATGAATATGATATGACAGATATCTTCTCTCTAGAGCTTCTATCTAGAGATAAACTCTGATTCTAGAGCTATAGTCACTTTCAGAAAGGTGTAAGGACTCATGCGTGGCGCCATCTTGCTATTCCAATTGGCAAGATTTTTTCGGGTCGCGATTCAGAAGACTTAACGGGTTGTCCCCTTTCCGACGTCAGTAAGACCTGGGATTCAGGACTTGGGTCAAAACTAGACTTCTAAATATTTATCACCACTGCAATGTCTTTCTCGCCAAGCTTCTAACCCTAGAAGATACCAGTAGCACTTTCACATTCCTTGCCAAGTCACAGCCCTAGCTGTCGTTATAAAATTCAGTCAGTTGTATTCAAGAAAGCAAACTTCACAGATAATGCACGTTCCAAAAATTGTTAATTGCGATCATTGCTTTATTCAAAAGTTTACCGATCACCACTTAATTCCTCGCCATCCCACCATGTGGCTGGCACGTCTAACCTTCAATGACTTACACTTTGCCCATCCTCGTAAGAATCCTCACCACTTAACTCAGAGACCTTTACTCATACTCATTAATGACATGGCCAAAGCGATCCATCCACGAGTCCTCGCCATAGAATCTCCAAGCAAGAACACCTCCAAGACTCCAATGCAAAACACCGTCTTCACGATCCAAGAAGTCAAGCTTGCACCTCTGAAGAAGAGGATGGGGAGGACGGATGTTCTCCTCGTCGTACTGTTCTTTGGCCTTGTATGGAGAGTTGAGTAGCTCCTTGGGTCCGATCATGATGACCTGAATAGCACCATTCTCAAATTCCGGCACCCGAGGGTCAACCCAGTGCCCTTGCTTTACTTCCCACGCCCCTTTGTTACCATCCCAGGCTACCTTGAGATAAATTGCGCCGCGAGGGGTGCTCTTTGCGTGGTATTGACGAAGCCAATTGGTAATGAACTCCTTGGAGAATGGACGAGACACGTAGCTCAGCACCTCTTCCTTGTTCAAGCGCTGCGTATCTCGACCTACACCCTTGTCCTTTACCGCCCCATCAAGCTGCATGGCAGTACGGCGATGGCGAAGCTTAAGATATTCAATCACAATAGTCTCGAACATTATAGCAAGCTTTGTAAATGGTGGGGTACAGGCGATCTTGCTATATCCAGCATCAACCACGGTATCAGCAAAAACCTGTATGGAGAGCTCTAGGATCTTGAGACGTTCCTCGCAGTTTTTGGTTGTTATCCAAGGATATTTAAACGCTGTGTCGCGGTCCATATTGGAGTGCGCAAGTTTAACGTCAAAGTCCATCAGCTGAAGAAGCTTGTTGTACTCACAGACAGTCTCTCGGTCGTTGACTTCCTCGGGGTTCGGGCCCTTAAACGCACATGCGATATCCTTCATGTCTCTCATGATTTGATTAACAAGCTCAGTGAATTCATTTATATCCCGTGACTTCAAGTCTTGAGTGAGGGCGTGAACTCCACGTTGAAGGTTGTCGAGTTTACTCTGAAGTGATTCCATGATGATGTTTGCGCTGAGGCAGTGTAGAATAGATGTTGGCATAAGATATTGTTGTGTGCTTCAGAATGGATGTGAGCTCTTGTGAGATCGGTGGTTGGGGTGACTGTGATATGATAGAGACTCTCTTGGTGAGCAGTGTATTTATAGTTGCCGCATTTCAAAGCTGCGAGGACATGTTCTGTACTCAGGCCTTGACGCTCAAGACCCTCCACTGAATACACTTAACGTTGTGAACATTGAACAGGGAACAATTGATACAGGAATGTCACATACTAGTGAACTCGTCGCAATTGGACAGTGAGAACATAGTATCAAGTCCGCGAATCGGCAAACCTCTCAAACCTCGCCCCGGTCGCGATTGCCGTCAACGAGCCGCCTCCGCTGCCACGTCGTCAGGATATGGAACAGCTAGAACAGTGTGTTGAGGATCTCCAGATTGCGCTGCGGGGAGAAGCCGATGGGCCGCAACCCTAGGAACTTCTTCACTACACAGCATCTGCGCGCAGCGCTTGGTCGACTTCCCAGATCAATACTTTGAAACGTCTATGTGAAGAGTCGGGGATTATTTGGCCGTGAAAGCTGTAAAAGAATTATGCAACTTTATTAATATTTAATAGTATTTTAGGCCAATCATGGCTTGGTTGGATTCTGAGAACGGTTTGTCTCTTCCACCGTTGAGTTCATACACAGTTATAGGGTATGTTGATTTGTTGCCTCTTGCACATATATGTCTCGATTTCAACTGGGGTACATAAGTAAATCTACTTCTGCGTCTTTACACTTGCTGTATTTAATATAGAAGCTTTACATCAATCACTGCTTCCACGTATAAGCAACAACATTAGACCTGGCCTTGCCTAGATGCGAGTTTTGTTACTGTTGCGGCGCGATTACTGATTATAGATTTGGGAATCCCGGCTCAGGTGAGGGTCAGCAAGAAAATTCACATACAGAATATATTAAAATGCTCAAGAAGCTGGTAAGTATACATAGAGTAGGGCAATAAATGTCTTAGGCCCTGATCGGCAAGCCCGGATTAGTATGTCGGGGACGATTTTTGGGTACATTGGTCCTTCGAGGTATATACATTTGTGCCGTTTTACACCCGGGATAGCTGCTAATAAAAAGCTGCAAATTGAGGGAAATTCCTTGGCAACCTTGCCTATTCGGGTAATCTAAGCGGCCCTTACTAGCTCAGTATATAGAGAAAGATGGTCTACTAAGCCTAATTAGGTATAGCCCCGGAATGGCAGCTAAACGGAGCCCAATTCAGCAAAATAGTTAAAATTATGCTACTTTATGTAAGATAACGGTTAAAATGACTTCCCAACATGTTATTCCGGGCTTGCCGATCATGGCCTTATTAGTCTGCTACTTAGAAGCGTATCCAGCCGTTCTAGAATCATAATGGCAGAATCACCACCGGCAGCGACAGTCGGCGCCCAACAGCGCCTTTTCTGTGCCTGTGTGTGTCTTTCCAACAATGTTCATATAATTACTTCAATCGACATTGCAAAGGATTGCAACAATGCGGCGACGGACCATATCCATGTGCCGTTCCTCAAGTGTGGAATGGTAAATATAATATGTCATCAGCTATGCACTGCAGGTATCTGCAGGCGCGGCAAGAATAACCCTCTTCCGACGAGCGAATGCCGTCATTTTGATACTCATGTCAAAGCTCCGAGTAACAGAACAAGGTAACAAGTTGCCGGAATAAATGTAATCGCATCACTTGAAGGCCACAGTCTGATCAACTCAAGGGTTTGAGGTCTGCAGAAATGTATTGATTGTGGCATTGCTAACATTGCTTGGTTAAGATGTGAGCTGAGGCATAGGATTGTAAGCATGGGAGCCAACCAGGGATCGTTATGTTACTTCAGGATAGCTCTCTGGTTCTTGGAGATATTAAAAAGACGACATGCCTTTCTAACAATTCGTTTTCGCTCTCGACGAGTATTGTTATCGTAAAACTCAGTGTTCTAATCAATGAAACCCAAGCCATGTGTATCTCTATGGTTCGAGCTTGGGAAAACTTCGCCTAGTCAAGAATCGGTTCTTCTGTGTCCATGTCTTCGACCGTGAGAAATTGAGGCTTCTCAGTGTGGTTACGTGGATTCGACAAGGATGAATGTGAAACCAACATGTGGTATTAAGATCGGTATAGAGTTGCCGGTCATGACCTTGCACTTTTACAGGCATAGAGGGGGGAAGCAATCTGATTAGCGGATCTTATTACCCCGTACCCCGCAAATTTGTCCCCATGGGCAATTGTAAAGTTAAATCCATATAAGGAGCCCCCAATCCGCGATCTGCCAGACGAACCTGGAATAGCTTCTAGGTGGTCGGGCTAACGTGACACTATCTCCGGTCCGTAAGACAGATCTCGACTAAGCTTGAGTGAAATTATGGATGATAGAGTTTGGGGAAGTCTGGGGTATTATTGGGGGTGGCTTATCCGTCATTTACTTGGTCTTTTCCGCCAGAGGAGAGTTCATTCGAATCGGTATCGTGCACGCAGAGAGAGGATTGTGGGTTTTTAGGCGGACTGGCACGTCAAAGTTCAGATGAATGAGGTTGAGAAAGGCAATCAATTAAGGGATAAATAACGGACCCTACAGGGACTCTGGGAGATTGGTTCCATGTTTCAAGTTTCATGATAGCTGAGAGTCAGCCGGACTCGGAATAAAAGGTACCGAAGCGACGAATCTCAGGGACCAGGTTGAGCCAGAACGGCAACATAGCAGACATACACAGAGTGATCTCAGAAACAGTCACTAATGCATCGAATCATTCCGAGAAACACGAGCCACTTACAGCAAATTTCAGGGTAGGGAATGGCTCCTCGCCTAGCCTTGGCGAAACACTTTAACCCATTTGGGCACTTCCCTGCATTATCCCACGAATCACACAACAGCGCACCGAACTTCAAGTGCCGAACTGCCGAGAACTCGTTGAACGACCATGCCTGTAAATATTTCCGACGTGGAGAAATTCCCATTATAGCGCGACTCGCACGTTTCGAGCGTGCCGTATAGCCAGAGTGCCGATACCGATTTAGACATGCTGAGTACGGGGTAGGGGTTCTAAGATGAGTGGAATGGGAATGACTATCTTCTGGAACGACGAGACGGAATTTGAATATTCCTTCAATGGGATCTGGGAGTACGATTGCAGTTGAATAGAATAGATGATGATCTATAAAACATCATCTTGTGCCAACTTCACAAACAGTCTGGATTGATTCATCGCCAAGCACTTCAACAACTCTTTGCATCCTCTTGTCTTTGTCTCACACGAATATCACAATGGTTCGAAACATCGCTATTGCGGCTTTGCTGCCAGCTGCCTTTGCTTCAACGCTGCCTGTAGGACAACCAACTCATTCCAAGCTCATACCACTAACAAATCTCAGAAGCGAGACCCCTGCAGCGTCACTGACTACTCCGGCCTCGCTACCGCCGTCTCATCTTGCACAAACATTGTGCTCAACGGTTTCCAAGTCCCCACTGGCAAGGCTCTTGATCTATCCAAGCTCAAGGACGGCGCAACCGTTACCTTCAAGGGCAAGACCGTAAGTTACTTTCTCCGTGTATCTGAGGAGTGCTAAAGCTGAACGTGATAGACGTTTGCCACTACTGCCGATAACGACTTTGATCCTATCGTCATTAGCGGAAATGGCATCACTATAACTGGTGCATCTGGCCATGTCATTGATGGTAACGGCCCGGCGTACTGGGATGGCGAAGGTTCTAACAACAAGAAAAACCCAAAGTATTTTCCCCCCACGACCTGTTGCAACAGAGGCTATGCTGACCTTACAAAGGCCCGACCATTTCATCGTTGTCAAGAAGACTACCGGCAACTCAAAGATCACAAACCTGAACATCCAGAACTGGCCCGTTCACTGCTTCGACATCACAGGCAGTTCACAATTGACCATCTCAGGGCTCATTCTTGATAACAGACTTGGCGACAAGCCCAATGCCAAGAGCGGTAGCTTGCCCGCTGCGCACAACAGCGACGGTTTCGACATCTCGTCCAGTGACCACGTTACTCTGGATAACATTCATGTTTATAACCAGGATGACTGTGTTGCTGTCACTTCGGGTACAAACATCATCGTCTCCAACATGTACTGCTCCGGTGGTCATGGTCTTAGCATTGGATCTGTTGGCGGCAAGAGCAACAATGTCGTCAATGGTGTTCAGTTCTTGGATTCGCAGATTGTTAACAGTGAGAATGGATGCCGCATCAAGTCCAACTCTGGCACAACTGGCACGGTAAGCAAACACCCAACCCATCACGTGCATTCTCAGGAACTAACTGTGTATCAGATTGAGAACGTCACGTACCAAAACATTGCCCTTACCAACATCAGCAAGTATGGTGTCGATGTCCAGCAGGACTATCTCAACGGTGGCCCTACTGGAAAGCCCACCAACGGAGTCAAGATCAGCGGTATCAAGTTCATCAAGGTCACTGGTACAGTGGCTAGCTCTGCTCAAGATTGGTATATTCTGTGTGGCGATGGTAGCTGCTCTGGATTCACTTTCTCTGGAAACGCCATCACTGGTGGTGGCAAGACTAGCAGCTGCAACTATCCTACCAACACTTGCCCTAGCTAGGTCTAAGCGGGACGATCACCACTCCATGTTCACTAAGCTTGAACCCAGTCAAAGAGTGGTCTTACGGTTGTTGCGTGGAATTGCTGCGGCGGACAGTTGTGAGCTTGGGTCTATAGTAGTATTTGTCCGATAGTCACTAGGCTTATCTTAGCAATACACTTTATTTATCGCAGCAGTCTACATATCAAGTACTATTTTAGTAATACGCCACTCCGACATTTTGTTGTATAAGAATGAGTGTTCTGCTGCTTGCAATAGTTGCAGTCCCAGTGCAAAATTGTAATTGTAAGACAGGTAGCATGGGTACTGGAGCAGAACATATGGCTAAAAGGCCAAGTGGATTGCTGCTCGCAGGTGATGGCTTATTTATTCTGGCAGTGCAACAAGATCATCAATCCGTTAAACCCAAGTACCCAGATGGACCCAACGACTTTGCAACTGCTTTTTAGGATGTGACCAAGTTCGATGCCAGCGTCTTTGAGCACAACAGAGCCGGTAGCCAACTTCACTGGCAAAGCTGTCCTTATTATTGGTGACAGCAAAAATAACATCATACAAATATGTTGCCGAGTGGATTTACACCATTGTCGTGTTCCTTTACACCGGTTTTCAACAAGGGTGATAAGGTCAAATTGACGTCTTTGCAAGATGGGCTCGAAGGCTGTCATAGATTCAGTTGGAAGTAATGTACTAATAGGCTGACCTTGCAGTATTTCGCCATCGAACGTAGATATCGTATTGTGGATCATCGAAGCAGGAACTCTTGATGGATTTAAAACACTTGGTCTACAGAGAGTCAATCGGCCAGGAAGAAATTCAACAAACAAAAATAGTACCAATATAAATTCTGGCCATCTGTATTTTAAAACTACAGCGAACTTAATCCTTTACTTATCCTTGCTCAGAAGTCGGCGCACTGCTATCTCCAAAGTATCCATATCGTTCCGTCCCCCAATGCCGATACTCTCATTATCAAGCTCTTCATAGATCACAGCAACGTCCTCAGCCCAGACTCGCTTCACAGTGAAGAGTGTCGCGTAATGCACCTAATCCGCCCAGGCTTTCTTCTCCGCCTCCTTCAGCTTCGAGAGCGATACGTATGGGACACTCCACTTCTCTCTGCTTTGCCTCTCAAACTCTTATTGGTAGACTACAATTTCACCTAGACATTCGGGCGACTCTGGCATTCTTGTTATAGGGCGCCCCTCATTTGACATAGGGCATGAACTACTCGCTTCTATCTACTGCGAAAGGGGACCCTGAGATTGTGCCCAGGGCTAGTCTAAACTACCAAAGTTTAGTTCATACTGACTAAGAAAGACCATAAAGTTTCCTAATACTTAACAAAAGCCAACCAAAGCTTATCAAAATCTCTAGCCGATCCACAGAACCACCGTAAAATCGTCATAAACTCCTCATCGCAAATCTGGGTCTAATTAGGCAGCTCGACATCGTACCCGTGTCGCTTGATGTCGTCCAGAAGCCACTGCATAGGCGTGGCGTAAGTGACATCGAAACCGTCGGCATTGTCCTGCTTTCTCAATCCAGCCGTGATCATGCCACCAACCCGGCCCTCGAGGTCAAAAACAACAGCTCCTGAGTCCCCTTTATCGGAGAAAGCATTGCCAAGCCCAACGATACACCATTCGCTAGAGACCACCTCTTCCGCTATTTCAAAGGCGTGACGAAGGACGGAGTGGACACCATTGGCACGTCCGACAGTGAATCCAGTTGTGCGACCATGCTTCAAGATAACAAGGCCCGGGGGGCCTTGCTCACTTCCGGGGATAATGATGGGTCCAATAGCCAGTTCATGAGAAGCTGAAAAGCGTAGCCGACAGGCCATCTCGGTCGGAGAGGCAGGGATCTTGCTCACGAGCGACGAGAGGTCTTGCGTGACTGGGATCTTGTTTCTGAGCTCGCTCAGCCTGGTGGTAAAGCTGTCCTGTGCTAGTTCGACTAGAGCCCAATCTCTGAGTCTGAGACGTTGAGAGCAAAGTTCGATAGGAGGCGAGAACTCAACACGACCAATGACAGCGCAGGCCTCGTTATCAAACTGTTCCATGCGAGGCTGGCAAGACTGCAGCAGAATTTGTTCTTGCAAGAAGTCTGGGAGCTTGTCCTGGAATCCGGGGGCGTCATAGGCGGGCTTTGCCATCTCCTTAATGGTCTCATCAATTGCTTCCTTCCTACCCTTGAAGCGTCCCACTAACTTGCTCAGATTGTCGCTCCCTGGCTGAAGGACATATTTGGTGTCGTTCCCATCGTAGTAACGGTACTCTTTGCAATATTCTGCCGAGAAAAGACTATGTCGACATGCAAGTGCGTACGTTTTACCATCGTTGCCCTGTAGGTAGAGGCCCTTTGTCCCTTCTTTGAGCTCATGAGGTGAATCAATCGACGTTCCTATATACTCTGAGATGTCCCGAAAGAAGTCGTACTTAATATCGTTGATGTCGTTGTCGAAAGGGCCAGGGTCGAGACGTGGGGCGCTTTGGCCAGCTGACGGGTCCGAGGTAGCCGGGCCTGGGGTCGAGGCAGTGGTGCTGACGATACTTTCCTTCATCTCGACTTCAACGTCATTGAGCCCGAACCGGATGAGAATATCTTTGCACGCGATGATTGTGGCTTCTGCCTGTCGGAACGAAGTCGAGTTCTCAGTTATGGAAATGAGCATCGTGACTGGGCACTGTGATAGTCGGTCATCATCTTGGTATGCGTCCTCGTACCCAACGCGCAAGATGTCAATGGCGGTCCAATCGATGCCGCTGAGGTTTCCGATGATGAGTTTTCGAAGGGATCCTTGTGGGTCATTCCATAGCTGCTGAATCTTGTGTCCCGTAGCCACATCAAGCCTCTTGTTCTTCGGCCACTCATGAGGCTGAAACCAGGGCGTGATGCTGGATCGGGCGACCAGTTTCGGGCCGCTTGGAAGGCCGCAATAGTACATGCGGCGCTCTCGATCGCTGGGCTCTTGAAGAGACATGGCGATGCGATGAGGGGCGGAGGAAAGAGCTATAGATGGGGATGAGAATAGTTGAGATACAGAAGTAAAGTCTTGAGACGAAAGATGTCGAGACAAAAGAGTTTGCGTCTGAGATGAAAGAATTCGAGGTGTTGTACAGATCAAGAGTTGACACACTCTCTCGATATTTGTCTGCCTAAGACATCTCGAGGAGGAGGTCACGATCTCTAGCCATGTTTATATATGCTACCAGTGGGAGTCAGTAAGTGGGGGTAGGCAGGGGCTGGTGATTCATGAACGTAGTATGTCTGTGATATAGGTACAGGTAGTTGGCTCAGGCAAACCAACAGAGCCACTGGCAGAGGAGTGAGACCTGGGTGCAAGGAAGCCAATGTTTGTCTGTTCTTGAATTCTGAATCCGGAGCGCTCGATGTCCTAACGAACTCAAGCAAAATCCACTGTCAGATGTATTGGGAGATGTTGAAGGAAGAGAGAGAGAGCCAGTGGTTGGAAATTATCTGCTGCCTTGAGGCCATCGCCAAGGCAGAAACCCTTTTGAGGGTGAATGTTGACGTGGTCAGACAAAGACATTCTTTTGAACAAAGGAACAAAGAAAATATCACCAATTAACCAGATCTGCGATCAATGCCATGTTTGCAGCCACTACTTGCTCATAAACAGTTGCCAGAGGTATATTATACCCACATCGAACGACAAGAGAACGGTCCTGAGAGCTGATGCTCCGAGACTTTATAAAGAATCCCATACACAGTATCCAATAGCAGCACTTGAAGGGCATAGGTTATTTTATCGCAAAAGGCTTACGCAATGTTGAAGAGTTATCTGTCTAACTGGAGTATAGCGGTAGAGTTGATGCTGTGAGCTGGCGCTTTGTTTAGCCTACAATAGTTAAAGTAAAGGGTTAGGTATTCCCTGCTCTTGGGGTGGGAGAGGGAGTATCGTTGTCAGATTCAGCTGGTGTTTTGGGGGAGTCTGGGCTGGGTTGGGTAACGAGTGGTGGAGTCTCAGGGTATGAAGGCATCTCGATGTCCGAGTCTGACATGATGGCTGAGTTAAGCGTGGCAGAGATCCTGTTATAAGGAGTCTGTTTCTTCACTTGTTCTCCAAGCCGGACTAGAAGCGAGAATGAAAGGATGAAGAGGAGACGAGAAAGCATTGACCGGAGGAAGCTTGGGAAAACCCTTCAGCAGACAAGTGGGTGGGGGTGAACCATGCGGGATGGACTCCCTAACGTGGGTAGCCCATGAAACACGGCAAATAGAGCGGTCTCTTCGCTGTTGCCACGTTCGATACTACATCCCATCTCCTCGATGATCCTGAAAAACGAAAGCCATTCGGTGCAAAACGGGAACTAAGCGAGAATCACGTCTTTACAATTTTCAGTATGTTTAGTAGGTATTTGGACCTACCTGCTTACATCCATCATAATCATCATAGATCATAGCAGCAGCATTGTTTTAACGGGCAAGTTTCCAGTCGTTGGAGCAGGCTCTGCGTTTAAGGTTGAAGAGTCCCGGAGTAGGTTTTCCTAGTTGAATAGAGATAGAGTTTGATCATTTGATCGATTTTACGTCCAATTGAACGCTCACGCCTCTTTGTTTTCCGATCAAAGGTCATTGACTGAACATCCTCTACAGATGTGGAGACTGCACCTGGACCTATGCCGAGCCTGTATTTCAACCACTGCCTTCTCAGTCCCTATTAACAAACAAAACAGAAGATGATATATTATATTGTTTATCATTACTTACATTTGGGACCAAAGTAACTGTACTCGCAGAACACTATACTGTATCCATATGTGTTTTGTATTAAACGACTGGCTGCGAAAATGAACACACGATGAACAAGCCCATATAGAACAGTAAGCTATCAAGAGGAATGCCTCATCAAAACCATAGTCAGCTTAGAACACAGAACACGCCAATCCCCTCGCGGGATACTAAATGATCAAACATCGAGGTTTGTGAACATCGATAGGACAGCTGGTTCAAAATCGTATACGAATATCAGGGGCAGGATATTAGCCATTTCATAAAAGGCCGATTTGCAGATTCTAAGTATAAATATACCACTGACTCTTCTAGACAGCTTCATCTAAGCCAGACGACAATTTGTCAATCCAAACAACAACACTCTCTAAAGGTAAGAAGGCTTCTGACATCAAATCAAAAGCTCAATCCAACACAAACAATTGAAAACAAGGACTAACACTTGACCCACACTAACATTACTAAAGACCGCACGAGGCCCAAAATGGCAGATCTCGATAAGAGAAAGGCAAAGAAGAATTCCGAGCCTATACGCCAAGGAATTGTTCAATGCCTCTCGAAGCGGAATGCGAGGACCTTGCTTCGAGAACGACAGGACTTGAGAGACGATGAGGCCAAGGTGCTATTGGCATCGGAGCAAGACATTGATGTTGAGATGGACAAGAAGGGCAAGAAGGCTCTTGAACGTGAGGAGTCAAGTGACTCTGAAAGAGGTCAGCTTCAAGCCAAAAGACCCAGTCTTACCCGGCACGGTGCTCTAGTCCCACGTATGCCAGTGTCTCAGATCCAAAGTCACCCAACTTCAGATCGAAGACGTCCGCAAAATGGGCAATTGGGGTTTAATTGAGGTTAAGATGTATCGTAAAGGATGATCTATACTGATGTCATGACCTTATCCCGGCGTCAAGAGAGTCCGTCGAGAATCATGCAGACGTTCTCGAAATGATCCAGTTCGAGCGCGAGCAACACGGTATGAAAGCCGTTAGTGCCGGGCCCAAAGCGTGGGTGATGCTGTGGTTTTTCTCGCCTATTATTGCGATGATGGTATTCGCGATAAGTAAGTGGTTTGCATAGGTAGGTACGAGAGACTAGAAGAACATGTTGTTTCCGTTGCGATGTTCTGTTTGTTACTACAAGTATGCAGATACTGATTGACGTCTAGAGGTATTGTGATGCGAAGCTTGTACGGTCGTTGATTCTTTCTTTGGTAGATAAAATCTGTCAAGGTCAGTCAAGGTTTCTTCAGAGTGAGCCAACACTGCTAGCCTTTTAAATGAATAGAGAAAGGCTCATGCAGAGAGCGCAGGTGCTGTTCTCAGGTACTCGCGCCTTACCATGTCAGTGCTTCATCTCTCCTACGTGGCTGTTTCTTGGTTTGTAGTTATCGCTGGACATCTCACCTTGCGAGTTAGAATGATCATCTTATGGTGAGGGTTTGGGCGCAGGGTATCGACGATAGCGCCGCCTATGCCGCCAGCGCCTCCGGCTACAGCAACAACAACCATGTTGAGTATTGAGGTTCTTGAAAGTAAGGGATAAAGGGAAGATTAATGTTGTGCTATTATGTGTGACGAGATAGATATCTTGCACTGGGACATGTCTATGTGATCCCATCAACACGTAGCTAGGGGTCAGCCATTTCATACCCAAAAGTTTAAATAGCCTCGCCGACAACTTCTAACCTCAAATGCATGATCGCCAATGACATGGACCAACAGCTGATAAATCGGTGCCCGGAACGATCCTTAAATCGAGCTAAGCTCCAAGCCATAAAGCGCGCGCTTTCTTAATTGGGCAGCGTGCGGGGTTCAAGAGTAATCATCACGCACGTTGGGGGAGCAAGAAGTCTTAAGACCTCGATCCTAAGTGACAAGACTTAGGTAAGTTAGCATAAATTTATAATAACTTCTGACGATTCTATTTTGATATCCCGTATCAAGGTCTGATGTTTTCTCTCTCCCCGAGGGCAGAGTCCAAACTAATCACTGCGGGTCCTCATCCGCAAAGCAAGGCTTGACAAACCCTTGGTAAATCTTCATTCACTGGCTATTTTCAAGCTAACTGTTCTAAAACTTGACTACTGAAGGTCCCGGGATGATGTACTCTACATCACTCCACTCATCCACAAAAACATTATGCAGCAAACCCGGATCTGTAGAAGAATATAAATCCGTCGCAAACAAGCCATCAGGCTGTGCAGTGCCATCTCCCTTGATAATCAGGTTGATACATTGAGGATACATCTGCGTTGTTCCCTCAGCGCCTCCCGCATGCAGGGCAATGATTTCATGTCTGAGGACATAGCTTCCGGGTGCTAGTTTAGCCGGGATCGTTATGTTCCATGAGAAGTCTTCATCACGAAGTTTGTTATTCGCCCAATACCCTGGCTTACCAGGCACAGTTCCCCTCGTCAACTGCCCCATCTCATCAATCTTGAAAAACTTCAACTTGGTCTTATCCACTGTTGTGCAATCATCATTCGGACATCGCGCCATGTAATCAAGAACAGGTCCCCAGTGCGCTTCAGGCCAATCCGACCAGCGCACCGTGATGGTCGCGCCAGCAGTGACGTCTGCGGTTAGATGCCCGTTTGTAGCGTTGAGGTGACAGGTGATTTCTGGAGAAGACAGTGCGCTCGCAGTCGAGATGACGAAGCCGTTGTCTTTGGCACCGTTAGTCCAGGTGATACTCTCTGGTTGAGGTCCGTAGGGGACTTTGGTGGGGTCGTGGCCGTAGTAGCTTTTGTCGTTGATGAGGACCTCGGATACATGGCCGTGAGCCGATACCTCGGATGTGAAGAGAGCACTGAGAGTTGCGAGAAGAACTGTCGTTGACAACATCTTGTATTAATAGTAGAGAATTGGCAGAAGCTAAATTTGAATGAGTGAAGCCAGTTTGGTTAAGTTGGCGCTTCCTTTTGGTATTAATGGATGGCTGTCTTTATATAGCTTCCGGTTGATATTAACCAATAATAGGCAAAATGGCCAGGAGCTGAGTGTTTCATTCGGTCGACTATGTTCCGTATGGCCTTTTTCGAAGCAATTTGCTACTTCTTTCGGCCAATTATCCTTCTGCGGAGCCATTTTAAGAAAAAAGGTAGTATTGCAGAAAGTCTTCACAAATGCTGTGTAGGACTATCCTAATTAGATGACTGTATGGGTTTTTCCATAATCCTACGGAACGCCGCTTATTCTCCAAAGTTTCTTACATGGGTAAGTCCTTTTGCAGTTCACAGCATCATGATAACACTTGCATCATGGCAATATGCTATTATTGCCATGAATACAGCTTGGTAATACCATCTTCTCCACCTCGCTGCTGTCGCATCTGTACCTGGCAGAATACTTGCTAACGATGTCATGGAGCTTCGAGGTTGGGTGAAAGCAGTTGGTTTACGATAGGTCTTTGATACAGACGGCCTTTCCACTGTAGGTATTATTATGTGCCGTAATGATTCCTAGCAGCTAAATGTTGGCTATGATATTCATCTAGCATTTCCCCCGGCAGCTAGGTTGATAAGTGATGATCCCAACTGAGCTATACAAAAAAGTGAAACATAATAAAAGCAAATATATGCTCGACTGCTCTCCACACATCCCGAGTAGGTTTTGAAAACAATTCTCCGGACTCCAAATTTCGTAACGCCCAGAAAAACTAACTGTATTTCATCAACAGTAGCTGTCTTAGTCCTTCTGAAACTCTGTCGTCCTCTAACATACAATAGCAGTACTGTAACACCTCTATTGATTGCCGCCGATCAGGATGATCCTCTGATAGTGTAACCGCCTGGACTGCAACCACATGCTCAAGTATTTCAGTCGCCTCTTTTGTTTGCCCATTCCTTATGTATGCTACTCCGAGTTCAAATTCTGATAACAGCGGATAGAGATCGTCCTCTGGTAATATACCTGTCCTAACTGCAACCACATGCTCGCGCAGTTTAATTGCGTCTTCCAATCTTCCATCGGAATCATATGCCACTGCAAGACAATTTTGTGATATCAGCCGATGTGGGTGATTCTCTGGTAATATATCCGCCTCAACTGCAACTACATGCTCTAGCAGCTTAATTGCATCTTTCATCTGTCCTTTAGATAGATATGCTGATGCAAGCTCGTGCTGTGACGCCAGTCGATCTGGGTGATTCTCTGCTAATATATCCGCCTTAACTGCAACTACATGCTCTAGCAGCTTAATTGCATCTTTTATCTGTTCGTTAGATTGATATACTGATGCAAGCTTTTCCTGTGATCTCAGCCGATCCGGGTCAGTCTCCGCTAAGTCTGTCCGAAATGCAACATGCTCAAGCAGTTCAATTGCATCTTTCATCTGCCCGTTAGATAGATATGCTGATGCAAGCTCGTGCTGTGACGCCAGTCGATCTGGGTGATTCTCTCCTAAGTCTACCTGAACTGCAACCTCATGCTCTAGCAGTTTAATTGACTCTTTTATCTGCCCGTTTAATCGATATACTCTTGCAAGTATATGCTGTGACGCCAGTCGATCTGGGTGATTCTCTGCTAAATCTGATCTTATTGCAACCATGTGCTCGAGCAGTTTGATTGACTCTTTTGTCTGCCTGTTAGATGCATATGCTGATGCTAGCAAATACTGTGACGACAGTAGAGGTGGGTCATTCTCTGCCAACATTGCTTTCTCGGTTTCAACGACAGACTCAAGTATAAGTACTGCCTGTCTTGTCCGTCCGTCAATGAGCAAGCATTGGCTAACCTTATATCCGAGTACCCATCTGTCATCGGTATGGGCGCCATCCACGCTTGTAAGGAGTCTGAGTGCATGTGGCATATACTGCCGCCATACCTCACGCTTATCCCAATCATCGCATGGAAAGGCCTCGGCAATATGTGCAACTGCCATCTGACATATTCCTTTCTCGAGTCCATCGTCTTGGTTCCATCTTTGTGTTGCAAGGTGCACGAGACTGTGCATGTCGAACGTCTCGCCATCCTCTCGCTTACTCAAGAAGCTGTATCCGCAAAGTGTACCGATAGCACGAGTCAATTTTTGTTCAGAGCCCAGCGGTGGAAATAAAGCACGAGGTATGGCTTTTGGCTCAAGACAGGCTGTGATAGAGAGAAGCGTCGCAGCGTCTTCGTGTAGAGCGCGGATCTGATTAAATGATACAATCCAGGTTGTAGCAACGGCTCCTTGAGAGGGGTCGTAGTGAGTGCTGTCACGGAACCCACAACTGAGCAACTCCACCATATCCTGGTCTGTATTTTGGAGGAGGCGGAGATACTCGTTGACTGAGATCTCATTGGCTTTCATGTATGCTGAGGCTTGCGTGATTGCAAGCGGTAGATAGGCGAGCTCTTGCAAGAGCTTGTCAATAAGTGCTGTGTCCTGCATCTGGTTCTTTTCAATCAGCGAACCCTTCAAGAGGGCCTTAGCATCCTCATCATTCATCTCAGACAGCTTCACGATGTTGCTTTGTGCCACGCTGACGGCTACTTCACGAGATCGAGTTGTAAAAAGAATGTAGCCGTGATCACAGTCTGGGATAAACTGGTTGATACCCCCTGGGGCCTCGGCCGTTCCGTACAGAGTTTCGATATCGTCGGCATTATCCATGATAAGAAACCACTTTCCGGCCTTTTCTGAGTTAAGGAAACTCTTAAAAGCGTCCTTTGGGGTCTCCTCGCCTTTCTGTTCAATGCCAAAATCGCTTATCATCTTGGTGCAGGCTTGTTCAAAACTTGCCATGCTCAACGCGGGCATCCATATGACGGAGTAGTTGCGGTCTGCCTGGTCTTCTTTCTTCACAAGATGTGCAAGCTGGAGAGCAATTTGTGTCTTGCCGACGCCACCCAAACCGACTAAGGCGACCCGTTGGCCATATAGATCAGTGAACAGAACTTTTTGAAGCTCAGCGATTGTTCCCTCGCGACCTGTAAAGTTCTTGTTCCTCGGCAGCGGTAGGTAGTGAGTTCTGGATTCTGTCATGCGTGAGTCAGAAAGGCAGAGAGACGAATGGCCAAGCTGTACTAACTAGTTGTCGCATTCTCTCCTGTTTGCGGTGGAATTACTGTCTGTTCTGAAAGCCAATCTTAGCGAAAGGGTTCTGAGCAGGTTCACTGGCTGGTTTTACCAATCTTCAATCCCTGTGTCATGGGTTCTCCAGCGAGTCGTTTTCTCTGATCAAAACATTCTCGGTCTGCTAAAGAGCAGCGCCTCTTGACATGTGCAGCTAGACACACGACATCTTCAAACACAATTAATTACTGCCATCACACGTTGGTTGCTACGAACCTTGAGTAACAGAAGGGATCCAGAAGCCCAAAAAGGCTTTCGCACAAGCTGCCGCTGTAGCTGCTGCATATCGCTGCCAGACCTTACTTTTGTGACTATCAGCATAGTCACAACCGCCTTTGATGATGATACATGGGAAGCTATCCCAAACCCCAGCACCTTCCATCTCAAAGGCAATGATCCCTTCCGCTGTGGCAATCCTGTCACGATCTTCGCCAGATTTCATGACTACATCCCCAGAGGCCATCAACCCAAAATGGATAGCAGGTTTAGTAGGGACGTCTGCAGTCGATAGGCGGCTTCGTGACATAAGTTTACCGTTGCATCTAAGCTGCTCGCATGACCTTTGATCATCGGTATGACGATAGGACGCCTCGAATAATCTATCTTTCGTAGCGCCAGGATACTCGGCATGCAGCTCTGGGTCACTTTGAAGAACAGCTAAGTGGTCTTCTATCTTAGCGTTTAATTGGCGACGATGTCGAAGTCCTTCTAGCTTTGCTAAGACTCCCCGTATCTCCAAGTTGGGTCTACCTGGGACGTCTAGCAACGTATCCTTACGGGCGAAGCGCTCAGGCAGCTGTCGACCAAAGTCATACTGAATAACACCGTTGCTAATAATGACATCGCCGAGGATGATTTCGTCCTTAGCAGGGCCAAATGGAACAACGCCACAGATCCCAACCACGAGGGCAAGCTTGATACTTGGAAAGCTCTTCCCGCAGTTGGAAGCCACAGTGGCCGCATGAACCTTGCCCATACCTGGCATATGCGCAAGAACAACATTGAAGCGGCCGATTACGCCTGTCGAGTATGCATTGGGGTCGCCTGGCACCTTATCGAAAGGTGGACCGTCGTCTTCCCAGTGATGATCGAACAAGGCTTCGATAGCATCAGCTTCAAGGGTTAAGGCACAAATGATAGCTATCTCGAAGCCTCGACGGTCGCTTGGGCGAGATGGGTAAGACTTCGCAGAGCTGGTATGGGTATCGGGGGGGTTGACTGGGACCCTAGCGCTATCCAGAGAGTTCATTTTGGAACGCCATTGACTGGGCTAGACTGCCCGGTCGGTGATTTGAGATTGCGATGCGCAGATTGATTGTCTGTCTCGCCTTGTTGGCAAACAAGGTCCGGCGATCGGCTCCCCAGGCAGGGATGGAGATCTCTGATGGTTCAGAGGAGGCAATAAAGCCAGTAGAGGGATAGGAGAACGGCGCTGATGGCCGTTGGGTTCTTTGCTGACCCACGGAGTCTGTCAATTCGGTTTGAAAGTATATTGAAGGGAGAAATCTGGATGAAAATGATGGAGCGGGGTAATTTTCAGCTCTATCTGTTGGTTATGCACTTTTGCAGGCAACAGTCTCATCATCCTTGCAGAACCAATACTTCGGGATTCGCAGCCAATTATTGCAAAGCTGGCACCCTACCAGTCAGATTTCAGTTTAACATTTTGGTTCTCGTGATCCGGGCGAAAACGAGCGTGAGAACGAAATTGTCAAGACTTGAGACGTTGTTAACATGCGCTGTATATAGTATATGAAAATTACAGAGGAGGTTGGCTTTCTTTAAGTTCCATGTTGTTACAATAAGACAAAAATTGTGAGTTAGATGCATGAGAAATTATTTTATATGTTATCGTGTTGGCAGAACACTATATGTACTGCAATTGAGATTCAACAGCTGATACATGCATCGCGGACCTGGCCTCACGATATGAACCCTGTGAGTCGCCTGGCTAGTCCTTCTCCTGGCCTGAAAATTACATCCATACTGGCAAAGATATATTTTCAACTCGACTGCCAAAGCCAGTATATAGATACTTGTAAAATGTGTAAAACTTTAATGAGGCTCTGATGAAAAATAAGGCAAGCAAAATGGATTTCATGTTTAGTAGTAGAAAGTCCTATAGCTACTTGCTTTGATATGCAGGATTATATCCCTGGTTGGCATCCACGTACGAGTTACATTTAACATACTTAACCGATCGAAGGTGAGTTACATGCGATGGACGATTTTGTGCTGGTTCCTATTCTGCCATGCTAGGCCCGGCTCGAACCGTCCTTTGATGACCCACTAATGTAGTCAGTGATGTCTGCTATGAATGCTTATCATGTGCTTTGCCTCATGGCTGGGTTTGTTGCCTTGCGACCATTGTGAGAAGGTTCAAATACAAACATCATGTGTCAAAGTTAAAGTCATGCAAGAATTTGGATTAAAAGCTGCAAGATAACTCGTATTTTATTTGGCGACTAACTTGCCTATTATTAAACGAGATTATATATGGTATTTGTTACCTAAATGTAATATTTGGCATATTTAGTATTTTAAAAGGATATAATATCCCTGAGAATAATATAGCTTTTTAAAACCTGTTTTACTTAGGTCCAAAAGTTTCAAAAGGGCAGAGAGAAATTCTATTGTAATTTATTTCAAATATAATATTTACAGAGTAAAGCTTACCCTAGATCTCTTGATACAGGAGTAGTAAACCTATAATATAATCTTGATATTACTATTTGTACCTATAACCTGGTTTTTTATTTTTACTAAAAGTCTATAAATATAGAGATTAAAATAATATCAAGGGTGACTTTCTTATTGATTAAAGAGTTTAGCTCTCAAATACAATTTACCTAGAAAAGGTCCTCTAGGTAAGTCCAATAGATCTTAATCTATAATCGCATCTTATTATGCTTATCGCGTTATCCTACTAGATAAGATAAGCTGATAGCCAGATCTAATTAGCTTGACAAGGTCAACCTGACCGCCATCTTCAATTGAGAAGACAAGGTTCTTTTGTGCATGTGTGGAATCCTCGTTATGGCTGATCTGCATTGCATACAGCATTCAATCTTAGCTACTACCTTGCAGGAGTTTGACCTCTCCGTCTAGTCAATACTGCCTAATAATGGGGACCAATACGTCTCTGAAATTACAACAAGTAAGCATTCTAGTGACACGCATCTATAGCTGCCCACGCAAGGCAAATAGTGAGCTCGAAAATTACTTACATTTACTCCCATTTGCCAGCGCCGACGTGAGCCGCGCTGAAAAGGTATGAACTGTCTGTTTTTTATCCGAACCCCCTAAGAAGAGGTAATTCCTTACCATTATTGCCTGCAGCGGCATTGACAATAGGCCGTTGCTTGGTGGAGACATCTCGCAAGGAGCATCTTGACGAGTCTGATGATGTGCACCTTTAATTACGTTGGCGACGACTGTTCTAGGATAAGTTGTATCAAGAGGAGCATTGCACATCGGCTTTATCAGTTGGCCAAGGAGTTGAGATATCGCTTTTCGATGCCTGGGGGGCGGCACCAAATAATAAGAACATGGTATTACATTAGCGGCTAGATGGTAGTAAATGTATATGCTGTAACACTATTGGCTTGCATGTCTTGTCTCTGTAAAGAAGAAACGTGACGTTCTCCGCGGGGTGACATCCACATGTAGCAGTTGGTGAATCGGGCCATGTTCCTTGTACAAAGGTAGGATCTTGGACAGCATCGCCAATATAAACAGTGACAACGGGTGGGCGATTCTCTGTCTCGTTTACCTATGGCACCACGTCATCTGCCCGGCCATTCCAGCTTTCATTTCCTCAGGTGCAAGAGGCAGCACGTTGTTATTTTCGACCGAACTTCTGCCACTATCTGGGTGGGTCACAGCCACTGTGAAGTTTCTCCGGCCGTGTCCCAAGGACTGACGCCACGTACATCTGGGCTGATCTTGTAATCAGGCCTGAAAGAGTTCAAGACGTCTTGTGTTGTGAATATGTCTCACTGAGCAATATAGACTGCCAATGACGCATATCTGCTGCGGACGAACGGGCCAGATAGGTTGAAGCTCATATTATACTGTAAAGTGAAGCTAAACGTGTAATAGACCGCAGCGGTATCGATCTGTGCCCAGATGTTTCCTTTGTAGGTGTCTATAACCCAGGAGCAGGAGGGGAATTGGATGATGTGGGAGTAAGCGAGCCTCATACTTGAGTCAGAAGAAGGTAAAAGAGTGGCTTAGCCCACTCATTGGCTTCACCGACCGATAAGCCAATCACGTGTGCGTATGCTCCTGCGTCGTGTAACAAGTCAATCGCATCGCGGTCAGTAAATGAGAGACACTGCGATAGCTGCCCTCGTGATGCGCAGATGATACAATTTCATGGAATAATACTACTCTGTCAGATAGACTCGACGACGACGATGCACAACATCGTCTGCTGTGATGTCCAGGAAAAGGTACTTTGCGAACCAGAAAAGCAGACCCAGCGTTTACCAACGGCCGTGGACTTCCAATAGTCAAGGTTAAGGATTACTAAAGCCTACCGCAGGAAGACAGCACTAGCCATAAACCATAGATTTAATAATTAATATACTTTAAAGAGTGCTATATAATATAAAAGTAATATCAAAAGCTGAATATATGTTCCTTTTAGATATAGCCTTGGGGTTTTTATTTGCCCTAAAACCTTTCGCTGTAATTAAATTAAGGAGTTAGTTACTCTATAATATTATAAAGTTTTTGATCTAACTGAAAATGGCATCGATCGTTTTTATAACTGCCATCGCCACTAGTAAAATTAGATGCGGCATAAAGAAATACAGTTCACGTTACATCAAGTTCCCTCGACGCGTGTCTCCGTCCCCGCCCCCTCCATTCTTGTTTACTTTACAACATCAGATCATGACAACTAAACACAATCTCATGTAAGTGGCGCCCGTAGATAATCACGCCACTGAATAACTGGTTTTTAGCACACTTTTTTTATATAAGGTAAGTAAATTACTAATAGCAATCATATGATTGTGTTTGCGCCATGTGTCATGCTGACTTCATGTGCTTGCCGTATGCCTCTCCCATCTCTAATCTTGCATAAGAGTCTCGCTCAACAACGTACTAAGTAAAGTTTATTATGCATCCCAACTAAACCCCCCAAATCACTCAGTAAACAGCCTTGCACGGAAGTTCTAGTGATTGCGACGAGCACGTTTCGCCAAGTCATCGTGGACAGGCAATTTGATAATGTCGCAGCAAGATCAACCACTTCAACGGGAAGAGCCCACCCGTCAAAACGATGAATCTCCCTCCGAGCTTGACGCTGGACAGTCGGGTCGACCGAAGAGCCTTCGCCCTTTCATTCTTTCCATCATGGCCTTCAAGCATGGTCGAAAGTTCTCTAAGACTACTTCGGCACATCTTGAACGGCGATTAAGTAGTGCTGCCGAGACGGAAGGCCAGTTCGGCCCGGCTCTCACGGTAAGCTACCTATAGTTGTTGGGTTATATATTCTCTGTCCTAATGTCGACCTATGCGCCAGAGGCTATACCTTGGCATATCGGCTGTTTTCTCGAACGATCAAACTGCACTTATTGCTCTAGCCATCAACGATGGTATCTACCTTATCGACTTCTCCGTCAAGCATCTTGACCTCAGCGACAACCAAGGATTCGGTCGCGATGCCATTGCAGACTATGTACTGAAGGAAGTTAAGGATTATCAGCATGAGAAATTTGCCAAGTTCATCGGGGCCGGTCTCCCAGCCACGCTTGCGCGTGTAAGTAAAACACTATGCTCTCGCTTGTGGCTAGATCTAGATGTCGTTCCAATTGTAGTACTTAATGAGAGAGAGGATGAGGATGAAGACGGTATGAAGAGAGAGAAGGACTTCTGGGATCTGAAACGTGTTGACGAACAGGCTGACTCAATGGTTCGAAAATGCGTCATGTGAGTAGACAACCACAAACATGGTCAACTTAATCACTAACCTTACCTAAGGTACTTCGGGCCTTCGCAGGCTCCTCTGCTTCAAGTTGGCTTCCGCGGTTTGGTCCAGACTGATGTTGGATTTCGTGCATATTTAACGACTATTCAGAACTACAAGGACACATGTGGCGCCTCCACCTGGGAGACTATGATGACCTATGCAGAGAAGCTACGTCGCGATAAGACTCGTATCGCATTTTTCAGCTCTACTCCACAAGGTGGCGGCGTAGCTCTCATGCGTCATGCGCTAGTACGATTTGCACGTCGAATAGAAGTCGACCTATCTTGGTACGGTAAGCATTGCTTGAAAGCGAGGGATATGATTAATACATGTCTTGTCACTGTTATTGATGAATAAGATAGTTCCCAAACCGCTCCCTACTGCCCTCAGAATTACCAAGAATATCCACAACATCCTCCAGGGAGTAAGTCCTACCAGCCAACGCATCACTGCGGAGGAAAAGAAGGCCGTCATCCACTGGATTACCGAAAATGCATATCGATACTGGCTTTCAGAATCCGGCCCACTACGCCCAGCGGAGGAAGGCGGTGCTCATATCATAATTGTAAGTTTCTCTCATCTCACGCTTGAGTATTCAAGTTGTTCCTCATCAAATCTCTGCAATCAATTTGTTAGTATAGCTCTCGTTGACTTGACACAACAGATTGATGACCCGCAAATGCCGGGTTTAATTCCTCTCATCAAAAGGTTTACTCCGGATCGGCCAGTTGTATATCGCTCTCACATCCAAATCAGGAGTGACCTAATTGCCAAAGAGAGCTCGGCCCAGGCTGATGTTTGGAAATTCCTGTGGAGCAACATACAACTGGCGGATATGTATATCAGCCACCCAATTCCTGCATTTGTTCCTCATTCAGTCCCCAGAGCAAAGGTAGCTTATATGCCAGCTACTACGGATTGGCTTGATGGTTTAAATAAGCCTTTAAGAGATTGGGATGTTGGATACTATGGAAACATGTACAATGCCAGCTGCCACGCACAAAAGATGTAAGCCCACACAAAGGCTTTCCTACCGTAATGAGAAACAAGGCTGCTAATCCTAACAAAGGACCGAGCTGCACTGGCCGGCTCGCAAATACATCATTCAAATTGCCCGGTTCGACCCCTCAAAAGGTATTCCAACGGCGATAGATTCATACGCCGAATTTCGCCGCCAATGCAAAGTGGCCGGTATTGAGGATACTCCGCAGCTTGTCCTTTGCGGTAACCAGTCTGTTGATGATCCTGACGCAAGTATTGTCTACGACCAGACACTAGATCAGATAATGTCGTTATGCCCAGAGCTTATGAAAGATATCAGTGTGATGTGTCTGGTACCAAATGATCAGTTACTCAACACACTGATTTCCAAAGCCCATGTTGTCCTTCAACTCTCAACTAGTGAGGGATTTGAGGTAAAGGTTTCAGAAGCATTGCATGCTGGACGGCCAGTCGTTGCGACAAAGACTGGTGGTCTTCCCCTTCAAATCAAGGATTCCGTTAACGGATTTCTTGTTGAGCCCGGAGATTGGATGGCTGTTGCTTCCCACCTCATGGATCTGTTCACCAATAATGCTCTGTATGAGAGGATGAGTTATGCTGCAAGAACGGGCGTGTCTGACGAAGTTGGCACAGTCAGTAATGCGTTGTGTTGGTTCTACCTAGCTTCCAAGTGGAGAGATATTGGTACCGGAGAATCCGGCAAGGCCGTTCTACAACCAAATGAGAGATGGGTTTATGATATGGCGAGAGACGAGGCAAATTGCCCATACTCCGCTGCCGAGGAACAACTACCACGTTGTCCCATCGAGGATAAGAAGATCAACTGAGAAGGATCCAGCTAACTTAGCTAGAACTCTGTAATCAACTACAGAAACTTTGGAGATGTCTTGAATTTGAACACGGTGGATCCTATGAAAGCTCCTAGGAGAATACTCCAAACAACTGAAGCTGCCATACTTAGGATAGGTCCAATATAATTCAACATCTTATCGCAGGTCCGATACGCGTTGTAGCATTTCTAGTATATTATTACTTGCTGGAGTATATATTACAGCTTAATGATCCATCTGCAATTTCAAAAGACTTCTTTATTAGGAGTATAGAAGACTATGATATGGCCATGGGTACCTTCTGGCCTGCCAGTGCTACTAAGTAAATTACGGCAAGTAATAAAATGCCATATACATAAAAGAAGTCTTTATTATGATCATGGATGGCAGATGGCGGATAAAGCTTAATTAATTGGCTGAGATTAGTAATTTATGTCATGCCATCATCATATGATACGTACGGCACTGAGGCAAACAAACTTTCATCATGCACTAAGCACAAAGTTTTTCAGCAAGAAGCCACTGGGCCTAACAGACTGTTATGCAGGTATCATGCCATAATTGGTCAGAGTCGAATAATATGTCTTGCAATGTCTTGAGGATTACCGCGAGAGGTGCGAGTAGAAACCTTAGTCATATGCCTCTTGATTGACGTTCACGTGTCTCTGAACGCTGATGGTCTTTATATCGGCTCCGAGCTTCATATTCCCGAATCTAGTCTGACTTGACCCATGCAGATTCATTTTTTTCTCATATATAACACACTAAATCAAACCATGCAAAGCACTGAGACTGACCGACATCGGCTTGAGAGGTATACGACACAGAGTGGCCTAACTCGTGATGCCATCATCGGTCTTGCAGATGGACTGACGGTACCCTTCGCATTGACAGCTGGATTATCCTCGTCGGTTCATTCTCATTCTGATTACTTTCAACGCTGATCAATGAGTAGAATTGGATCGAGCAAGCTTGTCATTCTTGGTGGGATGGCCGAACTGTTTGCTGGGTCCATCAGTATGGGACTGGGGGCTTATCTAGCCACAATCACTGATGCCCATCACTTTGAAGTAGAGGAAGCACGCGAGCAGCGCCAAGTCACTCAAACTCCACACCTAGAAGGCGAACTGCTGGTGAATCTCTTCCAAAGATATGGTATTACCTACTGGGAAATATCACCCATCATCGAAAATTTCCGGAGAAACCCACAGTCTTGGGTCAAAGTGAGTTTGCTGCCCGTCGCCAGAACAAGCTAATATCATGTAGTTTATGATGGACTTCGAACTCAAACTTGAACGCCCCCGCTGGTCTCGACCCTGGGTTTCTGCTCTCACAATGGGGCTATCTTACTTTATAGGTTTGTATATCTCAACAGGGTAAGCCTTTCTTTTATCTTTATGTAAACAAGTACATAGGGGGACTTATTCCCATGGTCCCTAACTTTACTACGAATCATATCAACACTGCGCTGTTTGCTTCAATCGGAGTCACATGTGTTATGTTGTGTATATTTGGTTATGGGAAAGCTATCATTACTGGGCTTAGCCGTCGCTCTGCCGTTTATGGGTCACTAGAAATGCTTCTTGTAGGGGCTATTGCTGCGGGCGCTAGCTATGGTATTGTAAAACTTGTAAATACTAATCTGGACTACACATAACAAGTTCTTAGGGGCCTAAAGGCCGTTGTAAACAGGGCAATCTTAAAGAATTACTCAAAAACTGAAGAAATTGTGTATTTTCAAGGCATCAGGGAGATAAAGGACCGAATTATGTTATAGACATCCAAATAAGCCTCCTAAGAAAGTCAAAATGATAATACAAGACGAAATCAGTTAAGGTTCAAGCACGCCTCCATACTCGATGGTCTCGCGGTTTGATTCAATCGATATGGATGCGACGAGATTCGTGCTTCTTGACCTTGGGGACAATGATAGTCAGAATCCCGTCTTCAAAGCTGGCACTGACACCATCCTGATCTACATGAGATGGGAAGGTGAAGGTGCGGGAGAACTCGCCGATGCTGCGCTCAGCAAGCCAGTATTTGGTCTTTTCGTCGTGTTTGTCGTCCTTATGTGGCTGTTGAGGCTGGGATTTGCTCGGCTCGGCTCCTTCGCCTTTAAGAGCTCCATGCGCAGATGGGCCTTCGACAAACCCCGCAGGAGGGTTTCCCGAGGTGTAGTTCCGCTCGGACTTTCCACGGATGACCATTGTTTGTGGCTCAGTAAACTCGAGGTGTACCTCCTTTTTTTTCATACCAGCAAGCTCCCCATGGAGCTCGTAAGCCCGAGGCGTCTCGCAGATATCAAACTTGGGCTGCCAGTGGATCATTCCAGCGTGATGGGTATTCTGATCTCTTCGGGAGTACGTGTCGTAATCTTCGAGAAGTCGGAAGATTGGGTTAAAGGGAGAGTCAGAATTGTAAAGGCTGCGAGGGAAAAGAGCCATTGTGCGTGCTTTGCTGGCAATGGAAGATGGAAAGACGTGTTTGTTAATAAGTAAACCGCCTATTGATTTGCGTGCTTGTTGAGAAACTAGTGATCTGCAGGAATACATAGGAAGTCGATTGTAGGCTCGTTATTCTGGAGGTCAGCTGCTTAGGGTATATATAGTAATAAAGAAGGCAGATTATTTATATCTGGCTGGCATGATTCTGTGTGTCATTACAGGAAGGATTTCCTCATTGTCAATCTGCTGTAAACTCAGCATGATTCGGCATGATCTGATGCAATGACTGACGTGAAGAGTGCCCTCTGACTGCAGGGCCAGTAATACCCATGCGGGAGCAGTAGTGCTGTGTTAATGATCTGACTTCGTGATAGAGTTTTTGGAATTGTGACAATGACGTGTTTCATCATCGACATTACAAGTGATGATCTGATCCAAGACGACTCGATTGCAACCTAGAGATAGTGCCTTCTGACTCCGGCCTTACCCCGCAATTCCCATCACGCCATTACAGGCCTCTGACCACTGGGTGTAAACCTTCTCTGATGGCTAGAAGTGAGTCGTGCTAATTGAGATTATGTATAAGGCATTAGGCAATGACACTTGGTAAACTAGACATAAAACCAACAGCTAGGTAAAAGGATAATAGTCTAATCCACTGCTATTTTAATGTCACTGCATTAATGAGCATAAATTTGAAGATATTAATATATATAATATGAATAAAATATAATCTTATAAATATTATATTAATTACTTTATAAGTTGTATTATTATTATTAGGAATTATATAAATTATAGAACTTAATAATATATTATTTATTAATATTATCTTTATGTTATATTTTATAGAATTATTAATAATTAATATATTTAATATTATTTAAACTTTACTTAATATTAAGTTAATAAAATATAAAAACTTATAATTAAAAGATTAGTATTAAATTACCAAAAGATAATATTAATAATTCTATTATAATCATTCATATATGATTCCCAATACGTATTATGGCTATATTTTATACTTTACCAAGCTTATTAAAAAGCAAATTATATCTTTCCTCGACCTAGTAGTTTGCGGCCGATTTAGTGTCTACTATTCCAGAAATACTTCAACTCAGCGTTTTTACTAAGAAATGTAGCGGGTGCCAGATACCTGTTCCTGTAACATGGATTTTACACGCGACCAGACTTTGATCAGTGCGACAGTGAGACCTGAACTCAGTATTGTTTTGCCTGCAGCTTGACTTGAAAGCCATGGCCATGTTCCTTGATTAGAGTGCACGGCTAGATAGGTTATATAAAGCGAATCCTATCTTTGCAACTCTTATAGTTCATCCGTGAGCAGCACCATGGAGACTCGGCCCCGGGAACCATTCTATTTAGTAGGGATTACTCTATGTTTCGGGACATGTCTTGCCTTCAACGTAGCCTCCCTTGCACCGCCCTGCCCTGGATCATAGGCTCATGGAAGTGTCTTCTGGCATTCATCTTGATGCCCTTGGGCCATGCGTGAGAGTCGAGTTGGTAAGGAGTGTCTAGGGATGAAAACAGACTCTGTGGAGAAAGTCTGAAACTACATTTACCTATATAGATAGACTTTTACTGTAGTTATAGGCGATAAGCTTGGGGTTCCCAAATGCGACAAGGCACCTGGCTGGCGAGATCGATGACACACTGACCATTGGTTTAGGGCTGTACTTATCATCTGTTGGTGAGGAAGGTTGGTCTAATTCAGCAGATAGGCAACTGTTACTAATCAGGCTTAGAACTAGTAGCTAGTAGACTATTCAAGAGGCTGGTCAAGAGGACCCTAATCTGCAGTCCAAGCCTCTACATTCCAGTGAACACGTCCAAGACTGTCGTCAATAAGAGCCCAGCATTGCAGAGGATTGAGAGCCTTGGTTCTCTCACTTCCCCATCACGCATATTTGGGTATCACACCGGATCCAGGAATGCCAGTAGAAAGACTGCCTGTCCGATTCCAAGGTTGCTGGGACTAGGGTCAGACACCATTTCCCATGGAAAGTTTGATGGAGCAGGTTTCTTGTTAGTGTGCAAAAACAGTTCACGCCATCAACACCGAGTAGCTTGAGACTCGGTACGGGTTACTATCACCGAGGCTTTGAATTGTAGCAACGGAGGACTGTAGAAACTCCCATTTGGAGAACCATAGATTTAGTAAGACGGTGAGTTCGCGTAAGAGCAGAGTTGGCAATCATTTGGAGACATGGTGGCACCCTCGTTTGACCAATGAACCCGAATTGTTTCTGTCATGTCCAGAGACCGCCAGTTCCATCGGGCTGGCGTGCGAAGGTGGCAAACATTAACAAGCTGACAACGAAGGAATGACGGCTGGTGAAGAAGTTGGATGAGCTGTTGGAGAGATCTGGTAACATCTCCACACGGCAGGTATTTTTCCAGTTGTACGATTAGTCGTCACCTGGCGTAGGTGAAGAAGAAACGATAGAAGGGAGGTCATCACCCGCAGATTGCCATGGAGGTTTCTTCTCAGGCAGACAAAATGCACGGGCAGAGTGTCTGCTAACAAGTGCGGATCTCTCTTGATCAGCCTCTCGGGAGTAATTTATCTAGTATCTGCCGGCTTTCACTGCGAGTAGTGTTTGAAGAAGTAATAACGGCATTTGAAATTGTTGAATTAGCAAATGGTGTCAAGCTTTGTGGCGCCGTCAATAGAGCCTAACTAACATAAACTCGTTGAAGGCGGTTAGTTGCATCGGTTTTGGCGGATGCGTAACCTGAACCAAAATGTAATTTCGGAACTCGGCTCCCCATGCGACAGTCCTTTGGACTCCATCTACTGCCATCTTCAGCACCGCAAGAGCATCCTTTGGAAAGTACCCCTTAGACAAGCATTAAATAAACACCGCTATAGATGTTGTTTGAGCGAGGGCAGTGAGAAAACGAAAATGACCATATGGTTGACGAGAGTCCGAGTATACAAATACAATTGAGCTAGACAGAAATGTGGTATTCCGACTTCCCGAAGTTGAAATGCGTCAAATTCACGACTGCCCGACTAGTCCGGTATGGTGAGCTGAAGCAGCCCCGGGGGTAATGGTAAGAGAGCTGGGTAATAATTTATACTTCGAGCCTCAATTCCGGCAGTTAATCTGAAATGCATATATGGCTCAGTTGCTTGAAAAGCGGTGTGTTGAACGATGCACTTTATTATTTATGCTTTTCAGCACGGAGGGCACGGTCAACGTCATTCGGCAGTTACAAAGTTTACACATATCCCTGTAGTTCAGAACTTTATCCCATAAGTGCATAATATTTCCTCCGTATAATATAGTTTTAATTTCTAATAGACTAAACCTTTCTTTACCGCTACATGAGAAATTGCACCAACCTTGTCTCCCTTTGGAAAAGGACAGTATATATACCAAGTATCTTCCAACGTATTTGCTCTCTACCCATAGGCTCTTCCTCCACACTACATCAAGTCTATTAACGTCAGCATGAAGCTCCTAACTCTCATTTCTGCATTCGCAACTGCGACTCTGGTGTCCGCAGACCAAAGGGCTCAACTTAGTGCCCCTGATGGTTCCCTCCATCATCTGAGTGCCCGGGACGGCACATGCCCCAGACCCATGGTAAGCTAGATTCCAGTGGCAGTTCAGCTCCTGCAGACTCAATATTCTGATACTCGCCAGTGCAAAACACCCGCTTCTCAAGGGCCAAATGACCCTCCCGCCTGCGGCGACTCATACACAGCGTGCAAGTTTGACCAGTTCCCTTGCGATGAGCACTTTAGTCCCAAGGTGACTGACACTCACCATTGCTACTGCATTGTATGTACTGCCCTCTTCAATCACTACCTGTATCTGACCACTTTGTAGTTGGCCAACAAGAAGGCAATGGATGCGTATTGCCAGGAACGGGGATTCAAGAGTGGTACCAACCCTTGGAAGTACTACTACGCGGTTGAGTGCCACGGCGCTGTCAGTAACCAGGTTTGTAACAAGGATTGTCATGACCAGGGCCGCGGCAATGGCAGAATCGACAAAGCTCATCCGAATGGGGCGTGTGCATGCGACAAGCCTAACCCACCTTACGATACATGCAAGGCTTGAGGGATAAGCTGTAAATAGCTTGATCCAGCCAGGTATTGTCTTGGGACCGGCGAAGAAGGTTTCGTCCATAGATTCGATTCGTTGCTCAATTTACAAAACCTTTTTTGGTGCATTCATCAAGGTTGCAACGTGATGGGACTTTGACCCCAATGCCCGATAAAAGCGGTTAACCTGAGAGGTACAAGTATTTTTATCCCCCCCCTCTGCCGTAGGTGACCGAAGCGGTTTGGAAACCCGACTCGTCCTATCTTACAAAGCGGCCGTTACCTTCGCAGTCCTTGCGAGTCATGACGCCTTGAACTGGGCTTTCGACTTGTACATCAAGCGTACGAGCTTTCTTCATTATTGACAGTAAATTATCATTGGTAACGAAACTAGTTGAAGCCAAGAAGTATTGAAAACCTGACCTCTGCACCGATTACATAAATGTCCTTCCTAAACTAAACCATTGCCATCCTTTCTCTACCACCGCCATTGAACCTTATACTGTACACCATCATTTGTATCCCACGACCACCTTTAGTGCAGGATTGCCCACTCAGCGACTGTAGCGCCTGTACCATTCCCAGCTTTGAGATCAACTTTGTCCAGAGCCTGGTTCCCCGCGATCAGCAACGTGGCGTATCGAGATAAGGGAACAGTCTCTGGAAGAGTGACATTGGTAGTGTTTCCTGTAGGCATGACGACTGCATCTAGGTTATCGGTCTTCGCGTTGTATGCATCCGAGAGTTTGACCTTCTTTATGGACACAACGACATCATATCCCGAGTCGTGGCTCGATGTCCCATATACCTTTGTCGGATCATCAATGGTTTTGTTGTGGAACAGAACTGTGACGTTGATAGGTGGGGCATCAGCCCAATCGAAGTAGAAGCCCTTGACCTTAGATCCAACGTCCTTTTTCGCAAGAGAAACAGTCAGTGAGCTGACGTCAGCGGCCTTTGAGGGCTGCCACTTTGTCGAAGTAGCTCCGTCTACAGCAGCAATGGGAAACTGCCCTGGCTCATAAGAGTTGGAAGATTTTACCGGTCGGCACTGAGCTAGATTGCCGTGCACTGTGTTAACACTGCCTATCTGTCTGTTCTTGATAACGACAGGATCATCGAATGTCAAATGATGAAGTGCAGAGTCTCCCATTTTCCCAGCATAAACCGCAATACCTTTATTAGCGTACCGAGAATCCGCAACATCGAGAGGTTTAGTCGTCGGGTGTCGAGAAATAGTAGTATGCGTGTAATTCGACCAAGCAGAGATAGGCCAACCACGCCAGTAGAACGTTCGATACTTCAGATACCCAATCTGAGGCGGCAAATTCGGGTTGACGTGGAGACCTTGGTCAGGAATAAGCCGTAGGCCAAGGTATCCAAAGATAGTCACTTGGTTAGCGCCTCCGTGGCCAGTGAGGAAGGGATATGCGGGATGCGTGCCGCCGTTGACGGTTGCGTTATCTACCAACTGTTCGGAAAGCTGGTAGAAGGGAGGTCGTGTATAAGGTTTGTAGGAGTATTGTGCGTAGGTGTATGCTGAGCAGCCGGATGGTGAGAGCTCGTCCGCTACAATGGAGTAGATTGCCCAGGTCATTGCTGGCCCATCGGGAGACTGCTTGTTCGCGTACTTTCAACACCATTTAAGTCAGAATTTCCATATGCGATGATAATGTTGGTGAACTTACATAGTCGAGATCGTCGAGTCCATTCTGGTCAGTGTAGTTATCGTTGTAACCCAGAGGAAAGCTCATGAGCACCACGTCAGCCTGCTTGACGATGGCGCTGCCATTCATAGTCGTGAACTCCAAAGTTATGCCGTTCTCTCTGATGAAAAGCACATCAGAGGCTATTTCGTCCTGCGTCTTATTCTCTGTCATTCCAAACTGTCTGCGGATCTGGTTGGCTTGGATCAAGGTCTCCGAGGCAAGTGCCATGGTGAAACCGCCGGCGTCGATATGGTTGGCATACTCATCCTATACATAGATCAGCATTCGAAACGAAGGTAAACAGCCGATGAAACTCACGGGGTCAGTCATATTTGTGATAGTCCACGACGATCCATTGGGTTTCAGCAAATCCGCAAAAAGATTCGCCACCGAGTCATAAATCGGCAGCAGTGTCTCCTTGAAGAAGTCGGTATCACCGCTCGTAACCCACTGATTCACCAAAGATATCCCAATATCCCCATTCAAATGGTACTCGTAGTCCCAGCAAGGACCAGTAGCAGTGCAATTCCCAAACCGTCCACTCGTCCACGGATACACAGCCGCTGATTCCGAGAACTTGGTCTTGTTTTGAGAGCCCGCAAAAGAAGTGGCGATGTTTTTCTTGGCCTGGTCGTACTTGGCCACGCGGTAGTTCGTTATTCGCTGAGCAGCTTCTGGGTGTGATGTTGTGAGACCGGGTTGCATGAAAAGGTCAGCGTCCCAGAAGATGAGGCCGGCGTAGGAGTCGGAGGTGAGGCCGCCGACTGAGATACTGTCGATGTTGACGGGGGCTCCTGATACTGCCTTTTGTGCATTCTTGCCGACTGTGTTTTGCAGGAGGTAGTAGGTGTTTGTGACGGTAATGATGGCAGAGTCTATGATGTACTCATCGTCAGGGAGCGTGTCGTTCTCGGGAAAGGCGTAGCTGTCCACGGAATCACTCGGCATGACGCTCTCCCATTCCCTGAGATGTGATAAAAGAGACTTTTCATACCCTTCCTCCAATGCTCTATGTGAAGCCTCCTTCGCAGTCTTTTCTGGATCTTCAAAGGCGTCGGAGGAAGCGGCTCCTACGTATTTGGTGATATGAACAGGAACACCAGCTGAGAACTTGACAGGGATGGCTTGTGCAATAGATGATTCGTTGGTGTGCACATACGGCTTTCCATGGACCAACTTGCGGCGAGACAGGTCGAGGGACTTTGATCCGTTGACTTGTGCGTATATGTAGGCGGTCACATTGGCGATTCCAACGGGTCGGACAGCTGAGAATATGCCGCCATCTTCATCCTGGCCTGACTTGACAAAGTCTGAACGCACTGCCGAGTATCCATCAATGACGTTGACAACTTTCGCTTTGGAGTCGGTGGATGGGACAATCGTCAGATCCACAATGGCCTGGTTGACGTGGAGTTTATGCGCAAACAAGCGGTACTTGATCTGATAAGACCCTTTCCCCTTGGGCTCCCACGTATACGACCACTCCAAAACTCCAGCCTTGAAATCATAGGTAGACGTAAAGTTATGAACAGTCCGGTTATCCACTGTCGCGTCAAGATACACATCATCTCCCAAGTCAATGATAAGTCCACCCCAGTGGGGAACACCACTGATGACACTCTCATAACCATACTGCAAAAGCCATGGAAAGTTGGTCCCGTTTGTCTTTGGCTGTGCATCATAGAAGCCAGCGATGGTTGCAAAGGTCTGTCGTCTTGAGAAGAGCGGCCAGCCGTTGATGACACCGCCTTCTTCATCGGCATCGATCTCAAAGAAGGGGCCGACGGCGGCAACGTTGATGCCGAGGTAGCCGTTTGCTACTGACCCGCGAGATTGATAGTGGCCTTGGTCGAGGTTGGTTGTGGTGAGGAGCCAATTGTCGTTATCCCATGTCACGCCAGGGAATGAGGTCTTGTAGATGTTGTTGCTGGCTTTGCGTGAGTCGCTGGACGTGCCATGACGTTGATAGCATTTTTTAATGCGGTCATGGTCGTGAGTACTGGTTGCCAGCGTTATTGAAGAGAGAAGCGTCAAAATGACATAATTAAGATGCTACATCAGAAGAATTAGTATTCGAGTGATGCAAAGGGATAAAGAGGAGTTATCGCAAGAAGCATGAATTTGATGAGTTTAAGAGTTTGTCTTGACGTACCAAGGAAAGCATGGTGTCGGTTACCCCATTTGGTGATATACACTCAGCAACCAGCAGATTTTACGGTAGAGGCAAGGTATGATATGTAAACAATCTGGCAAGGAAGTCTCAAAGACCCGAAACAAGAGTTCGACGTTGTATTTGACATCTCGATGAAAATAAACAAGAAATCAAAGATCGGTAATCAGACCATGCCAAAATCCTGGTAACCCCGCAAGTTAGCTCTGAAGTCGTCAAAATTCTAACGGTTTTTGTTCAAGGCTTGCAATTCGGCCCAGCTTGGCGATCATCATTTCCTGAAGTAGACAAATTATGTCATTATTCAGTGATCGATTGATGATCCGGAGTAAGCGGCATTCATCAATGCGGGGATTGATGATGTTGCTGCGGGGGAACATTCTGTTGCATAGACGCCGAGGCCAATCCGGGACACCCAGACGCTAATTCCTCTATTCTTTTCGATGCATAGCAAAATATATAGATTATATGTAATGGCATCATATCAACAAAATATCTCCGCCACTTCTCCGTCTAGTAAGATACTCTCTGCATCTGCTCCTTTACGCCCTATTCTGCTAATACTAAATACAGCTTCCTAAAAGTACAGCTTCGTAAAGATACTGATCGGAATGCTTCAGGACACCACTATCATATGTGCTGCATTGAAGTTTGAGGCGCAAAAACGCCTATAGCCAATGTAACCGGTGCAGCAGCACCATTCACTGCCGAGTGGAAGTCTAGGTCTAAGTGAAGCTACTAGACAACAAGCGATGAATATCCAATAGCCCCTTAACGAAGAAGATACTATGGACTGGTACGACGAGAATTCAGGCGGAAATAATACCTTCTGACATCCTTGGAAGGAAAGAACAATCTGCATTACATAATCCATCCGGCTTAATTAACGCGTTGATATGGAGGTCGGTCTCAAATTTGCCCAAGATGACTTACGCCACAATTACTAAGCCCTGTCAGGTACAGAGGTATACAAGAGAAAAGAAAGTCTATAGAAGCACTACCCTGTAATCACCTTATAATTATTAGGTATTTAGGGAGAATCTCTAAGTATTTTACTGACTGCAACTGCTATACCTTGATTCTGATCAGCGACTATTATCTCGCTAGATGTATGTCTGGTATCTTATCGAAAGTGAGTCGATCAGCCATGGCCTTCTTTGGCAAAGACTTTTGAGACCGATCTCCGTAAACGTTTGTGCCTTGGCAGCGTCTTGCCGAGGATAATATGGGTCTTTGCGGATGGAGAAGAAAATTTCAGGCACGAGCTGAATGATAATCCTGGTCTGCCGCACCAGCCTTGGACCCTTGGTCTGCTGCGCAGGGCGCGGAAGCCGAGAAGAAAACGGAAGGTGCCGAAATTTTATTTAGTGCACTGCCGCAAGCCATAGCAGCCACAAATGTCCATATGCAACCCAGGGTCTAGAATCTATCTGGAACAGGTTCACCCGTCTTACCCGTTAGCCTGTCCATTAAAGCACACGATATTTCGCTCGACTCAGCATAGCCCTACAAATTACAATCCTGCTGGTGGAGCACAATCCTCCAGGCGTCATGGGATGTTTCGAAGCCCCTTTCCAGAAAGACATGCATTTGTTATGCACCCTTTTTGCTGCAACCTGTTGATGAAACGACTTCATTACATAAGAGGAATGAAGGTTCCAGGAACGTCAACTAGTCGGATGCCGGCAAAGACTGCGCACATGCAAACTCAATCTCTGTGAAGTGTCATGACCAAACACGGCAGCAAGGTGCCGTTTGCTAAGGGCTCCATCTCATCAAGTCAGGGGAATCTGCCACTTAGCCGGACCCAGACCCCTAGACCCCACATGTTGGCATTGAGTCTAGCCCAGTCTGGACTAGAGCTGAAAATCCAATACGAGCGATTATACGACGCGACAAACCAAAATGCATCGCGAGCGCATATTGCGGCGCGGTCTAAGTAAGCGCTATTAATGGTCCAGATTACTTCTTCCTGCTCGCGTGCTCAACAGTAATTACTGCCCAAACCATGTTCGGTCAGTTAATGGAGCTAGGTGTTATGGGGTGATATTAATCAAAGGGGAGTCACGTCTGCGCATTGTAAATTGTTTATTTAATAAAAAGAGTCTTGGCTCCCTATTTCCATTTTCCCTTCCTTTGCTCGCTTTTTCGTCAGCACGTCATTCAAGATGGCCCCCTTCAGGAGGATATGTTTGTTATATGCCTCAAAACTAGCTAACCAACGCCTTGCTTTCACTCTTACCACATTGGCAGTATGTGCTGCTAAAGGAGTGCATCTTCATAACCACAGAGCTTCAGTGACGCCCAAACGCATGCTTCTCTTCTTTTTCTCCTTCTTTACTCAAGATATCCTCCTACTCCTTCTAATCAGACTTCTCCTAAGTCATTGGGTGCCTAGTGCTGGCAAGCTACGGAGAACCGTCAATATACTTGCATTCTCCTTGATGACCTACAACACTATCATTTGCACTGTCTCAGTTTCCTTTTATCTAGTCTCAGGATCTGAAATCCACTGGCGCAATATCGGTTTCATGGCCGACCCAACTGCTCAAGCAATTATTCTATCGGGCCTGACAGCTTTCATCGGTGTCTTCTGTGTCTGCGCTTGCTTAAGCGCACTGCTTCAGGTCGCTTGCTACTCTCTCTTTGGATGGGGTGGAGATCTTGTCAACTGGCCAATTACTTTCATCTGTCGCCGATTGGGCCATCGATTTGGTTACGATCCGTTATCGCAACGAGATGACCTGTCATGGCTCGACATCGAGAGCACCTCACATCAAGACAAGGAATTTAAGGGAAAGTTCAACTCGCCTTCGACCTCACTGTTGAGTTCACCACGAAGCTCCAGAGGTGGTTCACCAGTACGAAGATCTAAACTTGGTCGTTTTCTACGCATACTTCCTTACCCGATTGTTACTCTTCTGTTAACGGCACTTTTTATCCTTACTTTTATTCGACCCAAGGATCCTTCTCTGATCTTTCTTTCTTGGACTACTGGACTTTTACCTTTCATCGACTTTGCCTCGTCGCCATTCCTCGACAATATTCCATCGGTTTTCGGAAAGGGAGTACAGCGAAGCTGGGACGAACGTACCGCACTGGTACAGCCTACCCGTTTCAACTGGCTTCCAATGGACATACCAGCCCTGGAAGGTTTTAAAGATTGGTATCTTCAGGAACCACACTATAGCGCCAAGTCTGACCCTATGAGGGTCTCAAATCTAGACGAGCCCCTACGAGATTCTCTCCGGGGGAAGTTACAGGAACTCAACATTCGACATATAGTTATGTTCTTCCTGGAAAGTACCCGAAATGATGTCTTTCCTATCAAAAAGAATGGTCTAATCTGGAATCGATTTGCTGATACCTTTCCACATGGACTGCCACAAGACATTCAGGAGAAGCTTGCCAACTTAACACCAACAGCAAATTTCATTACAGGCGACTACTCAGACGGTTTTGAGCATGCCAATAGACCTAAACGAGGGGGAATTCACTTCACCAACGCACATACCTCAGGAACATACACCCTTAAAAGCCTAACAGGTACAATCTGTGGTATAGCGCCTCTAGCTGCAGACTTCAATCTGGATTACAGCCATCATATCTACCAGCCCTGTTTGCCGCATATTTTCAACGCACTAAATAAAGCAGAGGAGAAACAAGCCGGTATAAAGGAAACCAGTCAGAAGGACAAGTGGAAGTCCTACTTTTTCCAAGCAGCTAAACTCGACTATGATAGCCATGGTGCTTTAATGTCTGCAATGGGATTCCCAGATGAGGGCATAATTGGCCAGGAATATCTTCGCAGCGCCAACGCAAAGCATGGAGCAGTCACGTTGGAAAACATTAACGACTTCGCCTTTGAAGAGGATCCACTGGAAGACTACATTACCGATGTCTTCAAAAACGCCACCACAGAAAACAATCGCGTATTTCTAAGCCATATTACATCTACCAGCCACCATCGGTTTCACCTGCCCAAGACAGAAAAGTATACACCTATGGCCAACGGTGGTCACCTTGAGATGATGTCAAGATATATCAACACAATTGGCTATGAAGACAGATGGATTCGCAAGGTCCTTGATATCTTGGATAAGCAAGGAGTTACCAATGAGACACTGGTCATCTTTCAGGGCGACCACGGTGTATCTCTTCCAGAAAATGATATTGCTTCGCCATACTATAACCCCAATATTGGTGTTGAGCATGTGCCGTTAGTCCTCTCCCATCCCCAACTGCCAGCCTTCGATGTGGACGAGGCGGTGCATGCAACTCAAATTCTCCCCACAATCCTGGATATCCTCCTCGAAACAGGCTCACTGAGCAAGACAAGCCGCCGGGCAGCTGAGGACCTAATCCGCAATTACGAAGGACAATCGCTCATCCGTCCCTTGGCTACCGGCGAGGGGCAATGGCAGTTCACTATCACCAATCCTGGACGTGCCATGCTTAGTATCCGTGACGGCCGGTATCCAGAGCGCCATCTTGTTGTGCCAATAATAGAAAACGTGGCTTGGAAGTTGGCAGACCTGACAAAAGACCCACACGAGCACAGCCCTGTGCAAGCATTAGATTTTAAATCGTTCTTACAGGCTATAGAACAGAGGTATGGAAGAGAGGTTGCAGAGTGGGCAGAAGAAGGTGCATTTATGACGAGATGGTTCGTTAAGGAAAACAGCAAGCGTTGGCGTTTTGATCTTTAATAATTAGGCATGATACTGGCCAGAAGGAATAGATAAAAAATACACAGGAGGAAGTCTGTGCCATGGTAGACCATCTTTTGCCGAAGCAGCAAGTGACACGATACATGATGCAGGTCTTTCCAAGGTCGAGCGTTTGCACCAAATACGTATGGCCTGCTGACTACGCCATGTGACCTGCGACACCCAGCGACGTATTAAATGCTTCTGGTGGTGGATCCTGGTACATGAATGCCCAAGTGTAATCAATCCACCTGCAGGCCATTTCACCAGTAGCTCCAGCCACTGAGGTATCTTCAGAGGATTTCGGAAGCCAGGCACTGCAGGAGGTCTTAGCCAATACACTTATTAAGACATCCCACCAGATAGTTTCTAAGGCCTAGTCCAAGGCCAGGAAAGCCAGAGAAACTTATCATAAGGACCGAGAGACAACAGATCCCCAAATCATTATTAAGCTGCTAGCAAGTATACTTAGGGGTGTCAAAAAGCTGGCAGGGTTAAAGATATCCGCAAGAACACTCATAAAGAAATCAGGTATAGTATCAACAAGCTTCCAGAGAGGATCTCTGTCTAGCTACTTATCCGTATCGGTCTACAGGCTTATTATAACAAGACCGCAAAGGGTCTGCATCCAGGGCCGTGTTTACTCCCTATGGGGTGTAAGTCAGTAATTGCGGCGACATCTTGCTGTGCGTGGGCAGAGCGCCATTCAAGTAGCAGACAAGAATCTGTCACTAGAGGCGTAGGAAAATGCAGCTCGATGTATTAACAAATATTTTATCGGTGCTAAGTTAACCTATCTAGGACCAATACTAAAAGAATTACGTAAGTAGTTTACAGTAACTGATTATTTCTAACAAGCTGAGCTATGCTATTAAGGGTGTAATTGGAAACAGTTTACGCCGTGTAGATATCTGATACGTAGAAACGCAACAAGAATTATATGAAAAATAAAGAAAGGTTTAGGGGATAAACATAGAACCGTTACAGTCCGATATCATGGCATGACTTGGTAGCCGTTAAAAGTCAAAAGTAATGACGACGTAAATATTCAAGTTATATATATCGAGAATGAGCGAGCACTCTCCCAATAGCCAAACCAGCTTTCATTATACCTAAAGTCTACCTAAGAACATTTTTTTAACGCTATACTCTTTTAAAACTCTAGCTAAGAATATTTAGGTACCTAAATTATCTTAGAAAGGCTACAGACTGGTTGATTAAGTATCATAGAGCAAGCTAGGCTTTATGGAAGATGGAGACACCGGCTATGCGGCAAGCAAAAAAGGCACGAAGGATCGCAATGGTTCGGTTTTCCAGGGAGTGGAGAAAGAAAGGATTCTATGTGTCCCATATGGGCGGACATCTCCCGTAGAGGCTCTCCAGTGAAATGCGAGTGGCTCTATTCGCTAGTGGCAATCGAGGGTGGGCTTGATTGTTTTTATCTAATCAATCAGGTAATCAGTGACGCTATACCCACAGTCGGACGGGTGTATCCGGAAAATCAAGCGCTACGCCGTAGGCTAACTCTCGATCTGCCCAATAACATTATTTGCTGCCGCGCTAAAGGTGGGATGTAAGACAGGCTGCGGCGAGTTGCGAGCTCGGCGATTTAAGCGGATTCTTGGAGAAGTCCATCTTCGAGTCGCCGATGACCCGATGACCCGAGGATCGCCAAGTTGAGCACTTTTCCTCACAGATCTGCAAGCATCGTATGTCGTGGCCTAACCCCCCGACTCGAAGGATTGAACGGATGGGCGATGTCGGGCATATCCCACGTATAAATAGTCAAGACCTATCCCGTTTATTATCAATCAGTTCTACACACAAATCTTAAGAATCAGGTTCACAAGCTCAACATGTACTCTCTCACCGTAGGTATCACACTCTACATCGAAATCTTCGAACATTGACATGTGAAACAGAAGCTCTTCGTCGCCGTCATAGCCTTATCCACCTTCGCCTCCACCAACCCCGTCGCTGACAAGGGCGACACTCAGAACCTTGAGGCCCGCGGCGGCTGCCTTGGCTACGCCAACTACAATGCTTGCCTTGCTGGTCGACACCGCGCATGCCCTATTGGTGCTGGCCAAGCCACTTGCTTTGCCACTGCCTCCAAGGTCTGCCAGCAGAACTGCTAAGGGACGCACAACCCAGACAAAGCTGGAAAGAGAATGTTAGATAGTGGGCATTGAGTCAGTAGTAGCATGATTTGTTAAAACACTTCCAGTGCAGCCTTATAAGTAAAAGGGGCAGTGATACAATAGCCTATTTATCTAGTACTAAAAATTACCAAATCCAAGATATTTATCTAACGTGGGCTTTTGGCCATTCTAGATATCGTATTAATTCTGGGAGATTATTTAGATGCTGTTCGATACCAGCAAGGAGTTATTTACTCCAGCCATGGAGAAACCAGAAGCTACGATCTGCTATGCCTAAAATAGGCGCGAAGTAAGTGAGGATCAACAAAGCGTGCGACCTCAGCTGTTTTATATCAGACATAAACGTATCTGAGAGATTGAGTGTCCATTTAACCACATTCCCCAGTTCCACGTTAATACCCGCCATCGCAACATGCACAGCTGTTGCCCGTAAGTAATCAACGGCTTCTTCGACTTCCTCAAGATGGATCAAATCCACCTGATTGCGTAGGTAGTCCCTTAGACGGTCAATTACTTCGAACGCATCGTTTAGTGGCGGTGAGTTCTGGGTGAAGGTGTCCTAAGCATGGATTAACACTTATGCTCTATACATACATGGGTATCGAGAGGAAGACAGACGGGAATTTAAGAGGATCGACATCCCCAGTAAGCCACGATGTCCTGAAAAGTGGGTAGAGATCCGACTTGAGGGCTCGGTCAAAGTCTATTTCCATTCCCAGAGCTGGTTTCTTATCACTCTAGGCTAAGTTAGTACTAAGCTTGGGCTAAGCTTGGGCTGAGGTATCTGCGCAGGCCTATTTTTAGGATTATATATCTGGTCAGCGCTCCCTATAAGGGACTAAATCTAGGCCGCCTACCTGCTTCAGGCCTATTATATTACTTATTTAAAGCTAAGTATACATATCTAGGCTTAAATATACTTATATCAATAGATAAAGACTAGCTATAAGAATTATTATTAATATTAATTTAATTACAAGGGTGGTTATAGACTTATTAAATATATTTATTTACTTAGGTATTACAGCTAATAAGTATCAAGATGGTGGGCCTGGCCTCTTTAACAGAGCGAAAGTTATAATAGTAGCATCGTCGATGAAACCAGCGTTGCGGAAGTCAGCGCCCTTATTTATGGTTGAGTATTCTAAGAAAACGTAACAGTGGTCGTCTGGATCTGTCGGGAAGGTAAAGCTTGAGTTAAAGAAGTTCAGATAGTGTAGGCAGATCTCCGCAAGATCGGCCTATACTTGACAGGTAGTGATAGAGTGGTGCTATTGTAGCTCTGATAAAATAGGAATAGGTAATGCAGAATCTGCAAAGGGGAACTTATAAGATATTTAATAAAGAAAATAAATACTACCATTATATATAAATAATTTGTACTGAGATCTAAGATATATCTTAAAGTCTTTATTATCCTCTAAGTTAAGGTTATAAATAGATTATAATATATACTAAATATTAATAGCTATAATTATTTCTAATAGAGTTAATAACTAATATACTACTAAGGTATGTATAACTACTATCTAGCTATATTATAGTAAGTTATTATATTAATTATAAATTTAAAAGGTTTAAGTTTAGTATTATATCTATGAATAGCAGGTAAACGTATAATAAAGTAAATATATAATTTTATTTATTATAGAATATTTTCCTTTTTCCTTTTAGGTAAGAGGCTTATAGTAGTTAATAATTGATAGGACAAGTAAATATCTTTTTCTAAGCCCTTGAGCCACAACTCTATGCCTCCTATATGACTCTATAGCTATTAAAACACTAGTCTTACTATTGAGTTTTTGACTTTTCCTAAGGTCTTAATTCTCTGAACGGCATAAGGAGACACTCGCGATACCGCGCTAAAGAGGTATACTAAACACAGGAACCAATGGGAATTTGCTAGAGTGTATTTTCAGCTCGGCCTTGAAATGCGACATTCTCTAAACGAGAACAGCGCAAATTCATTTTCAATAGTTGTCAGACATGCAGATTTGAAGTCGAAGTAAACATGCCTCATCGAGCTTCCACATCAGCGCTCAAGCCCAGACGTGGTCTTACTTGCGCTGACGAGCTCAATTAAGCGGTCACCCTCTGACGTAGATTCTTTGGAATCCTGAAATTCTGAAATGGCAGTTTCGCGGCGCGACACGACATATTCGTCCTTGTCGATGCGCGCCTGGACCCCGTCTTCCACTCCGCCTATTTAGGGCAAGTCAGCACATACACACGCGAACGAAGTTATGGGCGAGAAAAACTCACAGTAGTAAAGGAATTTAAAGACTACTGGAAACCAAACTGCCACTGCAGTGAGCTGTCCAAACGACCAGGGCAGTCCGCCTTGAGGCGTGTATAGAATGTGCAATTTTTGGTGAAGCACGAATAAGTCAGTAAGACCCAAAGTCGTTGCCACGACGGATAAGACTACCATCAGAGCAACCAAGATCTCAAAGACGAAGAAGCTATCGAGGCTTTGCGCCAGGCGACTGGCGCCCGGCTTGGTGCGTGCCCACCATGAGCCCGTGCCTCTGGAATAGTACACTACCGAATCACTGCCAAGAGTGACTAGATATCTTAGTATCCAGTATACCGCAAGTAGGGCAATTAGCACATGGCCTAAAATGAAACTTTGCTTGGTGTAACCAAGACCCGTCGTTATCCCATAGTTCATGCAGTATGACATGGCACCGGGATTGTCGCCGCATGCTGGTACTGATGACAAGTCTTTAAGATGCGCTTCGAACTTAGAAGCTCCCTGCGCCTTTTGAAGAATCCATTTGAGCAGTATCAAACACCAGTTGAGAAAAACGAAGATGAGTGTATACATGGATGCGTTGCCTGACGCATCAAGACTGAGTTGTAGCAAGAAGAGGGGGCTCATGCCGATGATCATCACTCCAAGAGCGATCTCATTGTTAAGGACGTAGGAAGATATGGAAACAATGCTGGCCAAGCCCAGGTAGCCGTGGAAGGCAATAATTGCGGCAACGGAGATGGTTGCCGTGAACAAAGCCTGCGCTTCTTGAAGGTCGACTAAGGTCGATATTGTCGCACTGGGAAACTGGCTGCGAATTCGGATGAGCCACTTCGTTAGCCCATGAGCTTTTTGGCTCCTAGCGTCAGAAGCCGAGGAGCTACCTTTGCTCCATATTACTCCCATGCGCCCCCAGACGTTCGTTCTTGTCCATCTACACGTCAAGCCAAAAGAAAGTGCAAAAAATAAGACGAGAAAGTGCTGGATGATGTACGCTATAAGTACCTATCCATCCATGTATTGTTAGAGCATTTGTCGGAAACTGCGATTGTGGTGTAGGAAATGTCAAGTTACTCACTCCTTGTCCCACCAAGTCAGAGTCGATGCCAGGATCTGCATTTCTACAGTAGCTTGTTGAAAGAACGGTGCCAAACTTTTCAACCGTGAACTGGTTAATAAGGTCGCATTGATAGTCGACAAGACCTGGCGTACATGACCCGTATTTGGAATCAGAACAGGATTGCCACAAGCATTTACGGACCTTTCCAAAGGGGTATCGAAAGTCGCGTAACGATCCAAAATGGAACTTGTCCTTCATTTCACTCTCACTCTCACGGTTAACCGTGTCGTTAGTTGGCTCTGGAACTACCTTCATAGCCACAGTCGAGAGAGTCATGCAGTTCCATAGGTTCTGTGGGGACTTGAACATATACTCAGCGCTGCTGCATGTTTTGGTGCAGTTCAGCTGTTCTGAGTCTCCGTTGTCGCATCCATCGTTAATCAGCGTTGCGGTGTGATTGGAGTCTGCAAGTGTTTCGGACACGCGTTTGAAGTAGGCTTCCTCCCACATCTGCCATTCTGGTGGGATGCTGGTACCGAGCAGCTCTTTTTCGGTCGTGATACTGCCGATGATTCTGAAACGCCATTCGACCATGCTGTCTTGAGAGACGAAAGGCACGCTTTGCTATACAGATCAGGGTAAGAATGAAGTTTCCTGAGGGGAAACGGTTGTCGATATGTCAAGACTATTTGTACCTCGACCCTGTTTCGTCTATCTCAGCAGCTAGAGACCAGAATCCTACGAGTCTCGCTTATCCTAGGATGAGCAGATAAGTGACCAGCCAACCAGGAAGCGAGCTCCAGGTGATAACAGGGGGGCCTAAGGCTTGGGCTTACTGGGACTGCCTAAGCCCCCAGCTGTATCCCTGTCCTCCTTGGTGGCTGAAGCTGCCGCTAGCGGGTTAAGGGAAAGCGTGTGATCTCGAGGGCGTAGAGCAAGCCGAAAATAGCATAGATCTACATCCGCTCACCCAACCTCAGGCCACTTGGCCGTTGACAAGCTCAGAACCAACAGCTGTTATGTCGCCCAACCAATCAAGAGTCGGTGTACGATGGTCCACCGATCGCTCTCGGTTAACCGGCTCTAAATATGGCACAAACAACAGCCTTTGTCCAATAACGCGATTGGTAAAGTGCATAAGCCACAAAATTTGGGGGCCAAAGAAGACTAACTTTATTACTCAGGAAATCTCTAAGAAACACCAAAATCCTATATGCCTACACCATTATGTCCAAATAACTAGGCAATTAGATTAGCCAGTAGTATCCTCACTGTTCATCCAACATGGTTATGAGAATCCCTACCAGCTAAAGGCTACGGCCCGAACCCGCAGCTAGTACATCTTTTAAACGATCCCAAAATGAGATGACTGAGACGTGGAGCCACTAAGCCCAATGGAAATGCCCAGGGGTTTGCAATAGCCCCCATCGCCGTACCCCATGCGCCCAATGATTATCCTGTTCTAAGCGCTCCCATTCAAACCCAGCTCGCAATCCACGTCGAAGATCGTTCGCAAAAGATTGAAACTGCAGTTATATCAAACTGGCGGCCAGCCGGGGTTTGTTCATCCTAACGGATTGGCGTCCAACAACAAAGGGGGAAGAGCAACTGATAGGTTTGATTCGACGATGACTGCCTTTATGATCTACGATAGTCTATTTCTATATGTCTCTTTCTCGCCAATATACCCCACTTGTAATATATAACACCTAGTTTCCTACCAACTAATTGTTTGTCGCAAATGACATGACCAGGTCGACTGCGACAGCGTCAACAGTCTCAATTCGACGAAAGAGAGGAGCGAGGTATAAGAAGGGTACTTTGTTCCTGGTCAAGAAGCTGAGCATAATCGTGGTAGAAGGTTGTGAGCCAGCTGAGGGCGCTTGTCAGAAGCAAACGCACATGGCTTCTATTACAGCACCATGATCCCTTTAAGATTGCGCGAGGCAGATCGAGAATCAACCCAGCCCCGGCTTGCTGGTTTGAGTGGTCTACTCACAGTAATATGAACTACCTAGTTACCCCATAGAGAGGCGTAGGTCGAGAGTTACCCTCAATATTATCTTCATCGTGCTTTTTTAATTTCATCCGTGAACGGCACTGTTCATGGCTTCTCGGCAGGGGTATGAAGGTATTGCTCGCACACCAATTTCCGACGGCCGGGTTGATCCAAACACTAAGGACTGGCATGGATCAACCGCTTTGTTTCTGCTGTAAGAAATGGCCATTATAAGTGGCAGAATTGTTGACAACAGATGAGAATATGGCCGTGGACGGTCGAGAATGATTTGGTCGAAGTCTTTTCTGGTGGGCAGATTTTGCAGCTCCTGCAATAGAATCGGAGACCATCCGACTAGCCAGTCTTGCATTTTGACACACTTGCTAAGCCGCTGAACATGCCTGATAATGAAGAAAAATCGATCGAATCTGGTTTACACGAGGAATTTTGCGATGCTTACTTGCTCGGTTTCCCGGAGCATAGAGGTTGCCCGAAATGCGATGAAGGATGTTTTCTTTTGTGTGTGGAATGTTTCGACACCGTAGCAGTAGATTGCAGAGATTGTGTACACACAAATTATTAGCACAACGAGCATATTGCTACTGTTGTATGCAGGTATCGTGTATTGAAATTAAGTGGCGCAAAGCAGCAGCGGCTAAGTGCGCAGAAGATGCAAACTGCCGAGGTTCGTCGTGGGTGTCACTTGGCTTCACCGTTTATCAAAATCTTCATTTGAATCAAGATTATTAGTATCGATGTGGAAATACTAACGCACTCTTGTGACGGATGAGAATACGAGCTTCTTGAGTGTCATTTCCCAAGGTCGGTGCAGGGTTTGGAAATACGAAGACATGAGCGAAAGTTTCGGCTTTGATAAGATCTGATTGGTTCATCATCCAACAAAGATAGCACTGCAGTTTTATCACAGTGACTCGAAACTCTATCTGAAATAGCCACTGAATTCGAAGCGCGCCAATAGTTTGTTACAGACCCCAATGGGATCTCAGCCTCTGATCAGGGCCACCTCCCACAATACGACAGCCTTCCGGAACTTCATATACCGTACACATACGTTAGGCTTTACACCCCTTTTCTTCGGAACCCATTATGAGCTTAGTACCGACTGTCGCGTTAGCTCTTGGAAATTTGATCAAGTGATTTGACAGTATAAACCGTTGCCGCAACATGTACTTTCGAGGCAGTCTTCAATGAGATGACATCTTCTGAGGACTTTGCAGTACATTGACATTAATGGGAAGTCAGAACAAGTTCTTCGAGGTCTAGAGGAAGAGGAATAGTGGAGCATGCGACGCGAGTCCGCTAATCGTGATTCCTCCATTTTTAACTTTGAGGCTTATGCATGCACGAGGAGCCGAAATTTGGTAGGTAATAATACATAACATCTCGATTCTCTATTAATCTCAATTTACTCATACCATACAACGATGTCAGATGCCAATTACATGTTGCTCAATTGATTTATCTGAAAGCTATATAAGGGGTAAGCTTTCAGCAAGTGTGTTGGCTCCAACCGCTAGTGTACCTACTCACGCCGTCGAGTAGGCGCCTGCTGTAGATCACCGCCATGAGCAGTTCTCTGAATGTCTCACCGGAAGCCACCACCCACACCCTTTACTAGCCGAACCAATTGATATGTAGGTTACGGTCAGTGCTTAGCTCGACCTAACCTTTATTTAATGTGCTACCCCTCTGAGATGCGTCTCTCCCGCAGCTGATAGTTAGGTTCCATTCTAATAAGCACCATGGCCATCCTAGCATCTTTCACGTATCTCGTTTTGGGAAGGACTCAGTAATGATCTTCCGGGATGTCGGCGCTCAGGCTGGAATCTGGGGTTGCGGGGATGCAAGGTCCTAGGCTCTCCACTGTCGTGGTATATGAGCAGACATCTGCCCTCCCTTGATCAGCTTAATTCTATCCTGCTTACATTCGGGTTTAAAATAATAAAACGGTCACCATGGCAGTTTACTACGAGAGCAGCTGGTCCATTCTAAGTACCATCGGCTTGGTAAACTTCTTCTTCGCCTGGATTGTGATTGGTATCACTAGGCTCTCATGGCTGTCGGCTATCCCTGCGATTGTCTCTGCGGCCGGCGCAGTCGCAAATGGCCTCTGCTACTACGCATGGTACATGAACTCTGGCAAGCCAAGGACGGCTAGTGCTTACGCCGTTGCGGATATCCTGTGGATGGTAAGTTGGCGACTTCGCATCTTCACGCGTCAGGTTGAATGATTTGGCTAACGAGTCCAAGATCCAAGAGGCAGGGTTGTCCTTCTACAGCTATATCATACTCAAGCAAATTCTGCGGAACAAGATGCGATTGGTATTTCTTATCCTGTTTTGGTTCTTCATGCTATGTATCTGCATGGCCAGAACGCTGCTTCTGATTTATAGAATTAAGTCTATTTTGGAGGGTGAGGAGGCATTTACGAACGTGGTGAACGGAGCCCACGTTGGTTACTTCATCTCTCTAGCTTGTGTCGAATGCCTCAGCGCCTTCTTCCTGCTACAAGTATTTATTAAGGCCAAGAAGACGTCCGAGCAGGTTTCACTTAGGTCAGACTTTACTAGATATCTTATCCGAAGCACCGAGTTACGACTGGCTTTTCTGGCGTTGATCGGTGTTTCAAGGGCAATTACTTTTCTTTTCCAACCTCCTATCAGTGGAGCGACAAGTGTCTCGAGTCAAATGGATGTATTTTTATACACACTTGAATGCCTCTTTCCCGTCATCCTATTGTGAGTACCCACTGATATCTATGGCAGCTTCTGGGTGCTAATTGCTCATGTGGACAGTATCGACCTACTGGCCTCGAAGTTGACATTCACTCACGGTTCTCAAAACGAGTCGTATCACCTGACGCAAAGAAGGACTGTCGGTAGAGAGAGACTTCCATCAGTTGATGACACGTCCCTTTCACGCGTTGTAGATCTGCAGTCTCAGAATAATGCTAAGTCTAAGGAAATAACGCGTTTTGTTACCCGTAGCTGGACGCCATCATCTTCGACAGAACCAAGACATATAAATACTGACAGAGGCTCAAATACAAGTCAGGTGGGCATTGTCAGGACGGTCACCACCACAGTTACCATCAGTGACCATTGATTGTGGGGTATAGTGGGACAACCCTAGATTGATACTGATAGGCTCAGATCAGATAATCGAATATGGCTCGGAGGTCCTCATTCCCGGCAGTAAGAAAGGGAAGGTTGCTCTTGACGATCTATTGCATTAACATCCGTTAAAAACGATCCTTATGAAAGCCCTTGTCAAAGGAGTTTGCCATAGCCTGCTCTCATGGCTTTATTAGATCAAGCATTAAGATATCAGTTATCAAGTGATGCTGCGTTCGGCTAGGAAGCTCGTTGATCAATGCAGAGTTCACATACTCGTAGTCCCAAGTCCCGGAGGTGGTGTCCTTGGCGAGTTCTGAGAAGAGCCAGCCAGCCACGAAAATGACAAAACAGGCGGTCTTCCAGCAGATTTGTGGCATCAGGCTAATAAGGTTGATAGTAAAAGAATTAGTCTCAACCACTCTAATTCCTAGAGATTCGGCCATTGCCGGGGTGTGGGATGCCTAAACGAATCATAATCCACAAATACTGCCGACTTAGCTTGACCTTCTAATGTCACCGGAACAGGGGCGAGCCATAACCTCAGCATCAATAACGTTCATCATTCTTTCGGCTAATTATCACATGGTGAACCTCTCGTTTGTGGGCGATTTATGTGACCATGCCTTTGCTCGTCAAAGTCTACTTATCCATTTACAAAACATATTGGGACGCGCTTGAATTTCCGTCCCTCTTTGTGGTTTGTGAGCTAACGTTGGCTTACATTGGTTATTTCTGAGCTGATTATTTGGGAATTTAGTTAAATGGTCCACGGCTCCTAGCCGAAAAATGCCAGTTGTCGGTGCAGGAGGCTTTAGCGTATCCCTTGAGCTAGACGGTCTTCATCCAAGTCGGAAAAAAGTAATTGGCCACGTGAAAATAGATGCTTACTCTTAATTGGCTGCAAAAGTTTGTCCGTCGTGTTTAAACCTCGATACAGCTAGCGGGGCACTAAAAGGGAATATCTACGAAGCTCTTATCTTCTTGCCCTTAGGAATCATGCCTTGGAATATTGTTTATTCATAGTGGCAACCGGGCCTAATACTTATCACTTCGTATTATAGTGAATGAAAAGGAGCTAAAATTTCTACCGACGTCCCGCACTATTTGTTAGTTTTGGTGGAGGAGGGTGGATCTGTCTCTACACGGGATGTACTATCCCTTTGCTCTAGGCTTTGTGTTTATCGGTACTTCTATCATAAAACCAAGAAAGATTTCCCATAAAACCATGGAGTATGCGAAGGTTTGTCTTTGGGTAACTTTGCAGACTACAATCTGCACCTTTCCAGCTCTCTCTTTTCAATTAGCCTCGATTCCTGTGTTTTCCATTTTCCTACAGCCTTGGACTCTTGTCGTCAACCAGGAGTCTTTACCTATTTTTCTAAGATCACCGAAGATAACAGTCTTGAAATCATCACTCAGGATCTACTCGACGTGGCCCCTCCTCTCTTGCCAACTGAGTAAATTGGGCCAAAGATTTGGGTGCGAAACGTATTTTTTTCGAGCTCTCGGAAAGATACAACATGAGCGCACTGGTGGAAATGTTGAGGCTAGGCTATCATAACTTGGAAAAGAATGTCCCTCCTATTAATCTGTGTGACTCCTTAATGCCATGTTACACATTTTTTTACCAAGACACGTCCTCAGAACAAGTCAGTGACATTGGATGCTGCCGGCGTAATTGCCTGGGCGCCTTTCAGCAGCGAGGGATAAGCTTTCATCTGGATACCTATATTTACTAGCTAATTGACCACTTGCTTCTGTATTAAGCAAAACCAAAGAAATGACGAAGGTGTCGTATAGGAATAACCACAGGCTCACCTGTGCTACCCGCAAGCTAGCATTTACATATGTACTCATTGCTACCAGCTCTTCACCAGAGCTCACAGATAGGCTCCTTCTTGGGGCAGTTAAATGCTCTGTTGAATCCAACCGTATTCTTGAGAGGCAGCAAGACTCTTGCAGGTGCCGGGCTGTGCACGTCTTCCTCGAGCAGCGTTAAAGCTAACTTGGGCGCAATATTGGAGCACCAGGTCTGGCCCCATTTAATGAAGAATAGCTGCTCGTGCGTGAAGCTTTGCATACCTGGGAGATTCTTGGCCTTGCCTTTCTCGCTTTCCCATCTTTTCCAGGCCTCATAGCTAGAAGATACACCTCCAGCATCGGCAATATTCTCGTTAAGCGTGAGGCTTCCGTTAACATGAACATCTGTTCCGTTGGGCGCTCGGATAGTGAAGTTGTTATACTGTTCGACAAAGCACTTGGTTTTTTCTTCGAAGGCCTCAACCGACTTCTTGTCCCACCACTCTGTCGCATTGCCAGTCTTATCAAAGTTGCGGCCGGTGTTGTCAAAGCCGTGTGTGATCTCGTGTCCAACGACGCTACCCATTCCGCCATAGAGGAGATAAGATGGAAATTCTACATCGTAGATGGGGAACTGTTGGAAGCCTGCGAAGAGAACGATCTGGTTCAGAGTGCGGGCGTGGTAAGCATTGGCGGTTAGAGTGCTCAAGACAAATTGGCCTCTGTTGAATGGCTTTCCCAGACTCATCCAGTTGCTATTCACCTTAGACTTGGCAAATGACAGCGCATTTAGGGCCAGAGAAGGCTGAATCTGGACATCCGAGTAGTATTCTCTAAGGGCAACAGGGTCCACAGCATCAGGCAGCGTAGGAAGGCCAATGATCTTCTGCATAGCTTCGACCTTTTCGAGAGACGCCTTCTTGACTCTGTCGGTTGCCCAGTCGCGTGATTCAATACGCTCCGAAAAGGAGTCCTTGATGTGTTGCACAAGATCAGATGTAAGTTCGTTGGCTTCAGGGGTAAAGTGCTTGTCCACGAAGAATCGTGAGAGTATCCATGTCAAGCCCGTCGGGCCGATGAACTGTGACGTGATATCGGAGGCTTGGGTCCATGCAACTCCGTAGTTCATCAAGTTGATACAGCGCTTCCATCGGGGTGCAGGACTCTCAGGATCTCTACCTCTGATCTTAGTCGCCAAGTTGTTATAAGCGTTGGTTAAATCGGCCTCGATGTAGACAGAGATGGAAGTAATGGCCTTCCATATAAAATATGCCTGGAGTATTGTAGTCGGAGTCTCAGAGATAATCTGGGACGCATTGTTGAAATAGGCAGGTGCGATGAATTGGATGTCGCTCTTCCAGTTCTTTGGAGCAAGCTGTTCAATCACATACTCGTAGTTCAACTCGGGAAATTGCTTCTGGGCCGCAGAAATTGAGACAATGTCAGATTCCGGTCCGTTCTGTTCAGCCCAGGTAGAAGCAGCCACTAGTTTGCCTTCTAATTCGATGACTGACGTGACGAGTTCGGCAGCAGCCGTTGTGCTGATATTGGAGGGGCTAACAGCGGCCAAAAGCTGAGAGGCGATTTTGATGTACTCTTCGAGATCCTCCTCGGTGGCAGGGAGGACCAACTCTTTTGGCTGCAGAGGAAAAAGGTTCAGTTCGACTCCGTCGGGGTCGTCGTCTTTCTGCTTAACTATGAACCGCTGGAACGTCTGAACGCCGACGCTCTCGAAAAGGGTCAAAGTCTTGCCCAGGGCAACAGAATGCTGAGTTGTGTTTGCAGCTGTCTTGTTGCCTGATGCTGGAGTAGTAGGGTACAGCTCGACAATTGTCTTGACAACCTCCTGCAGAGTTTGGAGACCCTCTTCTTCGAGTGCTGTATAATTAGTGCAGACTTGATACGCGTCTTGGATCTTAGAAAAGATCTCCTTGTCTGCCTTGGACTGCTCCTTTGTCAGGTTGACGGTGATCCATCCAGCGTCTTCGCTGGAGGGGTATGGGCTCTCAAGGATCCGCCTCAAGGCGCTGACGACATTTTCCTGGGCAAGAGTGAGTCCATCTGTGGAGACATCGCCTGCAGGGATCTCATGGCGAGCAGCCCAGTTACCGCAAGCATCTGTATTGGTAGTTAGTGACTAATTTTGAATAGAAGAGGTATGTGTATGGCAGGTCTCACATTGTTCAAAGTCCTTGCAAGGGTCAATCTCGGTGTAGTTCAGAGCCATACTTCCGAGCATCTCTGAAGCGATGTGTATGCAAGATGCTGATGTGCACAGATCGGATGCGACAGCGCTGGGGGCCATGATGATGACGTACAGCTACGTAACAGCGCAGTCTAGGATAACGGGAAATTTGGAGGAGGTGAAATGGTAAGTGGGTATGAAGAAGAAGCAGAGCTCTCCAAATCGTTCGACTCTTAGTTCGGAATGGATATAGACTATGAACAGTCTGGTCGATGATAGCATAACTGTGTTATCTTGTTCATACTTATACAAGTTCAGGCCATGGGAAGAATAGCATAGCCATTATGACGTTCTGGTAAGCGGTAGACTCTTACACACAATGGGACAGAGCTGTGTAGATGAGGCGGAGCTGAGCGGGCGATATTCCCCTAAGAAGAAGGTTAATTATGCTTCCTAGATTTATTATTGGCGTCTGACTCGCTTGGTCTTTTCAGTGTTTTGACCAATCAGGCGTCACAAGATCAAGCGATGATCATCGCACGGGAAATTTGCCTGGTACCAATTGAGCTAAGCCGTAAAAGGCATTATGCATCGCTCCTATGGATACTCTTCTGGGTGTCATAAATAATACCACTACCCTTACGTCACTTGGGCACCATAGCTCGGCGATGCAAAAGACCAAAGGCGGTAAGGCTGGTTGGCTTCTTGGCAATGGCGAAGTGCATGTATAAAACGCGTAGCTCGTACTTGGTCTCACGCAGAATGGAAACCTTCTAAATCAGTTATTCTATTGGTCATAGCACCCAGTACGTTGGTTTTCTTGCAGATCCGCCATGGGCCAACACTACTCTCAACCGCGACCAGGCACCAAGCTTCAAGTCATTGGCGCTGGCCTTCCTCGTACCGGGACGGCATCAATCAGCCGAGCTCTGGAAATTCTTCTCGACGGTCCCGTATATCATGGCGCGACACAAGCCCTTCTCGGCCCTGAAAGAGAAATCAAAACATGGATTAAGGTACTGATGCAGTGGCGGCCAAAAGACAATTCAACAAGGCGCTCTAATCTAGATCTCATTAAAGAACATATTGACGGGTTTGCCGCAATTACCGACTCGCCCGGCTCAACTCTCGTGCCGGAATTAATGACGGTCTATCCAGATGCAATAGTGATCTGCACTGTCCGCGATGTTGAAGCGTGGGAGCGAAGCATGGCTGCCGTTAGTAGCAAATCGACGCAGTGGTTCCTGCGCTTCGTCTTGTTCCCTGTGCCCTCACTACGATACTTTGTCGACTACATCGATGCGCTGCGCCAGCAGTGGTTTCTGAAGTATGGAGAAACCGAGCCAGTGACGAGTAGCTCGTACAATCAGCACATCACTTGGTTGAAGGAAAATGTGCCAGAGGACCGTCTGGTATTCATAGATGTTCATGACGGCTGGGAACCGTTGTGCAAGGCGTTAGATCTACCAGTCCCGAAAGATGTCCCTTTCCCAAGGATTAACGATAGCCAAGCTATAGACAATTTTGCCAAGAAGCATATTAATAGAGGGCTAGTAAGGTGGGGGGTGATATTGTTGGTTGTAGGGACGAGCGCATGGACTTTTTTTTATTTGGAGTTGAGATTTTGGTAATGTGTGGTCTTGTTTTGCTTGACTGGTTACATTTCGCGACAATGAAGTGTCTTGTTATCGGAGTATTTCCTTGTTAAATCTTATCGGCTTGGCTGACCTCGCTTATCTTATCGCTAATAATTTTAGACCAATGGCGCAGCGCTTATTGCAGCACATGCAGGGTAGGTATAATAATTATTATTATAAGTTGGCACCTTGAATGTACATAGCGACGAGAAAAGGGCACCAGGCCATGGTGTTTCTTTTCGACCATCCAACGGCAATCTAAATTGCAAGTACACAAGGATAACACGCTATTGGCATAAAGTACGGTAGGTATGCTGCACTCCACTTCTAGCTGCCGCTGACCGTGGTAAGACAGAATGCGTAAGATTGTTAAGAAACTATGCTGAGAGAAATCGCAGAGATCAACATGGCAGAAACGCCATATACCTGCTCGTGAGGCTGGACATGAACAGGTGTTTAGAGAGCTGCTTTAATGGTCAGATGTTGAGCTCAATTCTTTAGCAGGTTTTAGGAGCGTTTTGCCGTCGGAAATAGCACTTAGAAATCGGAACAAGGAGGCCATAATGGTTCTGATGCCACATTCAGATAACAATCGTATATGTCCGACTGGGGATAGACCATTGAATCTTGCCGCCAATCCCATAAGCATTAAACCCATCTAACAGCTCCTTGACTAAAGGAGTTTCCGCATTAATACAAAAGGCGACAGAGGTCGGACTGTCCTTTACACTGCAGCCATGTCCGGCGATAATAAACGGTAGAGCTTGTAGTTAACAATCCCGATATTAATGTTAACACTCGCGACATTGATGGCCCCCTCAGCGGCTAGACTGGCCTGCATTGCCGCTAGTTCTGTATTTTCTTCTTTTGGCCAAGCGCTGAATACCGATACAATGGATCTCTGTGGGAACCTGCATCTCTATTCAATTAAACGTAATAATGCAAGGCTCGTGCAACACTTCCAGTTAATTCAGTACACCATAACCCCATGCCGTCGCCGGGTCTTACAAATACACAAGGTAGTATCACAATTCAGTTAATTCGTCGTACCGAGAACCGCAGGTCCAGACCAAAGACTTTAACATAAATAAGACTTTAGCAGTGATTGTTTGTAAAAATCTTATTGCCACTACATCCGTTAATAATAGAAACCTGTTTCTGCCTACTCCCACTGTTTCATCAAAGTGTTTGCCTCCATCTGCTTATCAAACTGAGGGATATGTGTAGTATGGCACCAAGGCTTGTTGGATTCCTCCTTGCGGACAGTGCAGGCAAACCAGGAGCACCAACCGTGACGAGGAATTGCTTTGTTGACATTATCCCGAGTAGCTTCGTCAATCCAGCTGCCAAAATCGTTAATGCCCTCGTATGTCCCAACGTTGTCATAAAGCGTAGCAAGCTGAATTAACTGGCCTAGGAAAGTAATCGAACCGTCCACGCCCATGTCTTCATGACGGATGATAGCCTCTGCGACTGCCTCGGCCTGATCGTCGCTGCTACCGAGGACTTTGAGCACTTCCATTGCCTTGATTCCACCATAGATATCAAAAGACATGCGAGTTGAAGTGAAGTAAGCCTCAGCAGTACCGATATCATGCAAAAGACATGTCAGCGCCCAAGTGGACGGGGACAGGGCTTCTGCGTGCTTGGGTAGCAAACGCTTGGCAATAATGGATCCTAATATGGTTCAGCAATGTCTCTCTCAAGATATCGAATGTAAACATTCATCCTTACCCCAGTAGAAAACTCGCATAGAGTGGTTATAAGCTTCTTGACTTAGCCGTGCCTTGACAAAGGCTTGAGCTTCAGACACAAGTTTGTCCTCAGAGGGGAAAACGATGTCTTGGAGAGTGTAGGTTTGCGTGGGTACAAGCTGTCCGACCGAGTCCTTGATTGCCTTGGCGCTGACAGGCACGGCAGTCCAGCCGTTGGCCTCGACTTCGGTGGGCAACATTTTGTCAAGATAAAGTAGGAAGGACGATGAAACTTGGGCGAGTATACTGGTGGCAAGAGTGTGTTGAGGATGGGTATCTCATGGACGTCTATTTATACCCAAGCTTGCGTCTAAAATCGACTAGAGGGCCGTCAGACCTACATTGGTAAAGGTGTCAATGGGAGGAATTTTACAGGTTGCCCCGCAGGGCTTTCATGAAGAATCATGCATAAGACAATGACTCGTTGGAAAAGAAGAGGAAAAGGAAACTAAGTACGAATCGTGTTAATGTCTCGGTCTGTTCAGTTAACCATTTCACGTTCAGCGTCACATCCACGTCTTGTTCTGTACTAGCGTGAGACTTATGCTTGGAACTAGGCCATCGGCACTAAACTGAGAATAGTAAATAACTGAACTTTTGTGGGCTGGTAGCATAAATAACCAATGAAAGTTCATTGCATAACACATGTAGATGACGTTGTGATCGGCCCTCGCGGAGCAGAAAGAGCCCTCTCATTATAGACCTTTCCACAATCAGGTCACGAGCTCCTGTATTCCCACAAACTCATCCCTTTGAATACTTTACACTCATAATATACCCCTCGATGACCCAGTCACGGACGCGCAAGTGCTGGAGCTGTAAGCAACGCCGCCTCAAGTGCGACGGAGGGATGCCCCACTGCCTGAAATGTTGGAGCCACGGCGTTGAGTGCCTCGGTTACGAGAAACCCCTGGTCTGGGTTGAGGGAGTGGCTCGGCGAGGGCCTATGAAAAACCGGACTTTTGGAGGTGCCCAGACTCAGCAGCCGTCGCAAAAAAATTCGTTACAAAGACCAACACCAGTTGTCTCTCACAGACACCGACACCAGAAGGAGGAGTTGACAAGACTGTCCGGATGTATTCCGATGCCAGTGGCTCTTGTTGAGCCTCTATTCAAGGATTTCAGTTATACATCTAAATTCTTTATTGACTATTGTTAGTTTTGGTTAGTTCTGTGTAACATATCACCCACTAACCTGCAAACAGTCTCAAAATCCATTTGCCCAACTCTGGTCCTGCAAGATCAGTTAGACAACCCATATCGTAACGTCATTCCCTGGATCAACACGCCAACAGTAGCAAGTGCTATAATGACAGTATCATCCTGTCACTACATTCAGTATATTACCAACTGCCCAATGGCGGAATTGCTGCCACAAACCCGAAATGGAACAGTTTTAGGCAGGCTAAACGCACATATCAGATCATTAGTAAACTACCATTTACGGTCCAAAAGCCATTGCCTGGGGTTGGTCTCTACAGCATTGGCAATACATAAAACCACTCAGGATCAACAGTCGCTGCTCATAACCGTGGTCCTCCTTGCTTTCCTAGACATTTTTGAGAGTGGGTCTGGCGCTTGGAGCTATCATATTGAGGGTATCAAGAAGATGCTTGAAGTTGGAGCCATGAAGGGTACTTCTTCTTGGGATAATAACCTTCAAAGTCTCCTGCACGACGCTGCCATGTGAGTGATTTTGCGTCAGAAGCTATTTCGGTACTTGTGATTTGAGAAACTAAAAGATTTGTCCTAGGCTTCAAACATTTGGTTCGTCTCTTGCAAAGCCTGGTGTTCTGACCAGTGCCTCTACACTATCTTCAATAAGGGCTTCAGCTTTCTCCACTGTCACGCCAAACGGATGCCCTGTCCAAATTCTATCGACTATTGAGATCTTTGCTTCGCAGAGACGGCATGACTTTGTTTTCGCTGAAAATACCACCAACATCGTCGTCCTTGAAGATGCACTGCAAAAGATGCGTTCATATGATATCGTGTCGTGGGCGGTGCATAACACTACAGAATACTCGAAAGTATCGTCAGAAGATTTGGCACGACTTGGTACTATTTGGCAGCTCTCAGCTGACATCTACGCCTGCCGTGTTCTTGCCTACCTCATCGGGTCTACTCTGGCCTCTGAGTCATTACAGGTTCAAGGTCTCATCGCAGCGTACGCATTTCTCGAACGAGAGGACGATGAATTGATTAAGTGTCTTATATGGCCAACCTTCGTTGCCGGAGCAGCAAGTACAACATATGAAGCTAGAGCTTGGGTGCTTCAAACCTTGGATCGGATCTGGAGCAGAGGGCATTGTGCCAACACCAAGAATGCTGCAAAGGTTTTGGGAAAGCTGTGGGAGAAATACGACCAAACGAATCTCAGTTCTTCGCATATACACAACTGTTCTAACGCGACTGAGCATCTGTCCATGGGTTATTCTGTCTGGGATTGGGTAAATGAGCTATCAAGCCTGGAAGGCTCTTGGCTTTTTATATAAAGATATAATGACAGAAGTCATACTCGAATGCTCTTGAAATGAAAGCTATAGTGGAATGCATCAAGGTAATTCACTCCCATTGCCTCGTCATGGCCGGATTTGCTTTACTGTCGTTGGAGCGTCGGGTCTCCAGAGTGGTGAGCCGTCTCCACAGGATTCGAAATTGGTTGAGATCAGCTGTGCACTAATTTTCGTCATTGGGCTCATCTTGTCGGGATAATGTTCTCACTTGGCCAAATCCTCCGGTAGGGCTCAAACCTGTGGCCGTCGAAGTCTCGCCTTTGTTGAGAAAATAGGCTTCGAGTCTGCGATAATGTATTTGCCTTTCAACCCCGCGCGCCAGCTGCACTGGGGCATAGTTTAGTCACATCTCGATTTCGGGGCACGGCATTGGACGCAGGACCAGATGCTCCCAGCTTCGGGGTCTGGTTGCCGAGTTGATATTAGGCTACTGCAGATGGTAAGATTATGCGGATGTGTACAGAGAATAGCCGGTATGTGACGCAGAATTGCACTTATTTCTCTCAATGACAATGGAAAAAAGTCATTTATCAGGAGCAGAAGCATGTCATTCAACGCGCATCGGCGTTCCAAGTGGAACGGGTCTTGATTAGGCATTGGCTCGACTGGGCAGTTATTAAGCCGGAACGGCATCCGATTTACCGAAAGCTCGTTTCGATAATACCGCGAGTCCGGGCGCTTATTATATCAATCACCAGTTACTATAGATAACTAAAACAAACTAAAAATCTATGCTAAGCTTATCAAAAGAGCATCCTAGATTAACCATGAAATATCCTGTATCTATCTGTGAATTTAGGATGAAAGTCCTAAGTTTTCACCCATCTCCAAGAGATTCCCCAATCTTCAGTATAGCGTCGGGATCTTTTTAACGCTGTCAGCCATGGGCAAGGAGCTATCACAACAGGAGGGACTCCCCGTGCCCGAAGAGCTTCCGCCCCGATGGCACCATGAGTTTGACGTGGACAATTGAGGAGATGGCGCAGTTCCCATTCTAGAGAGGTTGTTGGGGTCGGACCGCTCCTCTGTAATGGCGTCAATGCTACCCCGATATACCGTAACGATTAGACCGTTTATCCGAAGCGCTAGTGACAAACGAAATTGTGAACCGTCTCGTTGTCGATAGCCACTTGCTTCAAGTACTATCTATCACATCAATGAAACCCTCTGCGGCAGGGATACCAATGTCTGGAATAGCAATATACTCTAGCAGCTTATCCTTTATCGCATCACGGAAACTGGTCGTAAAGGCCTTGGCCTCGAAACTAGGCGCAACGTCGTTGAAGAAACCACATGACTGATCGCTGGCGCCGCGATCAACGCTCGAGTAGAAGACCTATTGTACGATACGCTTAATGGCCTCGTCAACCAAACCCTTGCCTTGAAGGCGCCATATACCTTCTGAGCCGCCTGAAAAAGTGCAAAGACATTGGGTATGACTGCGAGCATGGTAAAGTTGGAAGAAAGGCAGACTTGTACGGCCTATACGACGATGGGGCCAGTGACAAGGGTGCTCCGTGACATGGCAGCCGATGTTAAAGAGGATCGAGGTAGAGCTGTCTTTGTACAGCTCTTAATATGAAATAGTCTCAGTTTCATTCTATAATACATTAGTGGCCCTGTTGCTTTCTTTCCTGAAATCATGAATTGTTTGTTCTTATTACAGGGCAAGATCATGTTGGACAATCTTTCTCGGCAGGCAGTTCAAGATCGGTGACGGCAATGCCGAGACAGGTGCAGTTGTCGGCATGATATTCGCCCGGACCAGGAATGAGAGAGGAGATTCCCCAGGGTTGGAGCCGTGTCAAGGATGCTTATTATTAGCGGCATAATTGCAACAACATGCCGCGCGGTGATTCAAAACAGCCGCTTAGTAATCATATTTCGGATGCGTTGAAGTCACGATGTGGAAGAGCAAACAGTGTTGGTTCATCTGGGATGATTTATTACAGACTACACTATATAGTTAGACCTTAAAGATCCTGATGTCTTTATAGCAACAGCAGGTATAATATAGATCTGACTGCAAGATCCTCGCTGGAGTCTGAAGGACATAAGGCCATGCGTGATTAATTGCCAGAGGATCTCGTACAGCGGGTCGAGGTTTGTCGAACGAATTTCTGGCCAATTATCCCTGGATCTTAATACGAGACGGAATTCACGAGCTCCACCAATGCTCAGGTCAGAAAGCTTATTTCTAAGTGTGGCCGGTAGTAGAAATTCCACTTTAATCCCTCGTGAGCTATAATATAAGGACCTGGATCGCTGGGTGCCGACTTTATCTCTTTAATTCCTTATCTCTATATTTATTCTTTTATTATTACTTACACATGTCAGCAATGAAGTTCCTCTCTAAAGTGTTGCTGTTTTGCGCACTCGCAAATAGCGCAACATTGGCTATACCAAAGTCAAAGCAGTTTACTTCTAGCAATTTCTTGCTTGAGAGCAGGGCTCAACACCAGACCCGAGATGTGAAAAACCTAACGAGCTATATCTGGAACGGAGGCGAGGTTGCTGGTCCACGCTTTGCATCCGTCACTGCCGAAGTCATCATCCCCAATATCACCTTCCCCTATGGATACAATGCCAGTGCAAGATACGGCGCTTCAGTTTGGGTCGGAATTGGTGGAGACCAGAATACCTGTGATGATCCTGCACGTATCAACAACGGGGGTCTCATTCAAGGAGGTTATTACTACCTATACGACCCTGAGGGTGACTTTGGCGTTTTCGCCTTCTACGAGTGGTTCCCAGACGGACCCGTCTTCTTGGACGACACGGAGGGCATCGAGACTTCGATTGGTGACCACGTGCGCATGACCGTTACCCAAAAGGACAACGTTACTGGTACCTTCACGTGGGAAAACTTCACATCTGACAAAAAGTACGTTGTTGCAAAGAATCCGTTGATAACTGGCTCTAACCGTGATAGATTTACAAAAGAACTAAAGGCACCTGTAAATGGGACCTTGTGCACGAATCATGCAGAATGGATTGTTGAGAGCTTTATGACGACCAAGGACCATGAGACTCTGTTCCCGGACTTTGGTGAATTACACTTTACTGAGATCAAGGCCATCTCGGCAGCAAACGAGGAGGTATCGCTACAGGAGCATGGCATTATCGTCGAGGCCGAGCCTGTGCTCGGGAACGGAAAGTACTTGACCGATTGTGAGATAACGGGATCGGATGCTACGAAATGCAAATGGCTTGGATACAAGGGTATTTTCGAAAGCTAGGTAAGCCGGTGAGATCGCGCGAAGGTGGCGTGAGAAGCCAGAGATGCATAGAGTAGCCAATTTATCTAACGGAATCTGGACTTTGTCCTCGTCAAATACATGCTATATTTTGCAGGCCTACTATCCGCCCTTCGCAGACGGGGCCTATTAAACCAGCCTGGAATCCATTGTATAATAACACATTGACGACAAGTCCTAGCCATCGAGCGCCTAGCCCAAACACAAGTTCACTCTTGTAGCGCAACTCACCATACCCGTGATGGTACTGGAGATATCTCAACGGTCACCGGCGGCTGATCACTTTGACTACAGCCCAGTACCGCCTGATGAAATGCAAGACACGACGCCAGAGAGGACCAAGAAGAGAAATACGGCAAAGACCGAACACGACGATGAGATCGAGGACATAGATATTGACAAAGCACGGAGAGCATTACTGATCCTCTCAAGACCAGCGACATCTCCGTCATCATCACCAACCAAGTTATCTGCCAGCATCAGATCAACAAGTCTGCGATCCAGCTCTCGAGCTTCCAAGACGCAAGCTCTCAGACCTGAGCCTGGTGGAGCACGGGGTCTAGCGACAACAACTCAAAGGCCTTAATGCTTAACCTTGGACAAGATCAGCTTGACATCCCTTCTGGAGGTGGATGTCGGAAGCCATCCGTCGCCGGAAGACGTTGATGACATATTAGCTGATGCGAGAGGTGCTTCAAAATGGATCACGACGACGGTGTTTGGAATGCAGAGGTACACCAGCTTTTGCTCAACAAGGTCTTGGCGAGATCCAGCTTCAACCTTGTTGATTCTCCATTTTGATAAGATGAACCCGATACTCAAAACTATCTTCCTCGCTGACAATGGTACCTAATACCTCTTCTGATCATTCGGGACTATCTACCTCCCTGCGTAACGAAGAAAAGAGTAGGCCTCTGCTTTTTTATCGACCCGAGTTGCGATCCCTCGTACAAGTCCCTTATAGAGTCGCTTCCCAAAATGAGCATCAACGATACATCTTATGGTCCTCTGCGCATGCACACAACGATAGCAAGTCTACAGAATAAGAGACCCGGAAATGACTTCGATGGTGCGGTTCTGAAATCAGCGTTTGGCAATCCGCACACTGAGTGGTGCTACGCTCACTACTGGGACGGAGATGGCCTGGGACACAAACCTGCGGGTTGTCGAGGAATTACTGTAACAACAGCGCCCTCAGGGAATTTGGCGCTTTGCACGACGTAGTGATTCAAGGCCATGACTGAATTTACGTCTCGGCGTCTCCAGAGCTTATGAATATGGAAGGGAAGGGCATCTACGCGGACAGTAAGTTGTCGCATCCTCCCAAGGGACTTTGAGCTAATAGGCTACTGAAGGTAGCGACTTTGGCTTTATGAGCCAATTGGGCGTACAAATACTGCATTTGGTATAAATAAAGTATCTGTATCCCTTGCGCTTTCGAGGACGTGGAGTACACAAGCGTATTGGCCATGGTACAAATAATATTTCCTTGATGATCATGGTAAAATTGTGCTATTGGTTTCAGCCGCCACATGTGCTGTTACATGAGTATTTGGAGCAGAGGTGTAACGGTTGCACAAGCCGTTAAACCACAGGGCAAAAGATCGGGCCATAATCGCTATGCAAGCAATTACAGGTGTGCTACAGCTGCCTTATAGAAGCCTTACGGCGCTGTTACGGGCACGAATCGTAACACTATACTAAAGGTTCTTCTGAATATACTTATAATACCCTTGATAAGATAAGTAAATAAAGGAAGATATAACTTAATAATAGTATTAATAAGTTTATTTATCCTGCTAAGTTATAGGAGGAAAGGTGTGGGGTTTAGATGAAGAATGAGAGACAGAGAATTAACATAGACATAAAACTAGAAATATAATTAAGGATATTTAAACATAGAAAATCTTTTTTAGCAAGCACCATTTTGTATTATGTTATCAAGCCGAAGGATGACAAAAGGTTAACGTTACTTGAATAACTACAGCTGGAGTAGCATGTAACCTTAGCGTGGCCTGGCATAAACCTGAGACATAACACTGAGACCGAATGGGATGCCGCGAACCATTTTTACAGACTACAGTCCTCTTTCGTATCTGTCGTGCGGAACAAACTTATTCATGGGCAGCCTTCGCATATTCTAGACTTCAAGACGGAAGAGGTTTCCTGCCTACAAGTTAGGTGCCCACACAGAAGTCTTCCAGATCTGGTCAGACGTAACATAAATCAGGGACATTTTTGTTGGCTCGATCTTTCAATAAACCTGTGGAGAAACTCGTAGCGGAATATTCATGATCCAGAGAAAGCTGGCTGAGCTTTCCACGTTGACAAATGTCCAGCTTCACGATCAACAAACATAAACACCCGCGACCGGGTCCGGACGGTGACCCCACACCGACCATATCAGATGCAGGTAAATTAAATTTTGTGCAGATAAACAGGCACGGTCAGGTTCCTTCACTAAATCCATCGCCGCCCAGCATCACTCCGCCCGACAAGCATAGCTAACTGCCATCATCTCCCCCACGATAACAAGGCAGCCCGGGAAGCGCGTCATCAACGATCACGATGACCTAAGGCTTCTGGAGCCGCTCTTGCAACACAAACCACTATGGCTAATATAACAAAACGGCTTTTGCAATTCTACTTATGAAGGTTACTATTCTAGTTAAATTAATTATATTTAAATAGCTTATTCAAAACTCAATTTAGATAAACCCGTGAAATTAGGTTATAGATTCCTATTATATAAATACACCACTAAAGCCATACCCAATATAGGCGTTCCTCTTATACTCAAGTATCCAGAGCTCGAGGGAAAATATCCTCTGATGTCCAGTGACACAATGGGCAAATGACCCTGAGACCTTTACCTGACACGGAAGCAATAGCAGACTCAAGGTCAAATTTCTCCATGTCATGACAAGACACAAGTTTTGTGGCAAATTCGCGAGTCAATCTGGCCCCTTCTCGAAAAAGCTCTCGAATGCCCATGCAGCGGGTTTGGACCCAGGCGATCGCTTCAGACATCTGCTCAGCATGTTTCTTGAGATCTTCGTTAGCAGTAGATTCGCCATTATAGACCCGCTTGCACACAGATATGGTCTCTCTAGCAAACGAGACGAGTGCGCAAACGGCACTGACAGCGCCTAGTACTTCAAGACCTGTAGCCATAGTCTTTGTTTTACGTCATACATTCAGGGCTAATCAAGAGAGTTCATGTTGGGAAGCTAATGCGGAGAAATTAAGCCTGATAAGGCTCTGTTGGGCAGCTTGCATAATGCATAGATGCCTGAAAGCCTCAATCTTGAATCAGGCAATACAGACCAGCACACTTTGCCCAGTAATCAAGTCGTTTGATTGATTGGCTTGAGGCTAATATAAGAACCTATCTGATAAGCGAGGTTTGCCAGTTCATATTCCTTCATGCAAGCACAATTTGATCGTTTCCGGTTATCCGATCCAAGTGAACTTGTTGACTAGAAAATCGGTAACAGAGCCCACAACTGGCCGCTCATTCATACTCGCCCTGCCTGCAAGGTTCACGTGACATAAGCACGGGGTTTCTATGACTCCATCATTTCTCAATAGTATCAAGTCTATTACCTGCCCCTCCATTTTAGCTGCAAATCATCGCTATTAATAACATGACAGAAGCTATCGGCTTAGTAGCTTCTGTTGCAAGCCTACTGGACCTTGCTCTGAAGTTATCCAACACATTACATGATCTCCAATTCCAGGTCAGAAACGCACCCTACCTTATTCAAGCGTTGGAGAATGAGACGCAGGCTGTCAGGACAGTACTCGCCCATGTCGAAAGCTCAATCCAGCCTACAGCAACAGCTGGGTTTGGTAGCCCAGGAAGCTCTGCAATTCTTGGCGCTCTTGCCGTTGAACTCCGCAGAGGTGCAGCTGTCATGAAGGAATTGGGCTTATTTATCGATAGTCTCAAGAATGAGACATCCACTTTACAAAGGGTCAAATGGGTTCACAAGAGGGAGAGGGCAACAGAGCTCATAAAAGAGCTTAAAGAAGTGAGATCTCGTATTAGCGAGTTACAATTGGCATATGGCAAGTATGTTCCACGAATAATATCCTGTCAATCTGAGACTAACATGAAAATGTAGCTCAAGCTTAACACGCATCGAACTTGTATTGCAGGACATCCAGGTTATGCAACGCTGTCACTATGCCACAACTCAAAGTTTGGGTACTTGTCTACTAGACACGAGAGACCAACTCACAATTGACCGAAATACCACATTTCAAAACCAGTCAGACATCGCAGCAGCGCTAGAGGCCCTGCAAACTACAACACCAACGTTGCCACCAGAATGGGTGGAAACTATCAGCAACCAGTTGGCAACAACGATGAACACTATGCGGCCTGGTCCAGCGAAGGGCAACAACACAAATGTTTCGCTCCATCAATCTCACAGACAACAGGGCTTCCAGGCCATATCCTCGCCACTTCAGCACTCTACACTAGCATTCAAGCTAAAACTAGTGCAATCCCAGTGCTCGATCAACTGTACCTGCAGATGTCACGCTTCGGTATCTTCATACCGTCCTTGGAACACGCTCCCAAAAGTACTTCGAATGATCATGGGTTCGGTGCTTATTGAGTACTCCAGTTGCCCTGTTTCCAGAACAACCTGCGACTTGCATTCATGTTTCAAGTCACGTCTGACTCGCCTCACGGTCAGATATGGCTTTCCATTGTGGTCTTTCAAGTACGCGATTCATATCCTGGTGGAGAAACTATCTACCAGCTCTCTCACGTTTACTCTAGCATTGAGACGAAAGATTCCTCTAAAAGCCTCCAGAGACAACATAATTTTTCATGCCGCAATTGGAAATCTAACTGCTATCAAACGCATCGTATTTGAAAATCCAACTGCAATCCTGGATGTCGACTATAATGGTGATTCTGCCATGTGCATCTGTACTGAGAGATTTTTACCATGGGAACTCTCGCTTCAAATTTGTGAAGTACTTCTTCAGGCTGGTGCAGATCCGGACCAAGTCAACGAGAGAGGGCTTTCATTTCGGCATATAATTGCTAATAAGGTTCTTCAGAATACCATACCATTGAAGCTTCATTCTCAAGTCGAAAGGTTGATTCAAATTTCGTCGTGCTTAGAGGACCTGGATTTCACCTTCATACATGAAATTGTTGTTAAACGATGTCCAATCGACTTGGCCCCTATACTCGAGGCCGGCAAAGCAGATATTATTGCCCAGATCCACAGTGAAGACCGATTTGGGATGACTCCGCTGATGTATGCTATTGCTTTGGGCGATGCAACAGCGGCTACTGCTCTCATCAAATCCGGCGCCTCAGTTCACAGACAAGGACCATTTGGATGCAACCTAGTAGATTATGTTTGCCATCTACCGCCGAACACATGCGCATTACTACTGGACTTGCTACTTACAGCTGGCGCCGACGCCATCGTCGCTTTCCCCAAGAGATGGAGCCCTTTACATACAGCTGCTATCCATGATAACGTAACAATGATGGAAAGGCTGTTGCATGAAGGCGCAAGGCCGGATTGCATCGGTCCGTGGGGTAATCGTCCAATACACTATGCGGCGAGCGAGAACTCTGTTCAAGTAGTTCGCTTGTTGTATGAGAGAGGCGTCAACCTAAATGTGCTAGCTGATAATACGATATCACCGCTCGCTGTAGCAATCCAACACAATGCTACCGGCGCGCAATCGGTGCTTCTGGAACTAGGTGCTGATCACCTTATAACCGGAGACTGGGGAACTCATTTTCACTTGGCGGCCTATTGGGGTTATGAGGAGACTTTCAGAACACTGTCTAATTTTAAGCTCAGGGGTCTGGATGTTGATGCTAGGAATGCGAAAGGGTTGACAGCAACTAGTGTTTTTGAACAACGATACGACAAGACGGATGAGCTTACAACAGCATTCTACCAGCTGAAGGATTCTATCAAATCACAATCCTCAGAATATTGTCAAGTCGAGGACGAGGTTGAAGATACGGATGAATTCTTTGATGCGGATGAGTTCTTGCGCGTTGATGGATTGTCTTAGATTTATCATTGCTTGGATATAAGACTTGGATATAGGAAAGATGTAATAGAACTTCCTTAACGGAATTACAATGGTGAGAAACTACATCATGAAAACAAAAGCCAGTTTTCTTGCTGCAAATCTCTTCGACCCTTATTATAAAATTTCTTTTGGTCCGGTCTTTGAATCCCTTTCAATTAGTGTATTGCAGTAATTATTCTCCTGCTTGACTTGACAATATCCCATAGCATATTTACAAGCTGCAGTGATGGTTTACCTGATAAAATAAAAGCTTACTGGCTCACTGCATGCAGGGTATCACTTTATGTTATTAATTTCTTCCGGGTAAAATGAATGTATAAATAGTAAAGATGCTGAACTTCTAGAGAAAGGATAAGGGATGTAATGTTGAATCCTCTCCTAGGCTTTTGGTAAAGGAATACGTCTTCATACTAGAAAGTTCTTCCTCCCATTGCTCAATTTCCTTGTGTTTCGTCTTCTTCTTCGCCGTACCTCATCAAACAAGGAGAATGAACTCTACTATCGTGAATCCTGGCTCGACCTCTCACAAGAGTGAAATTGTTCAGTCTGGAACTCCTCTTGTTGGTACTAACAGTGGCTGGGGCGGCAAAGATCTGTTCTACAGAGCCGGGTTAGAAGGAGTCTCTAGTAAGTTGGTTCAACCAGAGGTGTCTACATACTCAATTAATAGAGCTTGGCACCCTGAGCAAACTTGACAGGAGAATGGCCATTGATGTTATAGCACTGCTTGGAATGGAAGTAATCTCCATTGTAAGAGTATGTGTCGTAAATGAAGGACTCCTGAGAGCAACTAGGCTGAGCGTAGAATGCAATTCTCTGGCCGTTGCTCGGTCCGAATCCGTTCTCCTTGTAAGACTGGAAACGCTGAACTTTGGGATTGCAAGCTGCATTGTGATCGACTGTGAGAGTCTGTTCCGTGCCGGTGCAGTCACGACCACTGTAGGTTTTAATGCCAACGGCCAGGATGCCTTGGGTGAAGAGGGCGGCGGCGGTGATCAGGAGCTGGGAGAAGTGCATGTTGAACGAGGTGAGAAATTCTGGATGCCTTTGATGACAGTGTAATCGAAAGAGTAGCTTGATACTATAGAGATTGCTCAGCTTCGGTGGTTGAAGGATTGTCCTGGATAGAGATGCATGTGTATTTATTTAGAAAAGTCTTGGCCATGTTTTACATTAAGACTTTGCCATAAGCCCGCTTCTCAATAATCCCGTGATCTTTAATTGCATATCGGGTCTCCAAGGCGTATTGAGTATTTAGCGTATCCAAACTCACCGAGCGTATTCTACTGTCGTCACATAAGCGATCTTTACAGGGGGTGTTGCAAATACGCTGTATCTTGTCGATCATAACAAAATTCCACCCCTCACATGCAGGAATCATGCCAGTTATCACAACTCAAGACTTGACTGTTAAAACCAGCACCTATGAATAATTTGAGGAAATCGAGATTGATTGGTACTATTGACAAGATGCGTCGACGGAGTCCGGGCTTGTGAAGTTCCACCATGGATGTTATCGATATTTATCAGCGTAGTACTGACATTGCTTTTGGGCAATGCCAGGCAACAACTGTAATTGACATACAAAAGGGTGAGAAGCCACAGCTCATGTCAAGGATAATAGAGAACACGGTTCGCCGATCTGTTCTGGGGAGCCATTGAGTATACGCGAACATCGTCTCAAACAAAGTGGAACCAAGTCCTGGTAACAGCTCGAGGTGGCGTATGCGTACATGAAAAGCGCAGCTCATGCCGGCTCAAACCGTCAAGAATACAAAATCACAGTAGGTATGACATTCAAATACACAAGGTATCCACAAAACAGCTGTATCATGCTAATTATGTGTTAACAGGACTGGGGTTATCTGGAAGGAACTGTCTGTCTGAATCGTAGTCATCCCTTTACCTTCTTGAAAGTTCTAGTTGAGTCACATTTAATTCTTATCTCCGCTTCGAGATGAGAAAGTGTTCTGCAAATGCCCTCTCATGTTTACTTTACAGTAGAGATGTTGTATAACGAGGCTAAACCACCTAACCACGAGACCAACAGAACACGTGGACGCAGTTACAGCAGATAGGTCGTAGATTGGAAAAAGGTTCATTAGGACAGAGTTAGAAAAGAACAAATAGTTTGTGTGGTTACTCCTATTCACGTTCATTCCAACAGGGCACAGGGCCTCAAGAGTTATAACACCTTGCAGGTAATACCGGTAAGAGTGTCAGTGGCGTTTCTTTTCTAATCGATATATGTATGAACTTGGAACTAAAAGTCAGAAGAATAATTTATGTTATTTTATGTGTTTCGTGATACCTTCCATGAGCAATTATCAGTCATCTATATCCTGCCACCACGTAATCATTCAATCGTACAATAACCCGGGAGAAAATAACCTATCTCTACCAAGCTATCCCAACTGCCTGACTAGCAATATCAATCTCCGTTTGAGTAAGCATGCCCGTCTCGATCCTCTTCCTCTCGAATACGCATTCGTCGCGCTAGAGCCAAACCCCTCCGCTTATCCTGCAGCCTTTGCGCTTCTTTATACGCCCCCTCCAATTTCGACTTTGTATGTAGCTCATTATCCCCAGAGAATCTGACATAGGTGCTGTTGAAGTGGAACTCCAGACTCTGAGCAATCTCGTGTACTTGGTCAACATCATATTGGTTCAACTTGAGTTGCTTTTGTAACTTCTCACGCCGGAATATCTCAGCGCTGTATTTCATCTCGAGTTCTTGGCTTCTAGACTCTCGGCATCGGTGGTCAGCCTCTAGAGTTTCGACCTGGGTTTCTAACAGGGCAAGTCGCTGTGATTGAGTTTCCCACGATGAATCCTTTGTTTGCGAGGCGCCCAGCAGCTTGGAAATGAGATCCTCCTTGTCCTTTAGAAGATCCTTTAGAGCTTCAATCTCAGCTTCTTGATCTTCATTCATTCTCTGTAACTCCTTGATACAGTTGCTCAACTTCACTTTCTGCTTCAGACTCTTGCTATTCAGCTCTTTGATCTTATCTTTGTACTCTGTTTCTGCGCGCATAAGTTTGGACTGGAGGAAGGAAAAGTTAGCTTTGACGCCCGAGGCTTCGCATGACTTCGCCATCTCTAACTCGGAGATTTTGGCGGTTTGGAGCGAATTCTCACTTTCCAGCTCTGAGTCTCTGCTGGCATATTCTCGCTTATCGCATTTGTTCTGAGACTTCAACACCTTGATCTCATCCTGTTGCTGTTGAGACTCCTGTTTCAAGTCTTCATTCTGGGCTTTTTGGAGCTTAATCTTCGCCTCTAGAGCTCGGATTGTCATTTCAGTCCTTGTGAGTCTTGTCTTTGTGGCCTCGAACTTGACATTTCGATCTTCGTTTTGCTCCTCCAAGTCTCTGATCTTCTCCTCCTGTTGCTGATTGATGCGCCAAAGATCTGTAACTTTTCCCTGTATTTCTCGGATTGCAGCTTCTAGCTCCGCCCAACTGGCCACGAGTTCATTGAAATCCATGATCGCGGCTTTTCGTAGAAACAAGAGTCGGACACCTTCTTGTTCAGATGATCAGGGCAAGAGTAACGCCACTTATTGCTGTGGCGAGAAGCTGGGACGTAGTCCTAGTGCTTGTGTCATGAACGTATTTATAATTGAGGACATGTGAACCGGGTTTGAGGAAATATAACAGCTGTCCACGATTTTATGGAAGTGTCCCTGTTCCCACTGCCTGATTCCTCAATGGCTTCGTGTTCTTTAAGTATTACATGATTCATATTTGCAACAAGAAGATCGACTATGTTTGGAATCTAATCTTAGGCACTTTGCTGAACAAGAAAGAAAGCAGTGTACATAAAGCTACTAGGGTTCTGTGCAAATGCCTTTCAAGACAGAACATGAAAAGAAAGTCCATCCACATATCAAGCCTATAAGACTTCCCAGGTGTCGTCGTAGCTAGAACTCCATACTGCCAATGTGCACCATAGATTGAGTGATGACTGTCACTGGACCTGCCAAAGTCCCTCTTTTCTGATTTTTCATAGCACCAGTTGCCTGCACCATTGTCACCCTGAACAGAAGAGAGTCATGTTCAACTTTTTAGCTCTGGCTCCCTCTCTACGCAGGTGTTCTGCTTGGCCTGGATTTACCAAAATGCACTCACAACGTATTCTTGATTACGTGCATCAATGACGAGCTGCGCTAGACACGTCAGAAAGTATATAAAGCCATAAAACCTGGGACTCTCTACGAAATACTAACATGTCGGTTTTGGTGCAATGCATATATCTCTGACCACAGAGCCAATTATTAAATACTTGAATTCCTTATAAATAAATGGGTATATCGATTGATAAATATCAGACCTGCAGCCACACAGGGGTCTTTACTCTGTAATCATCCCTTCATTTAGGTATATCAGACAGATATTAGAGTTATTAGAGTCTAGGGCTTCTCTTTTGTTCGCTATGAGGCAGGCAGCAGATATGCCAGCGACTGAAAGGCTGCTGCCTATTCCATAGGTAAAGTATTGAAGTAAATTGAGCACCTGCTGGGAACATTTAGCTTCTGAACATGCAACACTTGGGTTATAAATAGACAATTTCTACTGGCACGTCAAGTATGTCAACCTTCTCAACTACTACACACTTTTGCTTAATCGCGACAACTATCAACGACCCCGATTTCCTTCCCCAAAAGCTGAAAGACATCCGAGATTAACCTAAATCTCATCATGTCTACAGCCTCTGCTGAGAAGCCCGACTCGGGGGCCTACGTTGAGATCCTCAAGGTTGCCCAACAAATCCAGCATCTTGCGCATTTCCTATCCCAAGGGCCTCCATTTGCAGGTGTTGCATTGACAGATGATGACCTTAGAACCGCGCGAGACCTCAACCCGGTCACTAGAATCACATCCCACCGCCGGCTCTCCGAGCTGGAGTTTCCACGAGAGTGGGTTGAGGATGATGGTGCCCTAGCTATTGTACTTCATGACTGGAGAGAGCAGTTCGAAGGCATGAAACAGAGCAATACATATGCCACGAAATAAAAGCCAGATCAGGTTGCAGATATTCCGACAGAGGCTGATATCGAGGTTGACTCGGATGTGTCATTCTTGTCATATCCGATGAAAAGAGAAGCGCACTAGGTTAAGAAGACTAAAGAGCTTAAGAAGAAACTACGACAATCTAAGTAAGACAAACAGTCTACGATGCAGCACAATCTCAAGCTACAGCTCGAAGTAGAAGCACTTCAGCGCAAGGCGCAATCTTTATATCAAGCACTTTTTGACCCCGACAATCGCATCCACGAGACTAACGTGATGGCGAAGGTAAAGCTCCACGGTGAGATTCGCCAACTTGAGAAGTCACTTGATGCAGCCAACAGCAAGAATGAGACTCTCGTTAAGAAGAACAAGGACTTGGAGTCATGTAACAAGGGTCTCATTACTGAGAATGAAGAGCTTGTTAAGAAGAGTCAGGAGCTGGAGTCGAGTAACAAAGATCTTGTTACTGAGAACGAAGCCCTTGCTGAGGAAAACAGGGACATAGGTTCAGATAACGGAGCTCTTATTGCTACGAGCCAGGACCTCTTGACTAAAATTGCTCTTGCAAGAGATGCTGCCAAGAGTTATAAGGAGCTTCTCACGGCAAAAAACCGAGCTTTAGAGAGCAGTAATAAAGTCCCCGCCAAGGAAATTACAGCTCTCAAGGCCAGCAATCAATGTGTTGTAGCCAAGAGCAGCAAGCTCAAAGAGAGATTTGAGCAATCAGTAATTGCGACAAAGTCTTGCAAGGAGCGCCTCGACAAAATTGCTTCCAAAGTCAAGGAGCTAGAAAACAGCAAAAATGCCCTCGCTGCACAAAACAAGGACCTCATGGATAGAAATGCAGCTCTTGCTGATATGAACAAGCGACTTGAAGAGAGCCTCGAAAAGGTTGTCACAGATGCGAAATATTCGCTGCAATCATTGAGCTGAGAATGCCAAGCCTTGTTTCCAGTTGACCGAGTGGGGGTTGCATGAGTTTGTTTTCGTGATAAATCGCCGTGGCATGACGATTGGAGTTTAGATTTTGCTTTATGGGAGTCCGCGGAAGTTGTTGATGCCAAGCGTATATGGAGCGCGGCACAGTACTGGTGTGATTTGATGCCCAACGTGATAACGTCGCAATGACACAGGATCAATGATGATGCAGGCGATGACATTGAGGCAGATAACTTTAACAGGTTTTAATATGCTGTAATAAAGACTTAGGTATTTTTAATATGTATTTATTGATGTTTAAATCATTTATTTACTAAATATTATAAAAGCTGATAAAGTAAATAATATTAATGCTGTTTATCCTGGCGAAGGTAATAAAATCCAAGGTGACTAGGGTAAGTAAGTGGTGTTGTGGCTATTGTGCCTATGACCTGAGCTAGGGTGTGTCGCTTATCGACAATCGATAAGATAAGTAGCGCGTCCCGCTTCTCAGACGCGCCCCACCATTCATCTTCAATCAATTCAGACCAAAACAAAACATCAGATAAATCACTCTCAACGCGTACACTTTAATTATGGAAGATACGCATCGAAAATAACCAGAACCATCACCAAAGAGACTTCGAACTTCGGGTCTCACAGAAAGATCACCTCACCCGAGCGCAAGTCCCTGCCATTGCCTCCAGCTTCTGGTGAGTGTTGCCGAGTTGCATCAACCGCTGATGACGAACTGGCCCAACGCATTGCCGACTTCAGGCGCAAAATTGAGATTGGTGATGTCGCTTCGCTGATGAGCTTTTATCTCAGCAACGACGAAATCGCGCATCTTTAGGACAAGATTGAAGTAAATTTTCGTAGATTTGATTACGACTCTTAATGTCAACATATTACTTTTCTCATGCCTTCACCGGCCTATGAGACATTCACTTGGTCCTTGGCATTAGCAAATTATCAGAAACTCTTCCTGCAGGGTCGTGATAGTTAGCAAGTCCACAAACTTTCAACCAAGATCCAGAGTTCAAGGTCTGCCAAAGTCGTTCTCTATTATGACGATAACGCCCCTCCATCGCATCGCCAGCCCTACGCCCAGTTCCGTTATAAAGTTGGTGCGTTGCCACGCGTAGTCATCATGGTTGCAAAGGGGCAAGGCGGAAGATAACTCCAAGACCGCCAAGGGCTACATTTACTGCACTTATGGGGCTATTAAAGTCGTCCTATGCTTTGATCTCAATAACGACGAGTCTACTTTTTCTGTCTGGGAGCCCAGATTGCTGCAGCAAGAGAGTGGCGACGTGAATTTGAAAATTGAGCAGGTTGTTAATTCAAAAGGTATGTCGCTGATATGAGCCTCAAGAATGCCGAACTTGCAGATTTAGCCCTTTCCATCAGCAGATGGAAGTCCAATCAAACAGAGTCTTGTACTAGACCTGTCACTTCACGACTTTGCACCCGATGAACTGCTTCAAGACTGTCCTGACCTCGTATTCTTGATCCCATACTCTAAGCTCTATGAGATACTGAGTGATGCTGAAGAGGTTAAGGACTTAGCTACGACTGGTATCCCTCTGAATTGTAGAGTGATAAGAGATAGACTGCTATTGAGCTCCTATGAGTTAATAATATTAGAAGATAAGAGGAAGTGGCAGGGCAAGAATTATGTAGTAAACGAAAAGCAGAGTGCTGATGATGGTGAGTTTGAGGGCGCAGATGATAACTTATGAAGTGCGGCCTGCTAAGTGTGCTTAGCTTGTATGTGAAAAGATCTGTCCTGTAGTTATGCCACGTTGACTTGTATTTAGATGAGCCGGCTTGACTGATGAACGGGTTTAAGGCTGAATGGCTCCTATGACTTACGGCATGATTAGATGATTGGCTGGACTGTTAACTAACACCCTTTTGCTTTGCGGCAGGATCGGCATGTTGATGTTAGTATACAATTATCACGATGTAGCGTGCGGCGTTCAGGCTTCACTTATCAAGATTCAGCAAGTAGAAAATAAGACACAGTTTAGTATAGCCATGCATTAAAATTACTTGAGAAGATGAAATATAGAAACGCTGAAACAAAGAGACATGATGCCCTCTACCAACAATATCTCTCAATCCCAAAACCCCTTGCCACCCCAAGTATTGCCAATATGAACTCTTGACGGCTCTGCAGTATTAATCTCATCAACATGATTAACTGTATCGACTCGAACGCGTTGTGAATTTGGAAACGACTCTGTTAGAAATGAGTTGCCAATTTTAACCCTGCCCGGTCCAGTGATCCGTCCAGCAGAATTTTTGCCTGCAATTTCCAGACTCTTATTCTTGGAGGCATCAGATAACACAGGATCTACACCTTCAGTGACATCGTGAATCAATTCCAACTCCTGCTCGTCATTTATCTCTTCAATCTCCATCTGTACTAATTGACTTGTGAGCTGGGGAGTGCTAGGAAAGACTTTTTCCAAGTCTTCAATAGATGCAATGATATCATCAATCATCCTTCCCATATAGCTCTTGTCGTAAAGAGCCCAGCATGTCTTTTTCATCAACCCCAAGCTCTTATACCGCTGTTTAGTAATTCCATCAAAACGACTATGCAGGCGATGCGAAACTGGACCAAGATCTGCTTCCGTGTAAATCCTCAAGCCTTGTTCTTCCGTCCTGGTCTCGTAGCGTCTGGAGATCTTTCTCGCTGTCTCGAACCTGGCCACTATCTCTCGGAGAATATCTTGAGCTGATATGACTGTTGGATCTGCTGGTTCGATGAGACTAAATCGTCGGTTATTGTTGATATCGATTGATGCTCCCCATCTTGCCAGTCGGGATTTGGCGACGTCGAGCCGTAGTTGATAGCGAGAGAAGTCTTGGCCAAAATGTCTGGCGATTTGGACGTAGTTGAAACAATCGACGCAGTTGTTGAATAGGCCGGCGATGCTTATCGCACCAGCGACGGTGCCAAATATCTCAGCCATAATTATTGTTGCAAGTTACGGTTATCAATTGATGAAACCGGCCACTATGGTGAGTTATTTTCACCTCAAGCTGTTGGTTGTTGGTTCTGAGTGGGGTAGCCTCAGTCACTCAAATCACCAGCCATTTCCAAGTCTTTGTTGTGATTGGATATATCCTTGTTTCCCCTTTTCTCCCCCTCTTTCAATCCTCGGTGTGATTTCTTCCTCAGTCTCATTTTCTGCCTCCCCATTGAGTGATCATCTCCTTTGGATTACCAATCTCACAATGGAGAACCCATCATCCACCGCCGTGCAGTCATTAAATGCATCCGGCTCTTCCAGGGTGCATGTCGGCAACAGCTACAACATAACGCATCACCATCGCAGCGGATCTGGGCAGGATGGTGCCAAGAAATACTTGGACGCATTGCGCTCGACTAATCCTCGTGATGATAAAGCCAGGATTGAACAGACTAACGGCGGTCTGTTGAAGGATTCGTATGTTTGGGTCCTTGATAGCCCCGAGTTCATCACTTGGCGTGATGAAAGCGAGAGTGGCCGGCTTTTGTGGATAAGAGGAGACCCCGGCAAAGGGAAGACGATGTTACTGTCCGGTCTTATCAACGAGCTGCAGCCTTCCACGAGACTAGAGAGCCCAAAGAATCGCAACACAATATCCTACTTCTTCTGCCAAGCCACAAATTCCGGGTTGAACAACTATGTAGCAATCTTAAAAGGGCTCATTTACTTGTTGGCCATTCAGCATCCAGCTCTTGTTGCTCATCTAGACGACAAAAATGGACACGACAAAGATCACTGGAACTCTAAGGTGTCCCTCGAAGGCACTTTCCGCAAAATGGTAGGCGATTTAGCTCTTGGCGAGATATACTTGCTTGTGGATGCTCTGGATGAATGCGTTGAGGACCTCCCTCTTCTCCTGGCATTGATATCAAGCACGTCTTCACGCGCCAAATGGATTGTTACTAGCCGCAACCGCTGCGAAATCGGGGAGCTTTTTGGAGAAACATCATCAAAGCTAGCGCTCTCTTTGGAACTCCATGAAACATCTGTCTCTGAAGCTGTCAACAATTACATCACTTACCGAACTCGCCAATTAGCTGACAGGAAGAAACTAAAAAAGAGTATCGTGCAAAAGATTCATGGTTACCTATCAGAGCATGCCCACGGCACCTTTCTTTGGGTGGCTTTGGTCTGTCAACGACTGGAGAGATGCCGAGCCTGGGAGATTCCAAATCAGTTACTAGAGTTTCCTCAGGGTCTTAACCAGCTCTATGCGCAGATGATGGACCAAATGCGCAAGTCTGACAGCAGCGATCTCTATATCAGAGTCCTTGCCCTCGCGTCCACGGTCTTCCGCCCTCTTACCTTTTCAGAGCTCATAACTATGGAGAACCTGAACATGGATGAGGAGACACTTCCTGATCTCATAGTGGAATGTGGTTCATTTCTGACGACAAAAGGCAAAACCGTTGTGTTCGTCCACAAGTCTGCGAAAGACTTTCTGCTCAAAGAGTCAGGCACATTACTCTTTCAATCTGGACTTGCGCATCATCAATACGACCTCTTTCAAAGGTGTATCGCTATGCTGCAAAGCCTTCATCAGGATATCTATGGCTTGGTCTATCCGGGAGTCTCATTGGATGAAGCTCTCCGGAATTGTCCCGATCCGGATCCATTGGAGAACATGGAATATTCATGTGTTTTCTGGGCTGATCATATGCAAGAGGCATATAAGCTCTCCATTCAAGAGGAGGAAAACGGCAATATCCCCGGGATTGACACTGTTCATAATTTTATTAACGAAAAGTTCTTGTTCTGGTTGGAGGCGCTTGCTTTATGTCAGAATCTACCAGCAGCACTGAAAGCCTTGGCATTTGTAGGGAATTTACCAGTTGTATGTTTCAAATTCTTCCTCATGGCGCTAAGCCAGCCTTATTGTACTAATCGATTCCAATAGCAAGGGCAAGCAAGCTACAAGATCCTGATCGAGGATGCCCTCAGATTCTCACACTATTTCTGCTCTATAATTGAAAGCTACCCACTCCAGATTTACGCCTCTGGTTTGCTCTTCAGCCCGAACAATAGCCTTATCCGCCGTCGATTCAAACAGTACACTTCGGAAATCTTCTCCGAGGGCCCAAAAGTCGACGATGAGTGGAGCCCAATTCGGAGCATTTTTGAACCCCAAGAACCTTTCGATCTTGAGACTATGACCTTCGCGCCCACAAGTCAAATGCTAGTTGTAACCACAGACGAATCATTGACCAGATGGCACGTCAACCAAGAACCTGTGCCTGATGTCATACAAAGAAATGATTTCCGTGGCGAGGAAAGAATTGCACCGTCGTCAGATGGGAAATGGCTAGCAATTATCGCTTCCGGATCGGGTTCAAAGGCAGCGCGGTCATCGGCTGAATGCGAACTTCAGGTTCACGACTTGGCTTTGAACAGGATCGCTTGGCGTCAAGAGCTTGACAGCCCTGTAGTTCTAGGCATGACGATCGCACCTGACAGTCAGTGCCTGCTAGTGTGCCATGGGTCACTGTTTGTGATCTATGATATTAGCGGTGGAATTCGTCGACGGTATCCTCTCGAGCAGGCATTGCCTCGTTTGTGTTCTGCGCCATGGAGTGAAAAAGTTTACTTCTCCTTCTCATCAGACTGTTCCTGGGTAGCATTCCACATGTATCCCAGCACGCAAATTTGGGTCCTGAATTTAAGAACAGGCGAGCAGCACAAGAATGCTAACTGGAAGGATATTTTGCCCATAAATGACAAAAAGTTCATCCCCAGTACATACTTGCTCATGTTTTGCGATGGCGGAGATAACATTTATCTCTGGAATGTTGTTGAGCAAAAGTGTGAAATTTGGAGTCACATTGAGTACTCTTTCTCTCGTTTGGCCATCTCACAGTCTGATTCTTGGATGCTCCTATGTGGGAAGGACGGACTTATCATATATGATCGTGCTTATCACCGTGTACGGCGGGTAATTAACCTACCAGATCTTATAGGAGTGGAAGAAATTGCGATTTCATTCGATGATCAGATAATTGCATGCGCCACTCAGAGCGAGTTATGGATCTTGGATGCTAATACCCTTTTAGCTGATAAGCCACGTACAACACGAGATGCTCACGAGGAATTCCACATCTCTGATAACGGGCAGTTGATAGCTTACAACCTCGGTCGCAGTATTGAAGTATGGGACGCATTGGCAAGCGACATGCTATTTTCGTTGGCCATAGACGACGTCATTCATCAAAGCATCCGGACTATCACATTTTCACCCAAGGATCGCTACCTGCTAGTCGGCGGCCTCCAATTGATCCTTGGGTGGGATTTAGTCGATGACAGCTCGCAAAGAGTCTCGGGTGACTTCGATAGTGGACCTATTGCAGTCTCTGACAAAAGACGTAATGGCGATCGGTGGGTAGCTGCACGTCGGTCTATGGGCGGCGTTTCTGTATGGAATATCACGACAGGGAAACGGACGAGGAATTTCAGACAACCGGACAATCGATCACAGGAGGCTGCCTCAATAGCCTTTGCCGACAGTCAATTGGGAGTTCTATGGTGCTCCAGTAAGGTGTCATCGAGGGATGAGGTATTTCTCTTATACAATCTTGAAACCGGCGAACAGCTCTCTCGGATCAAATTTCCGTACTATCCTGTGGATCAACACTGGTATTTTGGGATCCAGAAACCAAGACCTAAATTGTCTTTGAGTGGAACCTTAGCCATGATTCGGCCCCGGCTAGGTTCCCGCTCATTCTTCATAAACTTGAGCACAGATAGCGATGGTATCGAAGTATACAATTTGCTCGATCGCTTCTTTCTCCTTGACGACTCAACTGTGTCTACTAGTGAAGGAATGTTTGACATAAGTTCCTTTGAGTCGATTTCAAGTCAATCTTCTGAGATATCTACTGTGGACAGTTTTGACTTGGTCAGAGAGAGCGAAGAAAGACCAGCTCGCATAATCTTGGATTTCAGTGAATATAGCAGAGATCCAAATGGCGGTTGGATACAATTTGACAAAAAGCCGCTATTATGGAGACCTGCACAGTACCGAGACAAGATCATAGCAATAGGCCCTGATTATGTTTTTCTTGATCCTTCCTATGGTGTTCAATTTATTCGTTTTGCAAAGGATGCAAACAAAGTACTACACCAAGCTATACAGAACTTATCATAATTGGGATACGAATTCTATGAATAGAAAGAGAATGGTGCAGCGGAGTCGGGGAAAAAGTGCAAAACATTACCTACGTTATCAGTCCTATCTCGACAACAGTTATCCCACGTTATTTGATGAAAATATTACCACATTCAAGTCCAATGGAGTACTAACGGCGGGCAGGCATCTTGAATAATATATTCTATTTCCCGACCTTATCTTGTTGGTAGCTGGCTTACTAGGCGTGTACAGAAATGCACGAAATGTGCGCTTACGTGAGACAGAAGAGCCTCGTGATACCCAACGCGTTTTTTACTCTCAGTTCTGGGAGATAGCGAGGTATAACTCATGATATCAGCCTTAAATGGGCGTAATTGACGAGTCACCGATGAGGTAATTGCATGCCAGAAAGAAAAGCCGATACCAACGACTCAGGAGAGTTTTAAAAATGGAATTAATGTAAACGACTTGGCCGCGGCTTTTGGAGAAATACTGTAGCGAGTGGGTAGAGAAACGGTGGTCTGACGGCGGGTGGGTGATTAGGGCGTACCTCTGGGGAGCGTAACCGGGTCGCACCAGTGATCGGAATGGTCTGGAACCAAACCATACCAGATGCTTACATAATAACCGGTATGGTATTACCGGTAAGACCAATAATACCATTAAGGATGCCAAGACTTTTAAGAATAACGTCGAAAAGCTATAGAAGGGTGAAAGAAAGTGTATTATACTACTAGCTAGTGGCCCAATCATCGTCGTTCTTACTATCCTCACTATTGTTATTCTCCTTAATTCAGGGCTTTCTATACTAAGCCTGGAGATACTTATAGGCCTCTATAATATCCGCCTTCAGCCTACCACGGCAATCAACTATGGTAAGCTTTGCACTGCTGAAAAGGCGTTTACACTTATCTGATATAGGCGAGATTATAAATAGATCTAAAGCGAAGTAAGCAAGATCTCTTTAGGAGTTATAACGGGATAGCTAGTATATGATAGCCTCGTTGCAACCTGCCTCGTCGTTATAAAGCTAGTTAGTGGAAATATATTATTTATATAAATTAGCTGCAGAGACTGGAGTATCTATTTGAATATGTTTATGTTCCCTCTGGCGATTAAATGCGGGGTTAGGATATCTCTTCTTTCTAACTGGTAGCGGTAGTATCTTAATAGTATATCTTCCCTTATACTTTGTCTCCTAGAGCTGCTTTACCGCAGATTATATGTTATTAAACCACTTCTGTTTTTCTTTTTTAGCTTAGAGTACCTATTCTTGCCTAAAATATGCCTACTTTTGATATAGGTTAAGTATCTAAGCTGCATAGTATACTAGTAGAAGGTTAGTATCTTCAGGGAATTAATTCTGCTAGTTTAGCTGATAATTACTGTAATACTCCTTGTACTTTAACTATGCAGTATCTATATAACCCTGAAGGTACTTTTATATAAAATTATTATTATCTTTAGTATTGATTATATTATAGTGATCTTTTGTTTTATTTATTTCTTAAAGAAGGCAGTTTATAGTTAAAAACTAGTTGGTAAGTAATTTTTTTTCCCCCTTAGAGAGTAAAGTTGCGGCATAGAAGTCCTTTAGAGTAAGCTTAATCTTTTTAAGCTTAAACTAGTATTGTTTATTAAGTTTAAAGTTTATAATCCTATAAGAGCCTTTCCTAGGTATATAGTAAGCTAAAAAGATCTCTAAATGCTTATAAATATTTAATGCCTGTATAATTGAATAAAACCACGAATTCCAGTATGTTAAGTTATTTTAGATAAGCTTAAGCCTATTGAATTTGGCAATTATTGTAGTAAACTCCTCTTGGCATTGCAGGGTAAGCCTAATATATTATATAAGGTTATAAAGCCGACCTAAATACCTAAATCTTTTCTAGAGCTCTTTTACCTTTGTATAGTCTCCGCGTTAATAGTGTTTTTTAAGCTTTACTAGATACCTTTTATAGTCCTAGCTAATAAGGAATACCTAGTAGCAGAGATTAATAATATAGCCTAAGTAATAAAGCCGGTGATAGCGGTATTACTTGGGTATTATCTATAGGCAGAGCTCCTTAAGTATGAACTTAATAGCGGTATTATTTAATAAGGCGTTATCTAGTATAAAGTATTTAATCTAATCTCTGCTAATATTATATTTTCTTAATAATTTAAGAATTACTAACCTAATATTCTTACTAATATATTTATTATATATATATTATATACCTAAAATAATAGTTTATTACTTGCTGGCAGTGTTAATCTATAAGGTAATAACCCTAAGAATAGTATAAGGGTTTAGCGAAGTCTAGAGATTAAAGGAAATAGAGATTCTACTCCTTGCTTACCAGAGGTCCTCCCTAAGCTATTACTTTTTTAACCTAAAGGCATTTATAACCTAACTTTAGATAGTTTTTGCTGCTTTTAGGAGATAACTAAGAAGCACTAGGTTTAAAAAGAATAATAGCTCTTAGAAATACTAGTTTTTAAATTAAAAGAAAGTAATATAGTAATATATGATTTAATGAATAAGGAGCTCTTTAAACTTTTTAAGTCTTTCTAGAAGAAAGTATTAATCGCAGCCGCGCTTCTCTGCTGCTCTAGTATAGACTTTTATATCTAACTAGGTTTCTTGATACTACTCTGAGGGTTAATCTGGTGCTTCTATTTAAGATAGTTTCTTACTTTAGACGTGCTATTTATAATAAATGGCTCTTGCTTATGCTTTCCGGCCACATATTTATAGCAGTAATATACTTCTTTCTTATTGCTGTCTCGGATATAGCGAAGACTATACTTCCATATATGTAATAAGCCTAGACAGGCTGCTTTCTTTGTGGTCTTTTCGCGATTCATGTATGTAATATTGTCTTATATAAATTCATCTAGAGGCTCGGGATACTGAAAGGGAGTAGGCGATGGTGTAGGAGTCTTGAAGGATAATGGCATTAAGCTTATAGCCAGAGAGGATAGCGAGGTTAGAACTAGAGATTCTATATGTGATATTTTAATACCGTAAATAGATTAACTACGTGTTATAGGATTATAATTTTAAGCTAAGAAAACTCTTAACCTTAAGGCGCTAGCCAGTTTGGTCCATAACCTAGCCGCCTAGCGCCACTAACTTAGCCTATTTTTAGCCTATTTTAGCCTTACTGGTATAACTTGGTATACCGGTAATACTATGGTATTAAGATTTCTTCAAACCATACTAAGTCTTAGCGGTATTTACCATACTAATACCAACTTATACCAGACCATTCCGATCACTAGGTCGCACTGAGTGATGACGAACAGCCCCAACACTTTGTCGACTTCAAGCGTAAGGTTGAGACTGGCGACGTTGTCCCGCCGACGAGCTAGGCTGTCCTGACGTGTCTTTCTCAATCCCATCCCCCAAGCTTGATGAGATGCTAAGTGATGATGACGAGGTTAAAGACTACCACTACTGGCATTGTGCCAAACCGTGGGGTGAAGAGAGGCCGGCTGTCGTCGAGTTCATTAGCGCGAATACTTTTAGAGGATAAGAAGCAGTGGCAGCTCCTGGATCGCGCGATGAAGGCAAAGCAGAATGCTGACGATGGTGAGTACAATAGCGCAGACGAGACGCGACCTGCCAAGCGCGCTTAGCCACGTGAGTGCATCCGTTCTTCGGTTGTGCCACGTGGATTTGGATTCGGATGTGCCGGCTTGACCGATGAACGGGTTTGAGGCTGAATGGCTAGGACGATTGACAGCACGATTGGATAATTGGCTAGACTGTTGGCTGATGCCGATTTGTTTTGAGCAGAACTGGCAAAATGTTGAGACACATCTGTCGTAGGATATTACGTTTGGCGTTGAGGGTTTTGTAATTTTGTAATTTTGATCAGTTTAAAGATGCGAGCTCACCATAATTGTCTTGATTCTCTTTGTGAACATGTACAGTAGTCAAGACTGCTGAACGAGAGTTGTGCTTGTTCCCGTGCTCCAAGGCGAAGAAATCGACGCTAACCAGCCAGGATGATGATCTGATGTAACCCTAGGATCTCAAATAATGCATCCTGTTTCCCAACCTCACCTTGGTAGTGCCAAGTGCACGCAGATTTACAAGAGATTTACAACTACATGAAACAGAAGAGGTTCACGCATTTTGCTCTTGGGTTTGGGATACAGCGATGCACCATCAGAGAACTCATATTCTCAGCTCTGGAAGGGCCGAATATGACTCCGAATCACCTATGGGGTAATTCCACAGACAAATAGAGCCGACATCAATAGTTTTAAAAATGGCATCAAAGTAAGCAACTTACCCGCGGCTTTTTGAAAATACGGTAGTAGTGGGTAGAGAAATAGTGGGCTGATGGGGGGTTTGGGGCGAGTACGGAGTAGCGTGATACGGGTTTGCGGGGGATTTTGCCGTAAAAGTCGGGTACCACCAGACAAACTCCAACGGCAGCCGGGCCGTCGAATCATGCGGCTCTTAGATTTTTCCCTTTATTCAATGGAGCTAACCCCAGAAGAGGGTCCAGCAGACCACCCCCTGGGGAAATACCCGGGGAGGCGATCCTATTAGGCTGGGCACTTTAGGCTATATTCGCCGGCGTACTGGGGTAATTACAGGACCCGGTTAATAGGTTAATTTGTACGCGATAGAGGGTTTCATATTTAATGTCCAGCTTGGCGCCAAGTTGCTCTTACTCTTTTTGCATCACACTGCATTGTGGCTTTCGAGATTATCCCAAATCTGTACAGCTCTTCAAGATGCCTTTCGCTGTCGGTACAGCTACTACCAAGCAGGACCTCGCCGTCGCGCAGGCTGAGGCTCCTCAGCTCGCCAAGGTCAAATGGTGGGCTGATCCTGGAATGCGCGTGCTGTACTTTTACGCCGCCATTCTGTGTGTCTGCTCTGCCACGACTGGTTACGATGGGTAAGCCAAGGGATCGCCAAGTCTCTGGGCGATGGAATCTGGCTAACGGGGAATTTTAGATCCATGTTGAACACGTCTCAGGCCATGGACGATTGGCAAGATTACTTCGGGAAGCCCAAGGGCTCCAAGCTTGGCATTCTCAACTCTATCTACCAGATTGGTAGCATTGCTAGTTTCCCATTCGCGTACGTTGTTTATGTCTGCGGGATGATAATTGGCGGACGTGAAGGAAAAAAACTAACTTTATTTGGCATAGTCCATTCATGGCTGATCACTTTGGCCGAAAGATCCCCATTGCCACGGGATGTCTCATCATGATTCTTGGCGCTTTCATCTCGGCCTTCACCAATGGCTTCGGCAGTATGTTATCGACCGACTCAAATGTTTGAGCAGCGCTGATAAATCTTGACAGTGTACCTTGGTGGTCGATTCCTCGTCGGTTTCGGAAACTCTTTGGCCCAGCTCTCTTGCCCTGTTCTCCTCACCGAGATCTGCCATCCTCAGCACCGTGCCATCGTCTCTGCCATCTACAACTGCTTGTGGAACCTGGGTGCCACCCGTAAGTCAACATACCACAAACTTAACTCCAACAATCGCTGATGTACGTCTCTAGTCTGCGCCTTCATCGGCCTTGGTACGATCAACATCAACAGCAACTGGTCATGGCGATCCATCACCCTCATCCAAGCCGTGCCATCTTTGATTCAGATCACCTTCATCTATTGGATCCCCGAGTCTCCCCGTTGGCTTATGGCTCACGAGCGTCACGAGGAAGCCCTTGACATCCTTGCCAAGTACCACGCCAACGGAGACGCCAACAACGCGACCGTGCAGTTTGAGTACACTGAGATCAAGGAGACCATCGCCCTCGAATACCAGGCTCAGAAGAGCGGCAGCTACCTTGACTTCCTTCGAACCCGCGGTAACCGTTACCGTCTCATGCTCTTGGTCTCCCTGGGTATCATCTCGCAGTACTCTGGAAATGCTCTGATCAGCAACTATTCCAATATTATCTACGAGGGCGCTGGTATCAAGGACCAGGCCCAAAAGACCGGACTGAACGCAGGAGAGAACATGCTCAAGCTTTTCGTTGCTATTGGCTGCTCCATGGGAATTGATCGCTTCGGTCGTCGTCCACTCTTCCTTACTGCCACTGTCGGTATGTAGAAACATCTCCTGACTAACCAGTTTCTCAGGCTGACTTTGCCAACTTAGGTATGCTGTTGTTCTTCTTGGCCTGGACCATTGTTGCCGCTCGCTTTGAAGCCGGTGGTGAGGTCGAGATCAAGCGTCTTGGATACCCCCAGATCGCCCTCATCTGGCTCTTCGACGTCTGCTACTCTATCGCCTGGTCCGGTCTTATCGTCGCCTACGCTCTGGAGATCTGCCCCTTCAGACTCCGTGCCCGTGGCCTCACTATCATGAACTTCTTCATCCAGGTTGCCCTCACCATTGGCAACCAGACCAACCCTATCGCTCTCGATAATCTTCCCAACAAGTGGAACTTCTGGTGCTTCTACACTGTAAGTGCCGCTTCTCTGACTTTACTCTCATGTTCAGAAGACTAATAGAGAAATAGGTGTGGATCGCTGTTGAGCTCGCCTTTGTCTTCTTCTTCTATGTTGAGACCAAGGGCCCTACTCTGGAGGAGATTGCTAGAATCTTCGATGGTGATGATGCTAATGTTGCACAAGTCGACCTCAAGGATACTGAGAAGCAGGCTGTTTTTGAGACCACGGAACAGGTGCATCATGATGAGCGCAGGGACTTGTAATTGTCTAAGTTGGCCCAGGAACTTGATCATCGCCGGCGTCGCTGAGAGTCGGAGACACCTAATAGTTTGATCCCTTGTTGATAGAAGTCCGCATAATGACAGGACGCTTTTATAAATACAACACTTCTTGATGAATCTCCCCTGCGAGCCTGATCCTTGATCTTGATGCTATTATCACTGCCATCGATATTGTGACTCCGTCTTAGCCAGCTAATAGCCTCCTTTTAGGGAGGCATATATATCCTCCTCTTCTCTTCTCTGCAATGAAGTACATATACTATATATATCATTACTAAGAAGCCCTTATCTTCTAAAGTACCTTCTCCAAGGAGGATATATATAAACTACCGTAATCCAGATGCCAACAAGCATAACACGTCCTATGTTGAGACCGACTATAGCACCATCATTCTCAGATCTATTCAGGAAGTCATCCGCAATCACCATCATTACTAGACCTATTAGTAATAATATAGTCCCGATCCAAAAGCATAAAGCAATAAGGTGTACAACAGCGACGAAATTGGCGCCGCTCCATATAATACGTTGGAATGGTATTCGAAAGCGTATGATAGTGGCAATACTTAGCAAAGTTAATAGCCACCAAGAAGGGTATACTAGCCCCATAATGCAGCCGCTGGACCACTCAATCAGTATATAATTCGTATCTATTAGCATATACTTACCTGCTGCACACGCGATTGGACCTCTGTAAAAGTACCAAGTAGATCGTATTAAGAACAAGCTCAATTGCGGCAAAGCCAAGTACCACTTCCCATTGCATGTAGCCAACGAAGTAGTGGAGAAAAAGTCTTTGGTATTCCCTTGGGATCCGGAGGCCATCACGAAGAAGGATGGGAGCAAGAGGCACATTACCTTGTGGGTTTGGTTGACCGTGACCTGGGGGAGGACTTGAAGGAGTGTTTGCATTTCCTGAAGACTGGGCAGCCGACTGGGTAGTACGGCGCCCAAAGCTCAACCTCCGGCTCTGCTGCTTTTGGAACATGGCGGCTACAGGCCCATCCCATTCTCTGCGGTACTATTCAAGTTCTTGAGGACTCTCAGCAGGAATGGGTCGATGGCACATGGTGATAGAGTCCGGAAATCTCCAGGACGTGGGTAAAACTCGTAGGGTAAGGAGCTTGGCCCAGCGGATGGAGACATCTATGGATGAGAGGACGACAAAGGCTAACACGCATGTGACCACAGGGTCTATCTCTCGTTCCTTTGGGTTTCGACTTATGTAGTCACCTCGTGGAGGAGGAGGTGGTGGCGGCGGAAGATCCGAAGGGAGGAGGGTGTTTGGTTCGTATGGTCTTCTGTCCAGTTCCTCCCACGACTCCAGCAAGTCTTTCACTCGTGGTGAACTGAGCCAATTGTCTACCAGGGCCGCGAATAGGACTTGGCAAGCAATGGCGGTTGCCAAATGCACAGCAGGAACGACCGCATGAGCTAGTATACTGACTCTTGACACCCACCCGTTAGCCCAAACAGGATTGTGTCTGTATCTTGCGAATATCCAAGATGGAAACCAGTCGACTAGGCTAAGGGTGAGGTAGACATAGAATAGAGACTCAACAGCGTGTGCCTGGTTATCAAACTGAGTGAGGCCATAGTCAACATAGCGCTCATCGGATACAGGCTGAGGATATGCGAAGATCCCCGGGCCGCTTGAATCCCTGTTTTGAAACGTATAATTGTACTTAGCACGTCTTCTACCAGTAGCGATAATAGCAAAGGTGAACCGTAAAAAGCTTATGATAAACAGAGGGTAACCGGTAGCGCGCATCAGTAGTACCTCGCGCCAAGGGTGCACATTGAGTTGAAACTTGTCTTGAGCCATATCTTTGAGTACGTTTGATGTTGCTCTTTCAGAGTCACTGCCCTCTTTTCAAATGCTGACGGCGCGCTGAGTGAAATGTCTTATAGGTCATTGACGACATTTGCACTTTCATTTCAGCCGCACGCACTCATGCCTCAGGCACTGCAGCGTAATGCTGTCATCTCCCCGCTTTGCCATCCCTTTGTAGATAATAGATTTTCTTAAAAGTCCTTTCTTCCTCATCGCAGACCAAAATGGCAACTTCCGCGAGTCTTTGTCCTTCTTGCCAGGGATTTGATATTCAGGCATTTGCCCGGCCGGGAAGCCCTTGGATGACTACCAAAACGGCCCTTGTCAGAGAAGGGAGTCAGCAAGGATGTCATTTTTGCCAGTTCCTTATCGGAGGAAATGATGAGAATTTCTTTCGTGAGAATGGTTTGTTGAAGCGTGGATTCGAATGGCTTCACTGGACCTCAGCAAGCCCTGCCGATGTACCCAACAACAGCGGCTTAGCAGTACGGGGTAACCGTGGACTTGGAATTTCTATACTGCTTGTTAAACTTTCGAAAGATCCGAAGCCTTCGTTGTTCTCTAGAGGCGACGGCTACAATTTGTTCAATCTGCACGCTGATCAAGGTAAGCAAAGCCCTGCTGTGCCGTAACATAAACGCAGCTACCTACCCACCATAGGCAGTCCAGCAGCAACTAGTGGAGATATAATCGGACTACCCCCAGTTGACAGAGACCCTTCATCTAAATCATCATGCAATAGGATACGGCGATGGCTGGGTTCCTGCGAAAATCACCAAGAGTGTGTAAGAACCTTATCCATGACTCGAAAAGTAGAAAGAAGCCGCTCTCCACTACCAACACGGTGCGTTCGTGTTAGTATATCTACCACCTTACCCAACGGGTTGAACTACACGTTAGAAGAGACTGGAGGCAGGTTGGGCGAGTACATATCCCTCAGTCATCGCTGGAGCGATCCGGAGACAAAGCGATCGAGTACATACCTGCGGAATTATCGCGATCGCGTTGCAGGTATACAGTCAGCATTCCAAGACATTGACCCTCTATTCACGGATGTCTTCCTGGTTGCCTCCAAGGTGGGCATACCATACGTGTGGATCGACAGTCTCTGCATTGTTCAAGATAGTCCTCAGGACTGGAGAGCCGAGGCTGTCAAGATGGCAGACTACTACCAAAATGCTTCCTTTACTATCATGGCCGCCGTTCCCCCCAACAAAAGACCACAAGGTCTTTTTCATGTACCGGAGGGGGATTTGTATCGCTTGGCTCGACTTCCGTATCGGGACAAGGAGGGGAATAAGAAAGGTCATTTCTACGTATCCTGTCATCTTGACCCTGCCCGGGAGACCCACCGACACAACCAAATACAGAAAAATGACCTACTCTCTCGGGGCTGGGTGTTCCAAGAGTGGGCTCTGAGCCGACGAATCGCCTGGTATACAGAACATGGCTTGACGCTGCGATGCAAGTGCCGCAATCTTCAGCATCAAGGGGAGAGCCTTATCAATCTGGATCCAAGTCCAGGTCTGCACCGAATCCTTCCACTACTTGGTCTTGTAATTCCCAAGCACCGCTGGGACCGTTACAAAGCTTCAGCTGCTCCCTTCCGATCCCCCCTCGACTGGCAATCGTTAGTATCGCAGTATTCGACGATGCAGCTGACCAAGCCAGAAGAAGATCGCCTTGTAGCCCTTAGTGGTGTTGCGCAAGAATTCACCACTCAGGAGTCGTCTGCCAAGCTGGTCTGTGGCCTCAGGCCATGGTGTTTGGGGGTGGACCTACTCTGGAAACAAGACGCAGCGGGTATACACTCCCGTTACACCGAGTTCCCCTCTTGGTCATGGGCTTCGGTCAATACCCCGGTTTCTTGGATCCGAACAGATGATGCGACAGATTGCTTCAATGTTCTTGCTGTATCTTCTACGCCAGGTGGTCGTGCAGGATTAACTGCTAGAACTGGCAGAAATAACACGTCACCTACTACCACCCCATCTAGTATTGCCCATCAGGCCATAGCGACTGCTGTATTTGCACCGGAGGCATCTATGAATACCCTCAGCATTCGCTGCCGTCTGCTGCTTGTTGTACTTGGCCCGGTCTTGAAAGGAAGATCCAGAGATCTTGTTTTCAGAGCTAGTCGTTACCCCGAGGAAGAACCACCATTTGACAGCCAACCTCGAGCCGTAGGTCTACCCAAAGAGAAAGATACTGTTGCAGGATGGGGTTCTCTGGAAGAACCTGATCTTCAACTCGATGGCGCCTTTGCTAAAAACCCAACTATATTTGCTCTCTGCGTCTCGGTCCTTACGGTTCCGCGAGGCTCTGGGCCATTTAGTAAGATTTGGGGTCATGAGAGCATTTTCAACGTTATATTCGTTCGTCCATGTTCTGCAGTCACGAACGGATTTGAAAGAGTTGGGGTCGGTCGCCTTTTTGGGATAGCAGTAGGTAATGGGTTCCAGGGAAGTCGAGAGAGAGACATTTACCTCTTGTAGGAGATTAGTATCTGTATTATCACAGAGATGTCATATTTGCTTCAAGCGCTTGAGTCAATGGTCGCCGCTGATCAGGAGAGATTGATCCAGTGTCTCATCTAATCCCTTCCCAGTTACCCACATGGAAATCTCATCTGATTAAGAAACCGGTCCAACCTGCCTAGCATTTGAGGATAATCAAAGCCACCATTCTGCAGCTACTGCCCCCAGACCTGCGTTGCGATAACAGAATTTTCACCCAGGAACACAGAGGTAATTGGCACTGGCTCAGACCGGGATGATCATGTATGCTGTTGTCGATCTTGCTGCAGGCTGGCCATTCATCACCAACGCAACTACCAATCACATCACTGATGAGGGTGCGTCCTCATATGCAGGTTTCAGCTGCCAAGCACTTTTCTGCCTACTGATTCCGATGCTTACTTTCTCCCGGCTCGGGCGATTTCAACTTCCCCCGCACATAAGCTTACCACGGTTAGTTTCACTTCCCTCTAATATTTTACTAACCTTGAAAGAGACATTGAACTTTTATATTGCTACCATGAAGCAGTTTTCTAAGCTCAAGCAGAAACTGCGGTCCTCAGACTCGGCTAATCAACACTCACCTCAGCCAGCCTCTGTGCCCTCAGCAGCTTCAACCAGCCAGATCACGTGTCGATCATGCCATCAGTCCACGGGATCTTCTTTGACCGTGCCAATCGTGGGCTCTCCGGCTATTATATTATCATCCACTGCGACAACTGAGCCAGCAACTGTCTCTTCGCCTTCAGCGGAACCAGAAAACTCTATTCCAAGTGTACCTGACCGACTGTGGAACAAAGCCTACAACATCCTCGAGGAGAAAGAACCCGAGATCATCAAAAGCTACCAGGAGATCCTGAAACTGGTGTAGCATGAGTGTCCTGATACAACGGCTCCCGAGGAGCTCCTGCACCTGCAGCACTGCAAAAGCGTCAAATTACGCCAGATGTGGAGATTGGTCTATTGCGGGCTTGAGAAGTCTAAGCGACAGGCTAAATACAAGGAGGATTTATCCACGGTCATTGAACAATCGACAACCTCAGAGGAATAGTAGACAAGGCCGTAAAATAGTCCTCTGAAGCTGGAATTGCATGGGCGGGTGTCAGCCTTGGCTTAGAGGTATTTCTGATGCATGGCCTGTAATTACTCCCAGGAGAATGGCTAACAGGACCTCAGATCCTTGCAAATCCGATGAAGGAACCGGGACTGAATCGGCAAGGCATTGCCTATGTCTTGTCACGGATGGAGTGGTATTGGAACTTGGCTGAGTTGGTCCTCCTCCAGGAGAACTCGAGTGTTTCATCTGCCGCGTTGAGAAGGAACTTGGAAGCTCAGATCATCGACTTTTACAAGAAGCTTCTCCTGTTTCAAATGCGAAGCGCTTGTCTCTATTATCGTAACTGGGGAGTTGTTATCCTAAGGGATGCAGTCAAACTTGATGATTGGTCCGGGGAGCTCAACACTATCAAAGATGCAGAACGTCTCATTCGCAAGGACATAGAACAGTACGACTACCAAGATATCCGATTGAAGCTCGGCAAGATCGAAAAATCTGCAGTAGAGCAAGCCGAGTCGCTCGAGACTATCTGCAAAGTTCTGAGAGAGGAGGCAAGATTGAAAGAAAAGAATGAGTAGGATGACAAAGACAAGGATTGTCTCGCCGCCCTATTGATCACGGACCCTCGCATGGACAAGAAAAGGATCCAAAGTCAAGGGGGGATCCACTTAAGGAATTATATGAATGGATCCTGAAGAGCGACACCTACCAGACATTCATCGATGATCCATCAAGTCGGGTTTTGTGGATCAATGGACCACCTGGAAAGGGCAGAACGATGTTACTTTGTGGAATCATCAATGAACTACAGAAGAGTCTCAGGCCCATCTCGTTCTTCTTGTGTCAAGGAAACGTCAAAGAGGAGTACTTGTCCAGCGATATTGCCGTTATGAGAGGCTTGATATATGTTCTTCTTGAGCATCAGCCATCTCTGATATCAGCGATTCGCCCAAGATATGACAAGCAAAACGACAGACTCTTCAACAGCATCAATAGCAGTGAGCTTCTTGGGGATATTTTAACTACGATGCTTCAAGACCCAAGTCTACGCGACACAATCTTGCTTGTGGACGCTCTGGACGAGTGCAACATCAACAGGTCGAAGTTCACAAACCTCATCGTCGAGCTGTCCAAGTCCTGTAACACCAAGTGGATCTTGTCGAGCCGCGACTGGCCTGAGATCCATCAGGAGCTTGCAGACGCGACGGGGTTGATCTCGCTTGACCTTGAACAAGAACATGAGTCGGTTTCTCAAGCTGTCAGGTCATATATCAGCAAGAAGGTTGATGATCTCGCAAAGACGAAGTGGAAAAATGACTTGGAGTTGAAAGAAAGGATTTTCGATTATATGCAGTCTCACGCCGATGATACATTCCTTTGGGTAGTATTGGTGTGCGAAAGACTTGCCAACTCTGGTATCAGAAAGCGTTTAGTCATGGAGGAGCTAGTGAAGTTCCCGATGAGCCTTAGAGCTCTTTACGAGGCTATGATGGACCGAATAACAGATTCATCCGAAGCTGATCGATTGAAACAGATCCTGGCCTTAGTTTGTGTTGTTTACCGCCCCATCAAATTAGCCGAGATGCCGACACTCGTCGAGCCCATGGCTGGCTACGATGAAGATGATGTTAGAGACGCCATTGCCTCTTGTGGCTCCCTCTTGACACTCCAGAACGGGGAGATTTTCTTTGTACATCAATCAGCCAAGGAATTTCTCCTCATGAGGTTCTTTTCCCTCGCGGCAGAAGTTACCAGCATGCACACATCTTCTCACGATCTGTTGCGGCCATGGAGAATACCCTTCGACAGGATATATATAAACTCGGTTCGCCTGGCGCCCACAACCTAGCTGAAGTCCCAAGTCTCGATCTGTTGGCTTCTATCAGATACTCATGTGTATATTGGGCCCAACATCTTTGCAAATCGCACCTTACAAAGGAACCTGGTCGTTCAAACCTTGAAAGACTTTTCCATTTCCTTCAGATGAAATTTACATGCTGGCTAGAGGCACTCAGCCTGATAAATGAACTTTCTACAGCAATCAAAAGCATAATGGTCCTAGAAACTACAGTGGTAAGAGTTTCTCTCTTGAGTATATACGTCAAAATCTGACCCTTGTATAGGTCGATATGCAGATGCAGGAGATCACGGATTTCGTTCGCGATGCTCGTCTGTTCATCTCCCATCACAATCCCGCTATTAAGACTGCTGCCCTTCAGGTTTACTACTCTGCGCTCATATTTAGCCCCAAGAGCAGTGTAATTCGACAACAATTCTCTTACTAGATGCCGAAGTGGGTTGCCGTCAAGCCGAAGATGGATGATGATTGGGATGCTCATTTGCAGACCATATATACTGGTTACGGCGCAGATCACGCTGGTTACTCTCCCGATGGCCGGTACCTAGCCACTTCAAAAAATGGTATATCTCATATTTATGAAACAGTTTCAGGCCAGATAAAAATCATGAAGTTCCGATAGGAATCTAGTGCAGCAAGATCACGATATAGTAGTAAAGCGATTCTTTGGCTATGGAGCCTGGTTCTTGATCTAAATGACCCTTCCTGCAATTACAACTGTTAGATGTGAGGCTTGGATATCTTCCGGCGCCCCTCATTGCCGCCTGCGAGGTTGAAGTGGGACACGTATCGCTTCTTCATTGTCTTTGATTGGCAGTTGGTCTACGCGAGAATTTCCTTCTTGTAGCTTTGTACCATTGAGAATCCGCAGAATACGGTGAAATATCCATCTAGACTTCTTCTCAACTTACGTTACAGACAGAAGGTCTTCAGCGCAATCATCAACGCCGTAGTCTGGGTCGCGGTAGGTGGACATTATAGCTGCGGAAGTGGCCAAAGCCAGTAGCCCCATGCCTTTGAGTATTGCCAGGCCCTTTTGGAATATGATTTGTTGTCTGGAAGAAGGCTGGAGAGTGATAGGTGCCGTTGACTAAAAGAGTCATTGGGCCCTTTACCGAAAAGTATAGCAAAGTCACCGGTATACAGGGGATTGACGCCGGAGGTTGCATTGGTCACACCAAGGCAACTGTCGGGCACTCGGGCTTCTAAACAAAATGAAGAACGAGAGGCCTACTCCATTGAATAGATGGTTCCATTGCAAGACCAGATTGACGGATTATTGCAGTAGCCAGTAACTAGATATGAAACTGACTGATATCAAACATCCAACCTGGCCAAAGTTAAGCCATACAGAAGCCCTATAGAGGGTGAACTCTGCAAGCTGGGAGCCTTCGACTGTGCTCTCTGTCACTGGGTTTTGATGGTGACCAGAACATCCAGTGCCCTGAAAAGAGATCTCGCCGGTCTTTACCTTACCCAGAGGTCCTTGCACCAACTTCAGAAGGGCTTGTTAGTAGCAGTGGTGCAAAGGTTCAAGATCCAGCATGAATCTGTTCCTTCTGGAACGACGCTTTGTGTCTTGATTAAAGAAGCTTATATAGGCTCTGGTGATTAATCTGAAAGGAATGCTGTGTGATATCCGGCTTTCCTCCCGGCAGCATCATGCGAAACGGCCAACCTTGGGAATAGTACATATCGGCGGCTACCCTCCGAAGCCAAGCAGTAGGCACAACAGGAATCCAAAACTCGCATTTCTCACTCGCCAAGATCTTCAGCCCTGTTTTCCATGAGCTATGAGCCTCGTCTTTCTCACCGGTCGAGAGCTGTGCGTGAGCCAGGGACAAGTGACACACAGCGGCTATGAACCCACGAGATGAACCGAGAGCATGCATGTGACTAACTTGTGCAAGCGCAAGTGTCCAGCGCAGCATAGCTTCACCTGGGTCTCCCCTAATATGAGCTATGCGAGCTGATGCTATTAGTGTCCTTATGTGTAGCTGTCGGTCGTTGATATCGTCTGGGCAGGGAGGTGGATCACTCAGTAACTCCTCTAGTGTCGACTCTGCTGCATCTAATTGCTTCAGCCCGATGTTCGCCTCTACCAGTGCCAGAATGAGCCTTCTGAATCCACGACGCATGCGGTCACATGTATTGATACGCTCAAGTTCAGGTTCCAGTATCACGATAGCTTTGAGGTACTCTCCCATCTCGCAGTACATATCAGCTAATCTTCCAAGCAAGACTCGGTGTGAGTTCTCGGGTATAGGTTTGATTCGCCCTAGTGATAGAAATTGCTCCAGAGAAGCCCTTGCTGCGTCAAAATCACCGATGGATTGGAAGTATCGCGCTGCTGTGCTCTGGAGCCGAAAAGTCACTTCCATGTCCAGAGTTGACAATGGCTGCTTCGCTTTCCACTTGTAGGCAAATGAAGGTACATCATTATCGTAGCACTTGATCTTGTTTTCCATCTGGGAAATATGAAGGCGACCTTCAAGTGCATGGTCCCGACGGGTAGTTGGGCGTGGCCCTCGCCACAGAAAGTCACGTATGTGTGCTTCCGACTTGGCAAGTTCTCCATCAACGCGATGTAGTATGCTGCGGAAGAGCACGACTGAGGCGTGGAGATAGTAGGGCATTGACTTTCGTAACAGGATTTTGGCCTGTATGACGGCAGCATGGCGGAGGGCAACTGAGTCTCTCTCCCCAAAATACAGGACGGCTTCAATAACGTGGGTCCTGAGGGAAACTGATATCTTGCATGTTTTCAGAAGCCTTTCGAGTATTGTCCAAACTTCTTGTTTCAACAACGGTGACCTGAGAGACCAGTGTCAGTGATGCTGTATAAAGTGCGGGGATAGATCCTACCAGTCCGTGTTACCCTCATAGCACAGTGGGCAAACAAAGCAAATGAGCTTCAACGCTGTCGTTTCAAGCACTTCTACCGTTTGTGGGGTCAAAACTTCCTCGAAACTCGACATGAGTTCGGGGCTGAGGGACCAAGCTACGGTATTGTCTTCCCGGATTCGATCGACAACATACGGCCCTGCTATGGTCTCAGAGAGCATTGCTTCATTGTATAAAAGATCGACGACGGTGTTAGGAAGGCCAAACTGAGCAGCACTGGTTTGATCTACCTCCCCGCCGGAGTTCCAGCGTCTTTGTGGCAAGCGAACACTTTTCAATAAGATTTCTGGTATGTCGGTGCCACCGAGTGCGTACATTATAAGTAAAAACTGGTCTTCAGCAGGAATAAATTGAGTCAGCTCGCCAAAGAGATTGTGATACGGCACTGGGAAAGAAGGGTCTATAATTGCAATCAGTATCGCATCGTATTTAGACTGTGGATAATATTACTGACCGCATAGTTGGCTGAACACCAGGCGCTGTACAAGGTCATTGTAATTCTGAAATGCTGGGTTAAGAGATGACAAATGACTAAATACTTCTTCATCGTCAATGCTGAGATATCTTTCATAACTACATAGTGTCAGCACTCTTGACTATTGCCAATCCGAGGACATGAACCCATACGTCGAAGGAGGTATATTCAGTGGGAGCCAGAAGATTGCTCCTACACCACCAAGTCTCTGGGCTATCTGAACATATTTCCTGCCAGGGTTTCTCATATCTGTGAGATTCGGCACTCCAGAGAAGACTTCAGCCACTTGAGGAGGGGCCAGTATCTGAGCATCCAATTGAGATCGGAGAAACACCACAACGCAGGCAAGTCGCCGACGCAGTTCAAGATGAACCTGATCAACCGAGCCCGCCCAGAAACCATCCACATCGTTATCGAATATTGAGCATACCCGATTGACAGGGGTGAGGTCAACCTTGTCTACAAAGAGGGCCTTTTCGGTTCGTTGGTTTCGCGGTGTGATCTGATACTGCAGTTGACGACTGAGCGATTTCGCCTGCGCTAGAAATTGTCGCAGATCTTCTAGGTGGCGGTTCAGTGCAGGGATAAGTTCTTTGGCTTGGACCGCGTCATAGTCTTTGGCCAAGCTATGAACTGTGCTGCAGAGACAGGTTTCCATCGTGCAGTATTGTGTATCGTGCGTGCATTGGGCTAAGGGTCGTATGAAGAATTGGTTGAGTGTCGATCTGTAAGTATTGGAGTGGATTGTCTTCCAACGAGTAGTTTTCGGGTCACTTTACTGGTCATGACAGTACGTGTGTTCGCCGACCTCATTCTAGTCGAGCTAATTATCAATCTAGCCTGACGTGAAATCTTATCTGATCTTGTGGATTGTGGCGTGAGTGTGTGAAAAATTTAATCATGCAAAGATCCCAGCTAGTTGGTGCCCTCTCCGCTGTAGGACAGAGGGCCAAGTGTTTCTTGAGCAGGGATCAGTCAACAGACTGTTTCTTCACAGTGAATATTTGAGCATGATGAGAATCCTTGTCGTACCCCATAATGACCATAACAGCCTATTAGGCTTGTAATCGAGACGCCGAGTCTAGCTTTCTTGGGACCGACGCCGACGGAAAACCGAGGGAGATTGATAACAGCCAAGCTAAATCGATTTAACGCGTGCTAAAAATTAAGAACACTCATGACACCCTCTTCGCTACGATCTTGTCCAGTCAGAGATCGCAGCGGCATCGGGAATATTCGTAGCTCGAATACCCTACGCAGTGTGACTAGGATCACGCGGTGGGGCTCACAGGACACGCGTAATGCCCGCTTGACCGAAAGCCTGGTTAGACTTATCGATCGAATTTTGACGCAATCTTATCAATCAGGGGATGTTTTGTCGCCATCTATCATTCTCCCTCCATTATACCACCGTCCCTTGTCGAAAATGGACGGCTTCAAACCACCAAGTACCAAGCAACTGAAGAATGAAGAGGCACTTACCAAGTATGCCGCTTTTCTATGTGGTCTCATGCTTTTAGTTATTGGCATTCGTTGGCTGCGCAATATTTACATTGCATCTCCACATTTGAAAACATCTGCTTCATTATCGACGTACGGGCGTGAGGCCTGTCTTCTGGTCCCTGAGTTCGTAAAAGCGTCCGAGCATCTAGTTGGCAGTAAACTTATTCTTTTCATAGAATTCTGCAGAGACGACTTCCTGCGTCGTGGTTTGGGCGACCTTCTTTGGGGTTCACCGCGATGATCGGCGTCTATCTTGTTGGCAACGTCGCTTTCTGCTCAAGCATGCTTGCGATGCCCCAACTTTTGAATCATTGGGCTTCTAGGTTTGGATGGTAGGATGCACTATTTCCTCATGACATTCCATGCGTAATTGACGAATATCAGGATGTGCGCTGGCAACATGGCCCTATGTGTCTTTTTTGGCCTCAAGAACACGCCCCTAGGCCCCTTGGCGTCCGTTTCGCACAGCCAATTAAATATCCTTCATCGTATTGTCGGTTATACAACTGTATTCCTCCTCGCGCTTCACGCCCTTGTCTACTCGATACATTTTGGCCGTCAAGGTCGCCTGGTGCAGCTGTTGAAGAAGGAGGATATCGAAGGCATGGGGGCCGGTGTTGCCATGCTTATCCTACTAATGGGAGTGTTCAGACACAAGCACTACGAACTCTTCTATGCCAGCCACATTATTGGCTTCCTGGCGGTTGTCCTCCTAACAGCCCTTCATAGGCCAAACTGGGCGAAGAAGATCCCAACGGTGATGCTCATCATATTCAGCATGTGGACATTGGACCGGCTCGTGCGACTGGGCAGGTTATTATACAACCTCGTTAACAACTCAGTGACGTTCTATCCTCTTCCATATAGAGGAACACGATTAGTGCTCAAGAAGCCCGGCATGGCAGCCGCCTTACCAGGATCGCACTGCTTTTTATGGATTCCAAGACTTCGACTTTATGAGAATCATCCATTTACTATCGTCAGTAATGACTCCTCTGGTCTAGAGCTAGTCATGAAATCGCATGAGGGCTTCACCAAAGCTGTCGGCGGCTTTGCAAGCCGAAACCCCCGGGCTAATCTATGGGCATCTATTGATGGGCCATATGGGTCATTACCAGACGTGGGCAACTACGATAAACTGATCCTTATCGCTGGTGGAAGTGGAGCTGCTTTTACCTTTGGAGTCATGAACCGAATCATGATGCAGCGTGAAAAGCTTGCAATCCAATCTATCGAGTTCGTATGGGCAGTGAGGCGTATAGGTATGTTTAGATCAGTCCCTGATTCCCCAGAAAGCTTATCTGATGGTTGACACCTCTTAGAGCAGTTGAACTGGTTTCGCAGACATTTGTGCAATATGGCGGAGTCTGCGTATCCCATCAGCCTCAACATCTACGTGACAGGCGAACGGTCTGCATGTGGCTCTGTAACTGACGATACCGACTCTCGAGCATCTCCATGCGGAGCAGAAAGGGAGGTTCTTCTAAGAGAAAATGTATTTGACTATGAAACTATCTCTGAGATGGGCGATGCATGCGGGTTAACTGATCAAGTAACCGGCGATGAGCCGAAATGCAACCCATTGTTGGAGAAGCTGGATGTCGATGGAACAATTAGTAGAGTCGTGGGAGCATCTGGAAGTCATCACCGAGTGCTCCTCTTGTCTTGCGGGCCCAAGTCACTGATGGATGCTGCGCAAGATTCGGCAAGTAAATGGCAGATGAAGCGAAATATTAGAATAGATGTCCACTGTGAGGACTTTGGCTGCTGCTAGAATTACATTAGATAGATTTACAGCGCAATTTATTCTCAAGAGGAGTTTTATACTTTTTCCCCATTGAGTCTTGTTTCCCTTGCCAATCGGGATGCCTGATTGATCATCGTGCCTAGCTATCAGGCACTCAGAAACTGCGGGTTGGTATTTTAGGCGACTTGAACTGTCTCAATGCCGACATCATCACTGACATTCGTGGCTTGATCACTCAAATTGCTGGCTAGATATTAAACATGCAACAAAGTTTACATAAGTGTTCTGACGAGATTAAAATAGTGGATAGGTGATGTATTTGGAAAGGTGTCCGGCAATCCGTTAATCTTCGAGAACTTGCATTTCTCTGTCTATTGTCATCTTGTAGTTCGAACTGTCGATAGACAAACAGCTCTCGCCCCAGACTATTCAAACTCGAGACGCCGACAAGCTCAGAAGCCTGTGCTACAACTAACTTAATCATTATTTCCAGTGGCAACTCCCCAGAAGTATCCGCACCAGCTACCGATGATCAACAGAATCAAGGTGGCAAAGCAAGCCAGAGAAACCCGCCTGTTCTTTTCACCGTTCTCCTTGGTGAAAATGTCCTTCCTTTCGTTGAGCAAGGCTCCCTGTGCAATTCTCTTCTTTCGTGACCATTGGAGGTGTCCAAGGTCCACCGATTTCCACGCTCCAAAGGCGAGCAGTAGCGAAACGAGGACGGACAGTCCAGCAAGGATGACATAGACGATCGTCACCTTATCGTACGAGTTATTGTCAGCGTCCTGAATCTTTCCGGTGATAATTCGCACAATGATGTTCATTCTAGAGTAAGTGTTAGTAGTACGGAAGGCGAAAGGTAGGGTGGGTATTGCTCTTACGCATTGTTCATTGTGATCTTGATGGCATAAGCGGAGCCAAAGACAGTGCTGTCCCACATTGATGTACGTGTGCTATCGATAATCGTGGTGGGACCAAAGCAATAAGCGAACGCGAAGACGCCGAATGATGCAGCTGTTCCTTTGACTGCTCCAGAGAAGCACACCAGAAGCATCGAGATAAACATGCCAATACCACAAAAGACCACTGCGTATATTTAGCAAATTTCTGTTTTTGTGCGACTTGATTAGCTACTTACACACGGAAATGCGGCTTCCATAAAGATCAAGGAATACTCCTAGCAAGGGAACGACAAAGAAACCTGAAAGAGATCGTTAGAGCAAATCCGATACGACAGCATGTTGATCAGACACCATACCTGAGTATTGCAAAACGGAACTGTACCATCCAGCTGCAATGGAATCGGTGCCAAATCTCTGTTCAGCAAGTTCTGTAGCATTCTGCAGGAACACAATAGCGGCGCTTGTTTCAAACAAAGAGAAGCCCATGACAGCCCAGAATGTCCACGGCAGTTCCAAGACTTTGCGATATTCGAACTTGCGCGTCTTTTCAGTAAGCTTCTCGCCAGTGGCTGGATCATTGATACCGTGATAGCGACGATTGGCAACTTTGGTGAAGAAGTAGAAGACACCGGTCATGACGTTGGTGAAGATGTTCATAAATACCGCAATCCAGAAAACCCAGGCAAAGCCGAGTCTTTTGGAGATAATGTTGGCTGAAGACTTGCCGGCAAAGGCACCGATCTTACCAATGCCTAATTCAAAGCCCAAGGTTGAGGCGAATCCGTTTCCCGGGGCGAACCAAGACGAGAAGACCTTGTACTGGGCAACTTGGGTGGCGATATCACCGAGAGCTCGCACGACCCTGCCAGCCATCATGAACTTGTATGATCGAGTCTGGGCTGCTCCAGCTACCAAAATTGATCCGATCGAATAGATAAGATTGCCGTACAACATCGCGCCTTGTTTCTGATCAGCGCCAACTTCTCCCATGCTTCAAGTCAGACGTACCGGCTCCACCAATTCTGTCAGTTACGATACCACTAACAAGCATCAAAGCAGTGACCATGAAATCCTCACTAGCTTCCAAGAGGGAGAATTGGGTGTTGTTAATGTGCAGTTCTTTCTTAATGGTGCTTTTCATGGCTGAGGTCACGCCAGAGCTCCATTGCGACCCGAAGCCAATTGCGGTGACGAGGACGATGGAGGCGAGTTTCCAAGACAATGGTACTGGCTGGCGACCGTCATTTTCCGGTTGGGAAGTCTGTGATTCGGACAGAACGTGCTCTTCTTTGACGGACACGTGGGGCGGAACGAGCTTCTCTTCGTTCGCGAAGCTCTCTGGCGTCTGAGGTTGAGCCATGAGTGTCAAGATTGAAAAGAACTGTACTCAATGGATGAAATGAGGACAAGGATGTTGAGGTTTGGCTGAATTGAGACTCAGAGGATGGAGGGTGATTTACATATTTAAGTTTGGCTGAAAAAATATTTATGGTTGTAAGTTTTCTG